TTCCGAGTCCGCCGAGCCGGCGCACCTAACTATATGGTCCCGCCGCATTTGTGTTAGACTGAAGCCGCGACGAATCGCGGGCCATTTTTGGGCGGGCATACTTTCGCCAACGATAGCGTGAAGATAATTGAAGAATTAAGCGATGTCGCGTCGCTGGTGCTGCACCAGCGACGGGGCATATCGCGCGAACTGCTTCTTCTTTGTGAAAAGTTTTGTATTTTTTTATGTGAATCTCATTTAGGACTGTTCCATCTCACACAATCGCTTCCTCTCTACGTGAGAGAAGGTTGGTCATTGAGCACGCCATACTATTAATTCTTGAAACAACACATGCGAAGTGTATAGTATTGATGCTTCCCATATGTCACCTCACCCTTTTTGTTAGCATTTATTGTTCTCGCAATGCGCTAATTCTACTGTTCTTGTTCAAACAACAAGTAAATGGTGACCAAATCTCGAATGTTTTCGCCATAATTCTTGAAGTAGAGTAGATGTGCAACCTTGGTTGCTTATGCATGTATGTATGATCGTTCGCAGATTGGCTGACAAGAGCTCGCGCAGCACTCGCTCTTGAAATATGCCTAATCAAAGTTTTTTACAGAGCCGAAAGCATGGCATTTCTGTTACGAAGCTAACGTATTGTCTCCTCCACAGCTCGTGCTACCCTTGGTCTGCGTCTCAGACCTACCACGTGTGGCTAACATGTTGGCAACGTGGCAATAACATGTTTGCAACATGCCTCAACATGTTGGCAGAACATTTTAGCCATGCCAACATGTTGCTGCATGTTGGCGACGTGTTGCTGCCAACGTTACCAATGTGTTAGTCACACGTGGCAGTCCGCGACACCACAAGGGTTGCACGAGCTGTGGAGGGGACGATATATGCCTACCGGTAACTGAAAGAGTGAACTCAAAACTTTATGAACTGTAGTCGATTTCATCGCAGATGTTAACACGTTTCGGACCGCGAAATCGCGCGCGGCGAAAAAGAGGGTACTTTCAGCCGTTAGCCAACAAAGGGACCTTAATTCGTAGATTGCGTGCTATATCTGTTATCAGCATGTCAGATAAGATCCATGCCCAGAGTTCTGGGTGAATTCGAAGTGTTTGAATTTTGTCGTCTGTGATGGACTTCTGTGCTTTCTTAAAAGATAGGAACAAGAACTCAGGTTCTAATTGTATCCAAAAGTATCTATGTTGTACACGATACACATCATTATTGAAACTACGGTTTTTTTCTTTGTATTCAAAGCTAAGAAAAGCTGCGACGTCGCACGCGTCGTTCGCGTTGCCGCACTTCGTTGCAACTGATGTTCGATTTGTCCTTATATCTCCTGAACAGATATCGATGGCACAGCTCTACAGACCCTTTCGAAAAGTAGGAGCTTAGGCCTTTGACTTGATAACCTTGGACAAAAAGAAAACCTTCTGTAAACGCTGGAAAGATCCTTCAAAAGTGCGTGCTGCACCTTGTGCAGCACCGGTCCGAAACGTGTTAACTTGCGCCGGTATAAAAACCTTGGTAAATACGAAGATGATTGTGAATCCATATCCTTGTTCGTTTGCTGTAATGTTCTCTGAAAGCATATGGTGCCACATTCTGCTCAAATTTTCTTGAAAAAATGCACTTTAGACAAACTAGCGCAAATTTCCCAAAAGTGCGTTAAATGCGGTGTAGTGTGTGAGCGTTCACACAATCGCAAGACAGTATGGCCTGTGAGCGAGCGATAAGCGTTTTCTACGCAATGATCCGTCGCCCAGGCAGCTGATTCGCAGCGATTAAAAATCGTGACGACGGTGTCACGACGAGGTATGCCTTAGGCCTTAGGGAGCAGATACGCGTCCGCCCAAATAACAGTTTTCACGTCTGGAAAAGCGAATTATTGATACTTGGACTTACCTCATCCAGGGGAATAGAGAGTGATGAATATTCCCAAAATTGTCATTCTACCGCTGCTGCCTTTAAGTCGTCCCGAAATTATTTTCGATATTTTTAAATGGCTGACACAACTCGCAGAACAAAGACTTATAGACGTATTTGATACTATACGATGCATCTTTTCATTCTCCATCAGATGGTTATGTACCAATTGCACTACAGTAAAATAGTTCTTGGAGAAAGACCAAAATCTGAAAACCGTGCTGTTTGCTACAGGCAAGTTCCGTTATTATTCTAAACTTTTATACCATTCTCCTGAAGATGTCCAAATAACGCATGAATAGAGCAGAACGTACAGGATACAATGCAGTTTTTTTTCTTCCCACAGCTTGTTATGATTTCTGGTAAATTTAATAAAACCACCGAATTTTAGCAAGTCCCTCTCGGACACAAACGCGTCAAACATCATCAAGTCATCGAAATTTGAGCCTCTAAAAGTGGTTTTTCAACATCATTCCAAAAAAGCAAATGAGATTTACGGATTTGAAATATCAGACTTTGAATTTTTCGGGTAGAGCTTGGAGAGATTTTAAAAAATTCTAAAGAGTTCATACCCGAAGATTCTACGAATCGGAAGCAGAAAACGCCTTCTAGAAAGAAGAAAAAATCTAGTCGAATGACACCGGATTTGTTCGCCGGTTTCGTTCTATAAGGTTTGAGTTGACCATACATGAAATTTTTGTTTGCATCGAAAAAATTTGAGAATTTTGAGCACAAGCTATAAAGAAACAATTTGTTCGTGCTATAGGCTTTCCTCTAACCACAGAATACATAACTCGGACTGTTTTTAGGGCGTTAAAAAATTTAGAAAAATAGCGAAACTGTCTTGACAGAAAGCGTGCATTTATATTTGGTGATTTTCTAGAAGCGTTCTTATTGTACTGAAAACAAAATCATTTGATAGAGAATGAAAAGATGCATCGAGCGCTATCAAGCTCTTCTATAAGTCCTTGCTGCACTTCGGGCAGCAGTTCAAAAAAAGCGAAAATACTTTCGGGACCACCTAATATGGAAATACACAACGGTCAACAACATGATTGGAAGTAGAGAAAACTGAAAAATTTTTGTACTTAGCACCCGCAAATCTGCAGCTTAAAGCGTTTGGTAGCAAAAACAATATTCAAACTTGCTGTTCAAAAACCTGCATTCGTCCATACCCATTTTCGCACTCAGACAACTGACCGGAACTTCCGCAGAACATTTGGGAAAGTTCCGCCGGGTTCCTGCGGAAGTTCCGTAAATGTTCTGCGAAAGTTTCCATTCTCGAAGTTTCCACTTCTGTAAAAGTAAGCAAAGTCCTGCGGAAAAGCTACAAATTTGGCTTGTCCTGCGGAAGTTCCAGTGAATTGTGTTAGCACTTTCCAAAGACGTGTAGAGCTCATCAAAACCAATTTTTTTGCGCTGGCACTGTCGCTGCAGCACTTTGTTTTCGAAGATTCAATTCCAATTCCATACGAAAAATGTGAATATAATCGTTCATATTTTCACCTTGCAATCTTTGAATATCTTCAGAGATCAGTTGTGTAATTGCCCATTTTCGCCAGTTAAAGAGACCCCTGCTCTGCTCTCAACTTATACTGCTCTGCATAAAACCTTTCTTACTCAGGGAGAACACACTATCGAAAGTGACTTCACTAATAAAATATATACCAATTCGAAGAGCATCAAGCGTTGTTCGAAAACTTTGTCGTTTGCCAGGCGCTATCTGAAGCAAAAAATGGCAGCAATCTCGATAAAGTCAATGTTTATGGTCTTTTCAGCGCAAATGAAGTGTTGAGTATGAGTATATTAGACAAAAGGTTTTTCATGCATAAAGTGCTCTGATACCCAACACTAGGCCATTTTTGCAATCATGGACAAATTTGTACCAGTTGGACCAGTTGCTCGTACGATTTTGCCAACGAAAAACGCTCATAACTCAGCGTCTAAAGGGGCTTAGCAGATAATAAAGACAGTTCTGAAATCATCGTTTGATGCTGTTTATATTGGTAGATAATTCGCGCAAAAAGCCGATTTGATTTCGGGTCCTTCCCTTGTTAGTTTAGGGGAATAAATATCCTTTGTTTCAACTGCATTGGCGACTGGAAGGCGAGGCTTCGTGACCTAGTTAAGGCTAGAGAATGATCAGAGAGCACGCGCGCGAGAGAGGCACAGACTGCGATGTGGGCGCGAGCGGCCTTAGTTAGGTCACAAAGCCCCGCCGTCCAATCGCCAATCCAGTTGAATCAAACGTTAAGTTTGTTCATCATAAACATTAATAACAAGTTTCCAATTTTTAACTCTTCTTGCCTGTTACTGAAGAGCCTACAGAATCTGCTAATCGCTTGGTGATAAAAACAGTTATATGATAGCAATCTTGAGTTTGTATCACTTTATTGCAGAGCGACAATTATTGCATGCTGTACGCTGCCGGAAAAGGCGTACGCCGTAGTGCCTATGGGGAGCAATATTACATCCTTCATCGTGAACAAGTGGATCTCGTATGCGGATCATACTCGAAGATTTGAAAAGTCAAAAGGCATGTCATTCTTGTGCCTAAGGCACTGTGTAGCTAGTGTATTAGATGTGTCATTCTGTATTGATGAAGTCTTGGTGTGGCCACGTACAAATTTGAAACCAAATAAACGATTGCTGTGAATTGCAGTCGATTGTAAAACAAAGGCATTAAGACTCCTCGAGCCAAGAACTTCAAACTGATTTGTTTATTCTATGATAGTAGTGCTTTGGCAAATTAGGAAAAGTGGATAGGGAAAAATCAGCCAATCAGGAAAGGCGCTATTACATCCAACCAATTGAATCGGCTTGCAATTTTCTAAACCTGCTTTCTCTTGGTCTAGTACTGTGAATTAAAGTGGATTCACGTAAACAAGATCTTTTTCGCTGTTTTCAAATTAAGAATCTATACTGCAGAAGTAACGTTGTTGTATTTGAGGTTCATGCATATCTGACTTTACTGTAAAGAAAAGCGATTTACTGTTTTTTTTTTGAGACAATGTATTACCTGCAAATGTCCTGCACATATATGAAATAAACTGTAAAAGAGCCATTATGCTAGATCTTTATCCACAACACACATATTGTTGGAGTGCGTTGCTATACTCGCAATGGTTACCGGATGGACAACGAGCATATAAACAGTTAATCGCTGCGCCGTTTGTATACTTGATCGTCTGCGAGGGATTTGCGCAGCCTCCTAAAACATTTTATATGAAGAATCTTATACCAGGATTCCTATAATCGGTCGGGGACACAATTTTACCTGCTGACGACTGCTTCTGTCGGCAGCAGTAGTACTGCTGCCGTTGTGGATTCAGATAGCAATAGCTGCCAAAGGGACAGCTACTGTACTGGCAACTAGTTGAGGTAGACACGACTTCCTCGTTTGGAGAAGCGCAAACCTGTTCCGATGTTGAGCCTGAAAGTCTTTTGGCTACCGCTTCAATAGCAATGGAGTTTGAAACAACTTACTTCCATACCTACATATACCATCACCGAAGTCTACTTGACCGGAAGGACATCTACAGTACCCTGACTGGCATACTGACCCTCCCTGGCACTGCTGATTGGCTAGGCATGAACCGCCAATCTAAAAAACTTCGATGGTACTATACCATGAAAATTCTTACATATCTTGCCTGTGAGAGTGGATAACACTGATTTCCCACCAGCACTTGGTTCGGACCACAACTAGACATCTGAAATAAACAGGTTATTATAAGTAAATTACCGCAGTTTTTCCTACCTCCTCATTTGTTCTGCAAACATTGTTAATAACAATCGCGTTGACTTGACAGACGCACACCCCATTCGAGCATGTTCCGAATGACATGCATTGTGCAGAGTTTTGACAAGATTGCCCTAGTCTCACCAGAGGAAAACATCGACCAGTGACGGATCTAGAGAATAAGAAAATTTGTTAAAAAAGCGAAAGAGAAGAGTGTAGACTGACACAGTTCCAGGAGAACAGTATGTGATACCAGTGACGCAAGAGGTGCCATCGTAGACACTAGGATAATTGCATTCGCATACAGATGTGCACCTTGCGTTAGCTGAAAAATCCACTTGTAAACAAAAATTTCATAATGATTAGATTTTGTCCTAAAGTTGAAAATTTTTGGGTGTTCTTCAGCCTACCTGGCATATCTCTCAGGATCACTCTGATCACACATTGACGACCATGGTCTTTCCCGAATCAATTAAGATGCTTAAGATAAAGTCACGCATATCTTTTACAGTATACCTACAGTAGCGCTGACAGGCTGATAAAAATAATGAAATTTGTGTCTAAATCCAGATCGAAAGAAAACTTTAGGAGTGGATTTGACCCGAGATATCAGCCATCAATGTGTTACTGGTGCCGAAGACGAAGTTTGCTATGATCTGGCCATAATACTATGCTCCTGCGCGTTACTCGCGAACCTCTCACAACAGTCAAACAAACTTGGTAGCTATTCGGAGAAATGGAGATGTCGCAATAGAGCCGACTCCTAAGCTGCTCACGATGAAGGTTAGCTTAGGATAGTCAGCATCTACCTGTGACTTCGCGGAGAGCCGGTTCCCTCTTCCTCGTTCTCCCTTCCCCTTCTGTATATCACTTTTATAGTGAGTATTTGAGTAAAACTAATAAAAGCCCGTCCACATAACAAGTAAGGAGTAGCTAACTTTTATCCCCCACACACTTCCAACAATATTGGAGTGGTACTATTAAACAATGAACAATCGTTTGTCAAATGTTTGTGACACATAATGTCACTTCTTCTAGGAAGTGTCCAGGCTGAATCTAAACCCTTTCCGATTAGTGCCGATCCTGAATGTATGCTCCAGGAAAGGGGCATCTGCGTTGATTCGGCTTTCTGAATCTCTGGATGCAGATATTGGGCCTGGAAGAGCCAAAGTGCTATCAAGCCCCTCCCAAATCCTATCAAGCTCCACCCACCCATGTAGTGAAAGCCGTCCGCGCCCTCAAGACAGGATCCCCAGAAATCGAGTTTTTTTGGAGATTTGGGCAACTTAACTTTATAACTGTAATCAGGGCCAAAGCAAGGCCTCAGCGTGACAAAAACATGGTCGAAATCTTGGGTGGACGCTGCTTTTAAGTTATCCAAAATGTCGGAAATAATCAATTTTATAAATCTATTATACAAAACTTTCTGGATTATTACGGATGAGGGCCTCAAGAGAGTAGCCAAGAATTACAGAAAACAGTTTGAAGTAATTATATGGCTGATTTTTTATACTCCTCAAAGTTTCTTCAAAAATTAGCACTGCCCAAAACTCGCAAGACTTTGACTAGCCATACCTATGCACTGGGCAGTATTTGTGCAGCTCTGTCCAATAGATACTTTGTCAAGGCATTGATTATTCACGGATACCTAAAAGCGCATTAATGTTAATAAAACCGCTCAGATCCCGTGAGTTGTACTAGCTAACATTTCCCACCTGATAAGTCTTACACACACTGCCCTGTCCGTTGCATATCCCATTTGTCGGAGCAGAACCGTCAGGGCATCGACAATATCCATTTGCACATTCGGAATTACCAGTGCATTGCTCATTATAAGTACATCGTCCACCAACAACTGCTAGGGGTAGGCATTGGTTATTCACAAGTATCTGGAATTCCAACATGTTCATGCAAACTTCCGCACAGCTCTGAATCGGAGGTCTATAGGTAAAAACAGTTTGAACTATAAAGGTATGTATTTACTGCTTACAGTCACCAACTTTCGCATGTTCTCGAAAAAGTACGGCACTTCCGTAAGAAAATCAACATAGCTGAATTTCCGCATGATTTTCACTGTTAAAAGCCTATAGGTGGAAAGCGGGAACTTTTTCGAGATGATTTTACTCAATAAATCTAATTCGCCTGTTTTCAAAACAGTGCGGAATTTCCGCAGGACAATCAGAATTAGCCAAACTTCCGCAGGACTTTGACAACTGTTGCAATATTTTGAGCGAGAGAAAATGGAAGATTACTCGGAATTGATCGCATCGTAAATCTGGAAGGAACATAAATACCTGATTTTGCTGGCATTCTGGACTAGTGCATTTTCCATTATAATTATTGCTACCAGTAGGGCATTGGCACAAGTTGCTGACGCAAACCGAGTTTCCAAGGCACTGCTGGGTGTAAGAGCAGCGCAAACCTATACCTACCGTAGGCATGCACTGTCCATTTACCATAACCTAAAAATTTCCATGGTCAAGAATGTGGCCTGCTATTTTGCCCCATCTTGAAAATAAAATGTCTACCTGATTCAAAGGGCAACCAGTACCGGGACCACCTGAGCAAACTCCATTGATGATTGATTGACCAGCAGCACATTGACAAAGTCCGTAGTTACACTGTGCACCACCCAAACATTGTTGGGTAACCTGGCACGGAGAGCCTATCGGAACTTTTTGCACACATTTGCCGTTGAGGAGAACCTAGAGGCGCTCAACTACCTCTTCTCTGGTGTGAAAAACAAAAACTTCTGGGAGAGCTACCTCGTTGTCTGGGCATTGAGAATGCGACTTCTCTGCGATACAAAACCCAAACATTTCTGTGTATCTAAACTTTATTTTGATTTTGATTTCAAAAACCTTTAAAATTCAAGAATGGCATCAAAACTTATTTGCACTTATGAAATAACGGGAATGTTTGTTGAGCATTTCAGAATTTGTTTAGAAAATAGAAGATGGACACAGAAATTATTGATTGAAGAGGCATGGTGTTAACCAGAGAGCTCAGAGAACCCCCCGAGTGGGTTGCAATATTCTCGAAAGTACCCTGCTTGAATTGCGGAGCTGCGCGAATAATTTATTTTCACTAGTGAGTAACTGAAATAATTTTTGAAACTTTGTAAATAAAAAAAATTCGGGGGCGTGGCGAACCTACCCTTTATCGCATCCACAGTATGAATTCTGACATACAGCTCCGCCTACACATTGAAGATTTGATATACAAGGTCCTTTAACCACTGAATAAGTTACGCAGCGATAGCTTATGTATGCCTGTAAGAGCAACTTGACACTAAGGAAGTTGTTTAATAGAATTTAGTGAGCTGTACAGACTGAATTACCATGAGTCACTTTTCTAATTTTGACCAACCTGTGTAACTGGACATCGCCCTCCATTGTTTGGAACGCAGTAGCCATTGACGAGTTGGCTGAAAGAACTTAACTAAGGTAAAAATCGGTAATTAGCGTTAAAAGTCAGTGTTTCTCCGATTGAATTCTGCTGTGTTGAGTCCACACAAAAGTTTTGTTGGTTTCTTAAAAAAACTTCTAATGTTTCTGCGCTAGACGAGTTTGCGGTACCTCAGACATGCCTTCGGGAAATATTTGATGAACACATTGATAATGACGTTTGTAGAATTACTTTGATTATCAATAAAAAAACGATCTGCTCAATCCCAATACTAAAGCAAATTTTCAAAAATTTAGCAGCTCATCCTCGGGTGTCCCGCTCATCTCTCTCTTTTCTCTTTCTTTATTTTTCTGGAAAACTATAACGTCTCCTTCCTCAAAAATTATTTTTGTGACCCCGAGCCCATTGAAGATCGCCAGCAATAAACATAGAGCACTTACAATCCTTGTATGCATTGACAGCTGTTGTTGACACATTGTGAATGATCGATGCATTGCTCCTCCACCATACACTGCATCCCAGGTGAAGCTAGTGATTCACATGTACCATTTACCATCACCTAGATGGAAAATGCTTTGCCAAGTGCCACGTTGGTTCGCTAGCGATAAAAATTGCAAACCAACCATTCCTAACTCGCATCCGCTCCCTGTTTGCACGCATTCTCCGTTCATAAATGCTGTACCATCTGGACATTCACAGCGATTAGTAGAGTTCTGAAACCAGTATGTGGCAGCCACTACGGCCCTGATATTGGAAATATCCCAGCATTCACAAAGATCTCTTCAAAACGTTGCTTCTTTGATTTGACTAGTGAACCAGTAATTAAAGGTGCTAGACTGCATCCGCGCTTCGGGACCGGACCGCGGTTTCTCGCTATTGGAAGATTTTTGAATTCTAGATTCTTTATATATTAGATACGCTGGAAGTTTTCAAGACATCCTAGACTTTAAGTTCAAGGCTACGCGAATCCGCTATGGGTATGAGCGCAGATTATGTGCATCGTCTCTGAGATATGTTCACTTTAAAATCGGTTGAAGGAAGATTGCCAGTCTTAGTTGATAACTGAAGCAAAACACGTGAAGCAAAAGAAGGATGAAGGCTGATAGGAGCGTTAGATGGCAGTGTCCAGGCAAATCTTGATAGCTGGGTTATATACGGTTTGTTCAGTATGCTGCCACGCGGGACTTTCCGGGACTTGGTTTGCGGGCAAAATTGACAGCGACAAGTCAAACGGGGTAATTGAACTGCATTGTACTAGTGCTAAACGATCTACACAAGCGATTATGACTACCAAATACTATTATGGAATTCAAGTATTCTGTGATACTGTGATAGAGTCTGTGGAACTGTAAAGCTATGAAGCAAGAGAGAGAAAGCAGGCAACAAATAATAAATGAAAAGAACATAAAGTAACTAAAGGCAGCTAACTTATATCCTCTACTTATATACGCGATAGAACATAAATAATTACCAAGACGCTCAAGAATCTACCGATAAGCCCAGTGATAAGCATAGACATAAACATAAACTGTGAGAAACACTGCTGATCGGACGCGCAAGGCATCCGTTCTTTGTGCGCGGCGCAGTGGATACGTACGCAAAGAGTTCGTATAGGTTTTTGATTTATCCAAAAAGACTCAATTTACATAAGGTACTGCACAGCTGCAGCTTATATCATTTTCTTCTTGCTGAAAAATCCTACCTTGAACTCTTGCTCACTACCGTGCCCCAAGACTCTGACTAGTTCGCTCTACAGCACCAAGCAATACGGTCGGTTCAGCAGCTTGAGCAGACTGCCCCACTTTGCGCAAAGGATTCCCACTGATGAGTCACGCTGATAAGGATGCAAGATGCTTTGAAAAAGTTACTAACCGTGCATACTGATCCACCAAGGCACTGCTCTGTTCTCTGGCAGTTTGATCCAACAGCAACACGATTTAAGCACTGACCGTTCACGAAAATCTGCCCATTTAGACATCTCCCAGCGGAACATACGGCTAAATTCAGAAAAACTCATGTCAAAAAGTTATAGAATGATTAATTTATTTTTCGCTATATGAAACATCAGCCAAAGCTTCCAGAGTGAGGAGTGGAAAGTCGAACTTCGAAGCGAAATTTTTCAAAAAGCCAATCATAAGGTAATGTTGTGAATTCTTCAAGACATAAGTTCTTGTTCATTTCATGCTTAGAAAAGCATATAAGAGATTTCATTTGTATTATAATGATGCTGGCTTTTTGACTTGAAAACATACGATGTGCTTCATATGCACAGCAAACGTTCTGAGTGCAGTTGTATCCAGCGGGACATTCGCCAACGGCTCTTTGGCACTGTACAGGTTGACCGATGTAGGAAAGAAGTGGAGATGAAGAAGATCCACATTCTGGAACAAATCTGCTTTTATAACGTTGGCAAACAATAGCTTGATGAACCTATTATATATGCGGTCAAGAGAATTGTGCTTTTTCCGGCTTATAAGCTAGAAATAGTTCCTCTGAAAATTATGTGAGACCATGTGAAAGTATGAGCCTTGGTATTTTCAATGAAGTGTATAAAAACATACGCGGAAGAAACTTAGGGATGTTTGAATGCGTATTTTGTCATTTTCCGACCGTATATTTAAATCTCTACCCAATTAAAATGAGTGTGAATGAATGGTCGTTTCCGTTTATTATCTGCTTGAACAAGTGGAAAAAGTAGCTATCATTATGTTTTTTCAAGTAATTGAGTCAAATTTCATTGATCACAGCAGATCCCAATAATATGTTCTGCATTCATAGAAAAGCATTCAAAAGTACACTCCAGAGGCTATTCTTTTTGCTATCTCTGTTAAACATGAAAAGACTTATGCTATTCCTTTTACAGTTAAAATCTAGTGAAACAGTGAAGCTCACGAAATTGCTTATTATGTGAAAGACATTACCAAGGAATAAACTGCAAGTTGCCTACTGCTCCTATTTACAAATGCAAAATTTACTAACTACTTAATTTACTAACTGCAGAAGGTTCATTTTCGTGCAGAAAATGAGAGTACTTGTTTTCTTCTCATAAGTATCATCTTGACAATAGCTATTCAAAAACATTATAATCGTTTTTATCTGACTAATAAAATCACTCGATTTTCTATGTAAAAATAGGAGAAGAAACGATTAAGAGTAAGCTACACTCTGGGCTATGAAGGGGAGAGCGGAGGGGGGGGGGGGGGGGAGGGGGGGGGGGAGGGGGGGAACATGAGTTACTGCAGTCTGCTATTTTACTCATCTGTTTACTCAGTGATTTATATAGCCATTTACGCCAATTTTCTAGCAAACTTACATGAAATTCATATGACTAATGATATTATTTTGTTACCGCGACATGATCAATGAATTAGGGCCGGACTGTTAGATACCGAAATACTCTTTTTTTTTCACAATCAACGTAGCTTTGGTGCCAAAAATCTCCTGATTTGCAAGGAACTTACGTTGGGCTTGTCCTGCACAGCATATATACCTCATATGTTGTGCTGAATACTGGCAAGCAGCTCCAGGTTTCAAATTCTGACAGGCGCAGACATCTTGTGGGGAGCAAGTTGAGGGCTGATATGACGACGGGAATGGGTAAAGACCAGGTGGGCATTGCCCGGAAACAACTGTAAAGAACGTCTCAACTAAATCCTAAAAAAGATTTTATTTTTTACCTGCAAAAAGACAAATGAATAGTAGTAGTTGCCGCTGCATTGATGTTCTGCTGCGGATTTCATGGAGATTTTTTTGCTGACTCTACTAGGCATACACTGTTTGAACAGCTGGCATTTTGCCGAAAGCAGACAAAACTTGGCATTTGAATTGGGACAAAGCCGCTCTGTGGCATAGTTCAGCCGTTGACCTCGAAAGATCACAGAGTTTTTCAGGGCATAGATCAGTTGGAATTTTATGTATTTCCAGCTTCAAAACCTGATAGCTCCTATAAAAGCTCAAAAATGGATAACTGAGGAAAGTGTCAATTTTTATTGGCACTTACAGTTGGAGCGATCTGATACAGTCCCCACATGCAATCGTACTAATTAGTATAGGGGAGGAAATGTCATTCTGCACTCGTGCACCTGCAGGAAGCTGCGCAGACGATGCCACCTCGCGGTCGTTTCTATTCTTCTTCTTTTAAAATTTGCGGTATTTCGCATCAACAATTGATGGTTATTATGGTGTTCTGCAGTGTTGACAACATTTGCGCGAACGTTATGTTCGTGAACGCAAGTTGCTGCGACCTGCACGTAAAAGGTTGCCGTATATAGCGGATGTTGATATTTACGCGCAAATGTTGCTGTTACCGCAAGGATACTACGTCTGTAGCCACATCAACTAGACTGTAGGTTTCCACTTTTCTAGTAATAATGGCTTAGCTGGTAGAATCAAAAAGCATTGCAACTAAAAATGGTGCTCAACCACAAAATGCTCCAATTGGTCCCGGTAAGAAAGCAACTCTTCTTTGATGGTTCATCTATTCCGCCTCATCTTTTGATATATTCAGTTAATCAATGAACAAAAATATTCAAATCATTTATCAATTAACTTTGCTTTTATCTCATATTTGAATAATCATGCAGTAAATATATTAACGAACGCTGAGAAGTACAAGACACGCTTGCATTGACTTTATTAGCAAAAAAACCTTTTAAGTATTAAGTAAACCTAATTTTGACAGAGGCACACTAAAATCTTGGGTCATGAGCATAAACGTAATTTGAAGATTTCACCATTTTACCTTGTGTTCTCGAGACCCCATTGCAGCGCAAAAGGAGCATATAAATTTGGAACTTGTTTGGCCGTACTGTCGAAGACCTTGGAATTTCTGCTGAAAATGGAAATTTCTGAAGTTTAGGACAAGTTTTTTGAAATGCAATCAGCTACTGGGCAAGCGCTGTGACTCGTATTTTTGAATTACTTATCGTTAGTTGCATGGATTTGTGAAACACGATTGTGGAGCGGGGACTTCCGGGGCCTCTAACAAAAATGTTTTGGGGAACTAACAGAACGTAGGCAGACATACGCAAATATTTACAGCAATAACATAAAGAAGAGCAAAACATTCGACTCTTGTGATTGTTACTCATACATCTAGGTACATACTTTGGTATCAAATTTCGATCTTCATTGTAGAACTGTTCTCCATACAAAACATTTTTTGAAGCCTTAACATGTGAGAGAACTGAAAAATATCTATGTAACAAGTTTGATTTCAGTATTGATCAGCGAGATACCTTTTCGAATCGTTAGTCGACTTGAAAAGTGGGTTGTAGAAAAATGAAGTCCGAGGATTGTAATCTAACGAAAGCTTGCTGAGCACTTTCTGCAATTTGTGCATCCTAAGTCAAAAAACTTCAAATAAAGAAAAATGCGCACAAGTTTCAAAGTTTTTTCTCATATCTACTAAAAATACCATCGAGGTCTAGGCTTTTGAAAGCAATGGTAATATGTGCGCAATTCATTAGCTATTATCCACTATTTTGATACAACTCCTATTATGCGAATTCACTACCTTTTGGCGAAAGATCATTTTGTGCAGTGTATGAATTCTATCTATCTTGGAAAAATACACCTCCGAGAAAGTACGATGCCACTTTAAAGAAGCTAACGCCGCGGTTATGTAAAATCCTTTTTTGCAGTTGATAAGCGTGTACCAAGTTAATGGTTCTGTATTTTGCATTTTGGTTGGGAAAGGGGGAAGTGCAAATTTTTCACGATCCTCCGTAAGGTTTGGATGTTTCCAAGATTATTAGCGCGCCTGTAATCCTGAAGTTTGAGAAAATTTTTCTCGGGGACTAATCCAACTTCTTGAGAATTTCAAAAATCATTTCATTTGCTTACGCATAAGCAAATCAACTGCACAGTTTCACAAGTTAAGTATACTTTCATAAATTTTGTGACCCATTCTGGCAGGGGAGGAGGAGTTGCCTTGCTTGGTCAGTCCCACACTGCATCATACATAGGGTTGCAAAATTTGTACAACTATATCGATTACGCCAGGAGCGCCATTTATCAGTTTGTAACTCATGTAGGTCGGGGGGGGGGGGGGGGGGGAAACACCTCACCAGGATTCCGCTGCTTCGTTAGCGCCAGCACAATGTCGAGGTTTTCTCACGACGAGCTGAGAATGTACAGCCATGCACATAAAAACGTGTCGGAATGCAAACCAAGCACTTCTCGTAATGCGGCTTTTTACGCCCCGCGCCTATCGCCTTTCTGTCTCCATCACACCGACAACGACTCTCCTTTGTGCATACTACTATTGTTCGCGATACTCTTTTTGATAAAAATTGACTCATTCCAATTTTTTGCGTTTTTTTTGCAGAAACTAGCGTCGACATCTGGTTGCTAGATTTTTTGGTGTACAATAATTTTTTTTTACTTTGAAAATTATGATCCACGTTAGATTTGATCGACCATTTCCACTGGGTCACCAAGTGAGTTGGAACACAGTTGCTAAACACTGTTTTATTTCATTATACGACCTACAAGTTGAATCCTGCTCTTTCTGACATTTCATGATGGAAAAGAGAAGACCTATCAGTTTATAATATATTCATGTAAAGAATTCTTAACAAAGAATATCTATCATGATCTTCAAGAAAAAATCAAAGAATCAAGTATGCACTAACCCAAAGTTTTTCCTTTTTGGCGAAAGAAAAGGAGAGCCACACTAGAAAGTGAGCATTGCACTTTGGTGCAATTGCACATGTTGCTTATGGATCCACTTGATTGTATGCTAACGCCCTTACTGTAGGTGCATCTTTGAAATCAAAATTCGCTAGATTCGCGTAATTTTTGTTCAGTCATTTTCTTTTATCGAAAAATTTCAGGTATTGTCAGAAAAAGTCGAATCATAATTAATGATGAGCTATTCGACTTTTTTTTGAAGGTCTATCACCGGCATAATGAACGCCGCAGTTATAGAATTCTTTTTTTTTTGAATTTTTTCTTTTGCCTCCCTCTGTGCTTGGTTTTTTCTGAAACTCCTTGAATGTATATTGCACTGTCTTTTCGCTGCAGGCTGCTTCCCTAACTTCTCAAAAAACGAAAAGTGAGAAAATGTTGAGAACATACAAAATCTCTATTCCTCTAACGTCTAAATACAAATGAGTACAGTTTCTCTTTTCATTAAGCTATGTATTTTTACGCAAGCAGGGTGCATGAGATAATGATTAGTTTACCTCGAACAGCTCTTTGTTCTTATCCATAGCGTAGAACATTCCGAAATACTATTCAGCGCAAAAAAGTCACTACTCGGCAAAAGCAAGTTTTTCGTAGAATCAACTTCACCTGGCAATACGACTATATAGGGTGCTCCAAAACATGCATCAATTGTTCAACCGCTAAAACTTTCTTGTTTGAACAGGTTCCGCGGAATCTTAGGTGCATTGTATACTCGGCTACAACTTGAAATGTTTACAAAATGAATAAGCCATCAACTTTTGTACCGTAAAATTACAGCAAGGTTTGGAAAGTTTTGTGTCCTTGAGGTATCTTGCCCTAAATTTCCTGAAAAAGAAACTTCGATCAATTTATTGAGCAATCCTGATTACATAGAAAACCTCTCGCTTCACCTTAAGAACAAATACGACAGGTATACCGTGAATTTTATACATCAATCGATTGATAAATAATGAATAGTAAAATTAATATTTACAGGGTGCGCCAAAATTACTGGCGCGCGTTTCCTTCGGTGCCAGGAGGATACTAGACGGGTTTGAGGACGGATTAAGTATGTATTTGTTTTCACCAATCATCATTATTGTATTGCAATAGTCAAATCAAAATTTGGCTGCTTTGTCTCTTGAAAAAATCACAATTCCTCTCGCCGACCGAAGTGTGCTCTGTACGCAAGCATGGCTTTGAGAAATTACGTAACATCTTTCTGACAACATTTTCTCCTGCTTTGTAATTGCGCACAAAGATAGAGTAAGCCTTCCTCTCTAATATAATCCAGTATGGAAATTTGAAAATTAACCCGAAGAGAATTGTTGATTATTCAAAAACATAGTTGAGAGGCGGCATAGCGAAAATTGGCGTAATTTTGGTCTCCCTGAATGCGCCTTAGGATCAGAGAATGTCTTCTAAATCAGATTTAAAACTATCTCAACTAGTCGCTCTTTTGTAGATGCTCTTCTACATGTCTCACAAATAGGGAATTGTTTTTACCTGAGAAGTTTTGCATACCTGAGGCCAAAGAATCGATTTTGACCTAAGGTCATTGCTCGTACGCAGGTATTTTCCGCAAATACATTTTCTTATCTCGTGAAGGAACAAATTCTGCAAATGCCGCTAGACCTATGTGATAGTTCTAATTGTGCTCTACAACCTCATGGAGGAGTTTAGAAAGGCTTTGACTTTAGTCAATTACGGAGCAAATTATGAAGATATAAAAAATTTCATTCTTGCCTTTTCTGGAACCACTAGTCTAATTCTTTAAGTTTTAATTTCTTAGAAGGAGGTCTTTTTGAATTCGATAGAATGTATTTTGTAGAGATTGATTGGCGCCTTCTATGACACAAATTTGTGCTTGTATTTTTTAAAGGTTCCTTGGTGGCAGTGTTTGTAAAGTTGGCGCCGGTAATTTTGGCGCACCCTGTAATAATAACCTAAATCCCTTCCGCTCCTTGCCCGAAAGATTCATTGGCAACAACTGGACACGTTCCCAGTAACAAATAACTTCAATGAAACTTCCATTTATAGCCCTTACAGCCCCATTTCAGAGTCTTGATTACTCCAGTAACCACCCCAACAATGTGCATGGACACTAATTTCCGTCTGCAAAGTGAAAAACACACCGAAGTTGTCGAAGCTTGGCCAAAACAGTGCGTCTCATCCTTTTGCCCTTGTGATTCCTACAGAAAAACTTCAAAGTGCCAAGTCACTAATCCGCAACTTTTAGGCTTAACTTCGCTCTACTATTAGCAACAAAGGGCTGCAGAAGGGAGTGCTTTTTGAAAAGTCTAAACAATTTGAGACTCAAATGTCTTACATTTTGATATTATAATTTTGAGGAATGTAAGCGTAACCTAGTAGAGTCCAATTATAGTGCCCCTGCGGTAAAGACAACACTTGCACGGAAACATATGACATGCTTATAGGAGCCAATAATTTACATGCGAATCGCACAATGAAATTGCTGAAAAGCGCAGGTTGCCATTATTTACGCGCAAATGCTGTCGGCAAACGCAAGAACACTATACTAGCCGTAAAATCAACTTGATTATTATAGCCAATTTTTTCATCTTATTAAATCCCCGAAAATTCAAGTGGAACTGATTCTTTTCTAAACGTACCAACACGATGGTTAACATTTACAGAAAACGGGTTATTCTAAATTATTTTCTCCATCTCCCCCTTGGCTATAGACTTTTTCAGCCCTCATTGGGCTGGGCTCATTTCGTATGCAAAATGCAGCTCTTGTTTACCGTATATGATTGAGAGGTATGAAATCATTACTATTATGATGAACTGAAGGCCATCAACAATAACAAAAAGCTGGCTCGAAAAAATCATTTTCTTCGGAATATTTTTGCATAGGCATACAAAACAGGTTCTGAAAAAAAAACAATGATTAGCCGATAACCTTGATCTTCCTATGATATTATGCGTTGTCAGAATATCTAATGGTCTTTGCGGAGCGAAGAAGATGTCATTCTCATTTGTTGCGAGCAAAAACTTTACATGGAAGTCCTCCGTGCAGCTGCAAAACATCATAAAAACCTTATTGACCTTGGACAGATAGCGATGTTTGCTTCAATGTCAGGGCAAAGTGGGGCTTCTTTTGTGTTTTTCGTCAGAAAAGATTTTTCAAGCATTGAATTTCTGCCGATGCTTTCAATTAAGATGTTATTAATGATATTGGATATTAAGGGCCGCATGCACTAACATCCCTGCGGCGAGGGGAGCGGCGCCCCCAATGATGAAAAAGCCGCAGCGGCGTCCGCACGCGGTCCCTTCATAACGGGGGACGCCGCTCCCCTCGCCGCAAAAATGTTAGTGCATACGGGCCTAAAAGGGATAAAAAATCGAGTTTTGCTGTAAAACATCGTGTTAGATATCATTTTATGGTCCATTTACTGTTAAAAAGCTGGCGTCCGTGTATCGCTTGCTGCGCGGAATGTTTATCGATTTCTCCCAGCGGCATCCGCAGGCGCTCGCGGCCATGTCTGCGTTTGCGTCCTTTTTATCGCTGCGATTTATACAACGCTTGAACAAAGAAATGAAACTACTTCCTTTGCTAAAAAATCTGTTGATACTCCAGAAAACTCTAAATTAGGACATCTCGTGTAGGAACCAAAGCCACAATATCTGATCTCAGTTATCCAATCCTGGCACTTCAAAGCCCCTCATAGTGATTGCGCATTCGCAAAATATTGCGATGTCATTCAATATGTATGCGCTTCGCAAGCGCGGTTATGGGCTCCAATGGTTCAATTGCTCACGCGATTCTGCACATTTGAAGGCTCGGCTGAGCGCAAGCTTACAGCATGGCGACTAATTTGGGAAGCAAAATTGATTCCTTAGTTTCCCACAGGTAATATTCCAGTATTTTCCGGAACTTCGTAACATTTAAATTCTCAATTTTGTGTGCTTTGAACGTTGGTTTAATAAGTTTTCTGGCTTTCATTTATTTGGTAAAACACGTGTTAGTCGAGAAGTTTACTCTTAAAAACCCTGAGAGTGATGTTTCATCAATTTTTCAAACCCCTCGAAAAATCATACCATATAATTTATGCTAAAAAACTTTTTGAAATCTTAACCTAATTAACCACAGTTTTTATTGGTATTTTCAGTCGCAAATTAGAAGTTCAAAAGTTTTGAAAAATTTTTGATTAAGATGGGATAAGTGTCTGTTGGTTCATACTTCGCGGTGTTTCCTCTATATATTTTACAAGTTTGTAAACCTTATGAAAATAAAACAAAATAAAATAAGATGGAATAAACCCGCAAAATGCAACGGAAAGTTAAATTTACACCAACAAACATTAATACAAACTTACTGCCTACTAATTTATTATAAGCATGACCTGTCGTAAATGTCCACAATGATTGATCCCTGCGAAAATTCCTCTCAAAATAAAAAAAAAGATGTCATTTGAAAGAAGGTTCTTTACTCCTACATGGGTCATATTCCTCTATTTCAACAGGGCTTCATAAAATCGGAATCCTGAAGATCTTGCCTTTGTGTACTTCATACTCTACTTGTCTGCACCATAAAAAAACAAAATCAAGAGCCTTGAAAACTTCCTTCATGAAAACTCGGCAAGTCAAGCGGCAAATTAGAACAAAATTTCAGCTCAGATGTGTACTTTCTATCATAGCAATTCTTTGAGGGGCAAACTGAATATATGAACACCAGAATTGCTAGTGTAACGCGCAATGGAGGATACTGTAAGAGTATGGTAAGCATACGGTAGGGGATTTGTTTGAATAAGATTGTCGTTCTACACGTTAATCGTCTGGTCAACATGTACTGACAAGCTAAGACAAGAGTTCGGGTAATTTGACTCCTCAACTGGTCAGCACAGATTGTAAAGTCCGTAGAAGTGGGACATTAGCAAGCTAATGCACAATCAGTCCTCAGAGGCCCCTAGACCTGTGCCCGCTTCTGGTGATGAAGAATTGCTCTCGCCCTTTAACCTACTGGCATGCTTCGACCACTTCACTCAAAAACACGCCATCAAACAGACGAAATCATCACTGCAACACATCTGGCAGTGCTCGATGATGCGCCCGACGGCTTCTTCAATGCGCGCGTCGCGGCGCAATCAGAAACGCTCGGAAAGAGCACGGTAGTCAGGGAGACGCAGACACTTTGCGTCGCGGTCGTGTCGGGTCAGCGCGGCCGCCGCCGATAATTGCGGACCGCCGACGGAGCAGTGCCGTCGGCCTTCGTGGTGGCGCAAACCGACGATGTTTCGCTATCCATTCCGGTGGCCGATGGCGAGTTCCGAAGCGATCCGCTTGCTCATTAGTGAATTCTCCTCTAGAAGATGTGCCGAATTAGCTTTGATTGGGCGAAATTAGCCGCAGATTTGGTTGGAAATGCTCGCCGTTTCTTGCAGATTTTCTCGATGTTGGGTAAGAATACTGCTTTCCCGTTGTCGTTCCTTTGCTCTGCATGGACATAGTGTGTCTTTTGCCAGTTTCTTCTTTCAGAGATATAGGCATTTGTTTATTTTCACATTCTCCTTCAATTTTTACTTTATCGATTTGTCGTCCAAGTCGTTGCACTTTTTTCACGAACAAAAATTGAAGGTTCATAATCGTTTTCAAGCATGAAGAATCTAATCAAATCGTCCGTGAACGTATAAATCACGTTGTTCATTCTTTAATTTATCGAATTGCCATCAGACTTTGTTATTCTTTTTTTTTTCAAAAAATTGCCAGTTTATTTTCCATCGTTTCTAAATTGTCATTTTCCTCTCCAGAATATATAAATCTCGTTTCAAACCCACATAATATTCCCTAGACACATCACCACCGATTCTAATAGCCCATTAACATTGCCCCACTTCTAAATCGATCGTCTCTGCCCGTCTTTTCTCTTCTACAATGCAATTTCTTCGTTTTTCTCGTCTTTCCCCGTCTCCTCTAATTTCGCTGAGAATCCTCGGCCGATATCGATCAGCGTTCTGTCAGAACGTCATCGCTCCGAAAAAAAACCTCCCGGATATATCTATTCATTTGAGCTCGGCGACTGCACATCAAAGTTGTTATTCCCGTTTTCCATGGATTTTATGAAGTTTTGTTGAATAGATTGTTGTGTCTGGTTTGGAACAGAAGTGCTCGACAAATAATGGACATGGTTTTTCCGATCTCCAACTCTTTTGCAGCGCGCACACTTGTTAGGTCGCCTATAAGCGGCTGGAGTGATTCATCTTTTGCGCGATGAATCGTTTCTTTACTATTCTCTGATTCATGCTTTCCTTTTCTCGCGTATTGCCGTTTTTATGTTTTTGACTGCTTGCTCAACGAGAGCGCATTCATGTGGAAGGAAATTTGTTGCTATTTTTCCCTCCATCCGCTCCGCATTTGCAATACTAAGGTGCTATACGAATTTAGGCATGTGCCGACAGTTTGGGCTTCAGAAGGTCAAAATAGGTTCCAGCTGCTCAAATATATATTTATTATATATAAATGAATTATTATACTTCAGTATACTTCATATCATTCGTTTTAGTAGATCCTTATATATTAGATTAGGGAAGGCTATTTGTTCAGCCACATTTTTTTTGCCAGCGACGCAAATGATTAAGTTTGGTATTCTTTTTATGCAAAGTCTATGCGATGATGATTGATAGAGACGTTCGCTATGAACTCTGTGCTGTCTATATGCGATTCATTTATCATGGCGTCTTCTGCATTTTTTCGACTTTTTGAGGCTGCATTGCGTAACATAGAAGAGTTTATCATTCATGCATTGTCTCAAGTGATGCTCTTGCTTTAATTGAGCATCTCAATCCTATTCTCTTGTTTTTTTTAGATAGATTCAGATTTGGAGCTGTTTATTTTTCTCATTGATAAACGTGGAAATTAAGAGTGAGGTTAGTTTGGCTCAATAATCGCTTGAAATTATTATTCTTCAAATCCAATCTTCAATTTTTTCATTCTGTAGGTTTTGCTCCCATTCCCTTTCGATGACTAGAACAAGCTGAACAAATCTGTTTGTTGTCTTGACGATGCTATAAATGTAAAGTCATGTGACGAGTAAGTACAGAAGTCCTAAGGAAGAAATCTCCTGGGTCTAACATAGGATGTCCACGCAAGCCCTGTAACTATCAAATGTCAATCAGAAGCTGTTGCAGAGTTTACAAGCTGATTTGGGGTTTTTTTACAGCATGGATTTTCAAAGGTCTGATAAGTATTGACAGAAGCTCTTCCAAAAAGGAACGAGAAAGATGGCGGATGCGGTTTACACAGAAATGTTCTAGGCAGTAGAAAATCTTGTTTGAGTAGCTAATTCAAACATAGGTTAGAGAAGATTGATTGGTTTTATTGTCTGCAAAAATGAGCGAGCACATCTTAACGGTTTCCATATAAAAAAAGAAAAAACTGCGATGTATCGTTTGTATTTGTTGTTCACCCGTTATATTTCAGTTTGGGGATTTCTATGCTGTGATAAATATTTCGAGCTAGTACCTAATCTCCAAACAGTGAAAAAAACATTTTCAAAACATTCCTGTCACGTTAGAAAGACTGTGATGATTTACTTGACGACCCACTTCATCACTCACATCTTCAAACATTCAGAAGACGTTAGTGACTAGTGGATTTATGATCTAATCGAAGCGACGACTAGCGAACTTTTAGGTTTTTGATTTATCGCATTTTTTCATTCACGTCCCCTTTTTTTCCTGAAACAGTGTTGAGTAGACAGACATTGTGTATCTGCGTCTATTCGACCAAATGATGGGATTACCTAAATGTGTATAATGTGACCTTCTCAGAGATTTTTATTGCTTGCTTGCTTTAGAGTTCTTTGTGGAGGTTATCATGCATATTTTTAGGTAAACCCATTATTTCGTCGAATGAGCGAAACCCATTCGACGAAAAGCCGTGGCTCTTCAAGCACTTTAATGAGTTCTCATAAATTACGTCGGTGCAGGTCTGAGTTTGCGTACGAACAGCTTGCTGTTGGTCGCTCTCACTTCCAGCCAGTTTTTCAATGCGATAAGAATCATCTGTTCTTTTAGACTTGGTAACCTGCATGTATATGTACAGAAACTGAGTCAGCCGGCGTTCTCAGCCTACAGAAAACGACTTATGTAAAAGCTGTCAATTTTGTGTGTGCCCGACTCAGATGCTTTGTGGTGCCGAGAATCGATACATTTCGCAATGGCCGCACGCTTGTTATATCCATGCACTCAGCGCTTATCCGTATCGGTTCGCCATTTCTGTGTGGTGTCTGGATGGAAGGATGGAAGAGTTCAATTGTTAGCTCATCGTCCTCTCGCTCGGTCACACACACCCATCGTATCTTTTCCGCGGCTCACTTTCGAAGGAGAGTGGTCGATATTCTCGAGAGTACGATTTGTTGTACATCATTGTAATTCGATATGTCTCATCGTGTTTCACTCTCCCCGTGCACTAACTGTTTCCATTCGTGTGTTGCAATAGCTCGCTTTTTGTCTGCGTACATGTGGGTCGTAAATTTTAACTCCAAATATTCACTTGTTTAGGGTAGGTAGACCGAGCACGGTAGCAAGATGGCCGAAGGACCAGCTGAGTGCGGCGTGCAGGTATTGTCTTCTCATATTTTTTTTGCATTCAGTTGTGAAAAGAATCAGTTTTTAATTTCTTGTTCATAATATTTCGTTTTGATTTGAGGATTTAGTTCATTTTTGTAAAAAAAAAGAAGTGTCTATATTTGTGTGTGCAATCACTCATTCGTGTATTCTGGGCTTAAAAGCAAAGACAAGCGCATTATCTTTGCATGACTGAGACTATTGCGTTTGCAACGCCGAAGCGTCGGTCCAAAGATAATGCCGAGGCTGTTTCTTTGAGTTCACATGAAGTGTCTATAGTTACTTTCAAGTTAAGACCATACTTATTATTTCGAAAGACTTTCGTAAATGTTGGTTTTCTAAGCGAAGGTCATCTAGTCTTACCTCAAAAGCCTGTGAAATATGTGAGGAGATTGAAAAGCTTGAAAGCACAACTAGCACTTATTTTCCTTGATATTTTCAGTTTTCAAACGAAGAGATCGGTCAGAGTTTGCCAGTGTTGCCGGTGTTGAAAGTGTTGCCGGTGTTGAAAGTGTTGCCGGTGTTGAAAGTGTTGAAAGTGTTGAAAGTGTTACCGGTGTTGAAAGTGTTGCCGGTGTTGAAAGTGTTGAAAGTGTTGAAAGTGTTACCGGTGTTGAAAGTGTTGAAAGTGTTGCCGGTGTTGAAAGTGTTGAAAGTGTTTCTCATTCTTCCTCGACCGACATTGCCTGTTGTATGTGTTTTGCTCACTAATCGCAAAGCGCCCGATTTGACACCGAACACGCATTACTCGTCGGATTTTAGCAGCGTTCTCAAATAATGGAGATTGCCTATGTAGAACAAGTGCTCTACTTTAGTAAATTTGGAATAAGGATCTTTTGCATGCGAAAGCAGTACTCTATAGCTTTTGGAAGTAACTATAAGAGTTGACATCTATTTTATAATCTTTATTTCGGGCAGAACTGTTTCCCGATATTCTGGGATTTTCCACACGTGCAGTAAAGTGCTTTCAATTTTCATCTGTAGCGCTCCGTTCAGTTGGCCATGCATTTGTAGAGTAAGACATTCAATCTGATGATAGGTACTATGTCCGGACTGAATGGGGATGACCTTCAGTTACATCAAGCAATTTTGTTCATCATAATATTCATAGTGAACTATTTGTTTCTAGAAGAATGAGCTATTACGCCCTATCAAACGTTTTGCATGCACTGGTGAACTTACAAGCTGCTGTAAGTTTGAACCCACGCAGTCGCCAGTATGTGCGTCAGGAACATCGTCCTTACTTGGAGACCCGTTTCCGACTTTTTGATGAGTATATAATTACTAGAAGGCCTCAGGCCTTCCGTGATTTTATCAGGCTGTGGCCTGATGAGTTTGAAGACCTCTATCAAAAAATCGGAAACGGATTGGAACATCCAAGAAACCATGTCGGTCATATCACCGGCCGCCACAGGCTGATGATATATCTGAGGTGAATACCATCCGACCTATACTCAGTAATAATATACAGATTTCTGTACAGATTCGTCACACAGAGAATGTCGTTTTCCGCCTATGCCTTAGACATAGGCATGGGAAGAACGACTATCTCGTATATAGTAGCTGAAGTGACGGAGGCAATTATCAATGGTATATACATTGAGTGGAAACGGTTCAAAGGAATCTGTAATTCAGGGTTGCACGATCAAGCATTCCCACCTATGACGCGTGAAAGATTTGAAGACGTCGCTGTAAAAACCCAAGAACGTTTTGATTATCCTCGGGCCGTTGGGTTTATGGACGGAAAGCACATTAATATCAAGGTTTCCGCTCCGATAATGATTAATAATTGACATTATAAACAACTTTTTAGAAGCCCATGCATTCAGGAAGTATTTTTTGGAATTATAAACACTATTATTCCATAATACTTCTTGCGATTGCGGACGCCGATTGTCGTATAATGGCTTACGACGTTGGCGCCCCCGGTCGCGCTGGCGATGCGGGGGTATTCCGCAATTCCAACATCAAGGTGTGGTCTTCCCTCAAAGAATGAAACATTTAATGAATTTAGATCTTCCTGGAACGGCAAACTGATTTATTTCCTCCTACAACTGATCTTGGTCATGTTGGTCCCGTGCAATATCATATACTTGTTGACGGGGGTTTTGGGCAAAGCTTCAGATTTGTACGGCCTTACAGACAAAGAGAAGCTGACACTCCCGATAAGCGAAGATTCAATAGCAAATTGAGCAGGTCAAACTATATATTAGTTTGACCTGCCCAAAAATTTATATCTCAGTTTAGAGCGAGACGAACTATTGAGTCAACATTTGGACTTTTAGCCCAGAGGTTTCAAGTGCTAATGACCCGAATTAATTTAGAGCCCGATCGAGTCAGAAGACTTGTCGTGTCTTTACTGGTCGGTTCTGACTCAATTGAGTCAACGCTTCGGAATAAATGAAATATCACAGATTCTTCATAATCTTCTACGACGTAGACAAGATACCCTCGAAGGGGTACAGAGATATGAATCTGCCTCGAATGGTTATGATGCTTTAGAAATGGAAACGGAAGACGGAGCAGATTCAGCGAATCTCGCAAGAGATCGCATTACGCAGTACTTTGCGCAAAGAGAAGCAAATGTACGCTAATGGTGAATATCAGTCCTGTTGAGATCCAATCGGAGTTAAACAATTCGCAGGCTTTTCGCTTACAAAAGATCCTTGTAGTCTTTTTGTGTGAAATCATGATTGTTTGACTGAGAAGATTAACTCTAGTTGACAGGATGTATTTCAGATTTGAGCCGGTTCTGCGAAATTTCTATCTTTATTATTGTACGGGAAGGAAATAGAATTGTCTTTTGGAGAAAACACAATTGTTGCATCACTTTCTTACCTGTATTCATCTAGATATTGCTCTGTTTAAAAAGTTTTGTTTTTGTTTTTTAATGTACAAAGAGTCAAAACTTGATGTTCATTAATCAAACAAAGCAACAGCAAATCAAGATATTCTCTCAGAGATTGCTCGAAGAGAATGTCGAAAAAAAGGAGTGATTTTGAGAGGAAAAGAAAATAAAAACAAAAGCGTCTTTTCCAAAAACACTCTAAGACGACGCATCGGAAGCGTTTTGTTGCATGCCTTCATAGTCTACGTATTGAATCTTTGAAATAAGCGTTGTCATTATAACGTTCATTTTTTCGTCCGAAGCATCGTCAGGCATACCACGCAGAGTTTCCGCCACAAAGTTACCTCAAAGTCCGATACTTCTTTTATAATTAATTTTTAAATTTTAGTAAGCTCACCAAAATGGGTATATTTGTCCATGCTCTGAATATTAGCTACCTGTTTTTTGACGGCCTCTACGGCTTCGAAAATGGCACTTTGCTCTTAAAATGAAATGACATATTATGTCACATAAAATCGATTTCACCTTCAGTGCCGGGTCGGACTTTTTTCGCAGGTGTTCTTTTTTCATACAGAGGTCTCTTCCCGAGCAGCTGTATAGGAGCGCCAGACTGACTGTCTTGTGAGGATCTTCTCGCATAGCTTTGCACCGGAGCTAAATTTATTATCACCGCTTATACGCGCTCAAGTCTAGCGAAAAGTTACCATTCTCATCACCATCTTCTTCTAAGTCTACATTTGTTATTCTTACGCTGAATTGCGGAATTTGATGGAGATATTTGTATTTTGAAACATTCTGAGAAATGTAGACTATACCTCTGACAATCCGCGACATCGAGATAAGACAATAGCCTATAAATCCCTTCCGGTTTAACTGCGGGAGAACCCGTGCGTAGATTTTGAAAGCGCTTATAAGCGCTACGCATTGATTTCCACTTCGCTTTTAAATCTTCTACTGAACAGATACTTGCAGCTGCTTTCAACCTTTTTCATCCACTCACCATCGCAGGCATAACCTCTTTCCAAAAGGTTGTCGGCGATGTCTGACCATGCCTGATTTCTCGAGGCGTTGTCGTGGTATGAATCGGAAGATGGGTCCCAGAGGCATGGTTTTTTTTCTACTTGCATTGCCAGCGCTTCGCGGAAGGTGAAACTCATTTTGACTAAAATACAGTCATGTCTCAAAAGCAAATGAATCACGCAAAAAGTTAGTACTGTCAAGGCGTAGGGTCCTACCATGACGCCGTGTCTTGAAGGCCACGTCCTAAGTTGAGGGTCTTGAACTTTTGGCAGCTTACGATAGTAGGGTGCCTCAACAAGGTGATGCCCAATTCGCGGCGCAAAATGTCACTTCGGAAGCGAAAAAAGGCTTAGAAATAGGGAAGAGGCATGAAGACCTCAAATGACACCGCCCTCCCTAACCCGTGCATTCGTGCGCGCCCATCTAATCACCGCTCCGAAATGCCGGCCTATGTTTCCTCCGGAACGGGAATTTTCGGAGTTTTCACGGATTCCCAACTTCATATTCGGGATCAGGGACATGAGAAGCCCCCTGAATTGACAAAATTGTGGAGGACAGAATCTGTGTGGACGATGCCTTCAAACGGACTACCCTTGGACAACTACTGCAGCGGCTCTTGCCCAATTACGCTTGACTATTGAGTGTGGCGTCTAAACACCAGCGGAAGTGCATCAGGCGAGCCTCGCCCATGGGTCTATCACTAACGGTGGTCGGACGCCTATATGGGCTCACAATTTTCAGCAGCTGCTCGCGCACCTATACAGACGATTGGTAAATTAGCACCGGTCCGCTCATTTCCATGAGTTAAGACACACTGTAGGTGAATATACTCACCAGCCGGTGAGGTCGGTCGAAAAAAAATGAGAAACACTCTCACACCGGCAACACCTTCAACACTTTCAACACTTTCAACACTTTCAACACTTTCAACACTTTCAACACTTTCAACACTTTCAACACCGGCAACACTTTCAACACCGGCAACACTTTCAACACTTTCAACACCGGCAACACCTTCAACACCGGCAACACTTTCAACACCGGCAACACTGGCAAACTCTGACCGATCTCATAAGCCCTCAAGCGCCTTTTTGACGGAGTTGAAGTTTTGGTTTAGTGACAGACGGAGAATGCGCCATTGACCATCTCCTTGATTGGGTGTTCCCCTGATTCTGTGACCTAATGCAGCTCCAGTTGAAAAAGTGTGCAGCTGATTACAGCATCATTTTTTGGCACATAGAAAACATCTGTTTCCAATTTGCGCAGATATATTTGGCTTTGCGTCTCAAAGGCATTTTGCAGGGCGATTTCGGTGTAGCTTGGGAGATCATTATGTCATTTGAGGAGTATGTAATCTTTTTGGACAGAGCAGTTGTAATTCTTCTTTGACTTTTGATTTGAAGAGATGCAGTTATTCTTATTTTTTTCCAGGAGTATAGTAAACCAAAAATTTATTCTGTGAAGATTTCATATTACATTTTACTTGCATAGTTTTTTTTAAACATTGGTTTGAACGAAAGCGTAATCTTTATGTTATCAGTCTTCTTATTAAGTCATGAATCTCACAAGCTGGCAGTGGTGATGCGTTGTTCTAGACTACTTGTTTAGGTGTTCTGCCGAATCCGACCGCTCAACAAGACAGAAGAAAAGAATGGCGATCGATTTTTGCCGAAATTCCCCAGCGAAGACACGATTTCAATCGGGGTTAGTTGCTGTCGGATGTCGCGTTTGTCCTCAGTTGTTCGTGAGTGTGTTTTGCGACACGCGCACCTCTCCGGTTGGCGCGCGCAATACCCCCTCAACGGGTGCATGTCTACACACCTCAGCCAGCGCCAGTACACACATAACGGGGGTTGCGATCACTATTGATTTAGGAGTGTTCTCGGGGGTTTCACATCCGAACAGGTGTGTCATCAGTAGCGTGTATGTCCTTGCCACGCAGTTGTAGCCGCCGTAATGGTCATACGATTCGAATTACGGCGTGGAATATTTTTTTTGAATGAGGCAAAATGGGTTGTAAAGCTAATTTGAAAATTTTAAAAATTTCCACTTAGGTGGGACATAGATGAAGTACCAAATTTCTACTCAATACTGGTTTGTTACAGTTCTTAGTATTCGAATCAAGTTCTGACATAGTTTTGTAACTAATTTCTTAACTTCTCTTTTTTGAATTGTGGCGTCTCAATTTTTTTTTACAATATAGACTAGGTAGTGAACTACAAATGTGCGAAACCATTTGTATTTGGTGTCAAATGGGAGAAGTGCACGAATTTTTCGAAAGCTGGTCAAGTTGGAAAATTTGTTGTGCTGAATACAACAGCGAAGCCATTCGCAGCTTTGATCAACGTATCAAGTTGAAACTGTACAGTGATAGTTGGTGAATGAAACTCTAGCAATCTATATACAGTTTCTGCGTGTTGCGTTAAGAAGGCTGAGAACGGCTTCATTTTTGTTTTCAGCATAGTGAGATATCTATAAACTAGCTTTCGGAAAATGCGTGAATTTTCCTCATTTTGCCACCAAAATCAAACGGTTTGCTCACAATTTTAACTCACTACCTAATCTACTTATATCAAAAACTGAGAGCGCCGCATCCAAGAAAAGGAAAAGTTGTGAAATTAGCTGCAAAACTTATGTGCCAATAGAATTTTATCTGGACGAGGATATGGCGCAATTGTCACTATCCCATAATAAAAGTAGAGTAGATGACATCTGCTGTCTCATTCCAGATTTTGGACATATCCGAAACTAGATGGATGCGTTTACTGCCATTTACGACCCGCGATTGTGCGAGAGCAGTAGATTGGCGTAGGTGGTGGGAATATGGTTTGTAAATAGGGGTCTACACTGGTACTTGACTGGTACTGGTACTGGTACTTGATGTGCTATCATATCTTTTCTTCGTCATCTTTTGTTTTGTCATCTTTGGGGCAACTCAGATTGCTCTACGGGGGCAAAAAATTGTTTAAAAAGTCCTATCGGGTAAAAAAAGGAAAATATTATTTTCTCATTGTATCGCTGCAAGCCGATTTCAAGGCAGTTGGATAGAAAAATTCCATCAAAGCAGATCGTGTGTCTTCTCTTTATAAAACCGTGGCGTTCTGGTAATTCTTTTTAAATTTTTGTTTGGACTTTTTCAGGGTTTTGAAGCTATTCCCCGCTGAAAACAGCATTTAGCCGAAGCATTGAATATGCACAAGACGTTACTCTAAAAACCCTATGCAGCTCAAGCAAAAATGAAAGAACGTTTTCCCTCAACTTCAAGTTTGTATTTTGCTCCTTGTAATTTGAATCTCTGTTTATGAACTTCGACAGTTTTGTAGTTTGTGCTGAATTTGAATTCCTTGAAGTTTTTCTTTTCCCAATGCATAATTAGCCTCAATTTCCCGAGAAAGGAAGCGCTCATTTTTCTTCCATTTACCCGTTCGGTCTGCAAGTCATCCAATTATTGACATCATAAAATGGTTAGGGGCTCGCATGCACAGCTGCATGTCCGATAAATGTCTTCAAAGGATGATTGTCGAGCGGAAAGCTTCATTATTCACGTCATTATATCTACCCGACTGAGATTCGGTACAGCCGGCACGGAAAAGAAAAATCGGATGGCCGAACAACTGCAGATCGCTGTCGCGATAGTGTCCGTCCGCTTTGCGGCAGTTGACCGCATCTTGTCAATGCACATTAGTTTGTCAGTTTTTTCGGCGCGGATATGATGGCGCAAGGTATATGTATCATACGCAGTGCGAATGTGTAAATGTTATAGAGGAGACTGCTGGAAGTAGAGGAGAATGAAAGCTCTAAAAGGATTGTCCCTCATCTGTCCTCCAAGTAAACGCTCGAGTCCCGCTGCAAAAGATGGATTTTTACGAGAAAATAGCTTCAAAGGTAGAAGCAGAATTGGTCGCTCCGCCCATCGTCGTAGGTGGTCTGAAGATACAAGTCAAACTGAGCTTAAATGTGTCCGAAATTGTCGAATATCCGCTCTTCATTACCATCATGGACTTTCGATAGTTTAAGGCACATCTAAGCTCAATTTTGGATTTATTTCCAGACCACCCGGTTAATGGGCGCAGCTACCAACTTCGCTTCTACCTTCTGGAGCGATTTTTTCGCTATGGCATTCATATTTTGCAGCGGGACTTCGGCGTGTAGTTAGGAATCACTACTGCGTCGTATCAAAATCTCATCATCCTCAGTCTGAGTTTGCGGTGCCTTTGAAGGTAGTGAAATGGGCAGGAATGAATTGTATGGGATATGTTTATAATGTGGCAAACGAAGGTGCAGACAGTGTTTTCAAAATGTTGAATGTTTTCGCTATTATTCATACCCTAATGCATCTTGCACTGCAGTGATGAGAAATGTCTAGATTTTTATCCAGCTGCTGTTTTGACATTGAGACAGGCGATTTATCTTAATGGCGTGAGCCGATCGATGTGGGTGTGTGTGCGGGAACGGCGCATTGCTTTTCAGCGAGAGGGAAGGTTTGATGGAGTTTCTAATTTCCAAAATCAATGGCTTTTGTTGGAAGTAGCTGAATATGATAAGAGGAAGGGGCTTTGAAACTTATTGACTCTGGGTCTTTGTGGCAGCATTTAATTTATGGTCATAGCATCTGCTTATTCATAGCGTTTTGATAAAAAGCAGCGCTCTGTGCTCGATGGCTTTTCCGCCTTCTTCAATAGGAATGTCGAATCGAGTATTGCGAAAGAGAGACAGTGCTTTGCAGAAAGTTTTTGTAAGGTTTTATGGTCGACGTGGTGATTGATCAAAGATTCATGTAACACATAAGAAAGAGAGTTAAAGGAGTGAGAAAATATTTTATGAAGAAGAGGGATGAGAAAAGGGGATAAGAATAAATATGGAGCATCTCTACCGCCGGCACGATTGTTTGGGTTATTTTTGTTCTTGGTAGAAAATACATATCCCACCGCTGTATAATCGCCCTTTGAACTACCTAGACGTTTGAGTAAAATTCGATTATCCTTTTTGTCTGAACTATTATTTCTCCTCTTCTTTGCCACCATAGGTAAGGCCATGTCGGAGCTTCCACTAGAGTTTCTTTCAACTTTGAGAGAGTCGTGGACAGTTGAAATTTGATATTGACGCAGCAAACCAAACTAGCGGTGTGCATTTTTACGAGCGTGCGAGGTTGTTGCGGCAAGACTGCTGTGCGAAATAACAGGGTATCAGATTGTCATTGGGAATGTTAATGTGCTGTTAAAACGTTGCTGGGAACCAAGAAGAATGCTTTTATTGAATGGCGAATGAGGTTTTGAGTGTCTTAGGGAAGTGTGAAGGGGCTGGAGATAGAATGATGGTTGTTCGGGGATCAGAGGGATTTTCCACTGGGAACGGTACCAGTATGGGTTTGGTCGTCGGTGAAAGCTAGTTTGTGGTTGTGTCTTGTCGTTTTAATCATAAATTTTTCAAAATTAACTCTAAAGTGTAATTTTTCTAGGGCAAGGTATTCGTCTATGACAAAGTCTTCAAACCGAACACTACCCAAGAACAAGTGTACATGGGAGCAGCCTATCACATAGTACAAGATGTGCTATCTGGTTATAATGGCACTGTCTTCGCTTATGGTCAGACATCTTCCGGTAAAACCCACACTATGGAGGTAAACGAAATTGTCAAGTTTTTTTTCTTGTTTAAGGTAAATCTGACGATTTAGGGTGTGATCGGTGATCCGGTAATGCAGGGTATCATACCACGAATAGTGCAAGACATATTCAATCATATATACACTATGGACACAGAACTTGAATTTCACATTAAAGTATCCTACTTTGAAATTTATAATGAAAAGATTCGAGATTTGTTAGACCGTGAGTTACTGCATTTTGTTTTTGATCCAGAAATAATCTATCAAGTATGTTGTTGCAGCTGAAAAAGTAAATCTTTCAATCCACGAAGACAAGAACCGGGTTCCATATGTGAAAGGCGCAACAGAAAGATTTGTTGGAACACCGGATGAAGTGCTCCAGACTATCGAAGATGGAAAGAGCAATCGAATGGTTGCTGTTACTAGTGAGTCGTTTTGATTTGTTTCCTAGTTTTCTAGTTTTCATTTTCTTTTTTTTCTTGTACACGTGATTATTCGCAAAATCTTGCATTTCGATCGTAAATTAGAACATGAGTTGTAAAAGGCCTAAGCTCTTTTTCTTTCCCTGTACGCGGTGGAGCGCAGGAAATGAACAATGGGACCTGAAAATCTCTCAAGCTCAAAACCGTGATGGTCAATTTTTGAACAAACTGCTAAGGTTTCGTATATGCCACGCATCATTTTACATCAGGAACTAATTGGGGAACTCAGCTTTTCATCTTCTGACATATGCATCAGAAAGTCGTCTACTAAGCTTCCCAATTGCCTTTTCAGACATGAATGAACATTCCTCTCGTTCTCACTCTGTGTTTCTCATCACCGTCAAGCAAGAACATCAAGCGACAAAAAAGCAACTTGCTGGCAAGCTATATCTGGTAGATTTAGCAGGCTCAGAAAAAGTAAGCACTCTTAGAGATGTTGGTAGACTTGAGCATCTAGTCTGCCTATCTTAGGTTAGCAAAACTGGAGCACAAGGTACTGTTCTTGAAGAAGCTAAGAATATCAACAAGTCGCTTACCGCACTTGGAATCGTCATATCAGCATTGGCGGAAGGAACGGTGGGTCTATCTTAACGCAAATTTTGCCTTACTAACTTCTACTTTCAATGTAAACAGTCAAGTTTATGAATTTGATGTGTTTTGATTGTAATTATTCATCTATTTATTCATTAAAAGAAACGTTGTAAACTATGTGCCACCTTAGAAGATAACTAAACGGACTATCATGAATCAACTTTCTCATTCAGCCATGTTCTGATCAAGCTTGGCTTTCTGCTGTTTTTATCGCACTTCCGTAGACAATTTGGTCTGCAGTAGCACAGCTAATTCGGCCGCATTGACTGATATCTTTTTGCACTGCACCCGTTTTCTGTCTACACCAGATGGAAGCGAAAAAACTCGAAATCTTTTTGTGGAAACTCTGTCAAACAAAAACGCGTCTGGGAGCACTTTTGCTCAGATCTCTGGCTTTTTCCGTTTTGATTGAGCTTCGGAATCACTTAATGGAACGTCTTGAATATTATAATTAGAAATGTACAAATTCGATCACTGAAAATTGTTAGCATTTGTGATTTTCAGAAATCTCACGTACCCTATCGAGATTCCAAACTCACTCGAATTTTGCAAGAATCACTTGGAGGAAATTCACGAACGACTGTCATCATCTGCGCTTCTCCATCACATTTCAATGAAGCTGAAACTAAATCGACTCTTATGTTTGGTCAAAGGGCCAAGACCATCAAGAACGTCGTCCAGATCAATGAGGAACTAACTGCGGAAGAATGGAAACGAAGATACGAGAAAGAAAGAGATAAGGTATGTTAATGCAGTTTTGATTTTGTCAGGCTTCTCTTTACAAGCATTTTGGTGTACAAATCGGGGTTGCTGTTTAGGTTACACGTCTCTCTACTGTTTTGCAAGCTCTCAACCTGGAAATGACTCGATGGCGAGCAGGCGAACGAGTAAGCGAAGCTGAATGGATTAATCTTAACGACACCGCACATCTTATTGGGGTGTCGGAGAGTGAGTAGATGCTCTAGCTTGTGGGCACTTTTTGCGGCAGTAGTCAAATTTCAGCTCCTACAGATTCTTCTACGCCATCGATGGAAAGGTCGATGATTGCACCAGCACCACCTATGCTCACTTCAGTTACTGGTCCTATCACTGACGAGGAGAAGAAGAAGTTTGTTGCGAAAATGATGGCAGTGAGGTGGTTGGTTGATGATTTAATGTGTTAAAGGTATGAGGAAGAACGAGTGAAATTGTACCAACAACTCGACGAGAAGGATGATGAGATCCAACGCGTCAGCCAAGAACACGAGAAGCTGAAGGCACAGGTTTGTATAGCTTTTTATCTTTTTGTTGGGGTGCTTCCCGCTGAAATGATTTCTCATTTTGGTGATTTACCGTTCGTTCTTCCCTCCCTTTATCTCTTGCAAGGCTAATATCGATTTTCGAGACTTATCGCTTTGCACTTTTGAAGTGTTATTGCACTATTCTGCAATCTACACTCGCTTTACAGTGTGTGATCATCGTAAAGAAACGTGTTCCTTTTGTTTTTAGGTGTTGTTGCAAGATGAATCGATCCAAGCTATGCGTGAAAACGAAGAGACACTGCGAGAAGAGCTTGTTCGTATTCAGAAAGAGAGCGACGATAAGCAAAATGAGACTAAGGAGGTCTGGGTTTATTATTTGCTTTTCTTTACCTCTTCTATATTATCATGTTGTATCATGTTGCAATTTTAATCGCATCGATCACGTTACAGATGATCTCTGCTATCGAAGATATCGCCGTTCAGCTTGAGGTTAGAAACGCTGAATATGAGAAGCTGAAGAAAGAGTTAGAGATTGTAGCGGTGAGTCATTTTAACTGAAGTTAGTAATCGGTTTTCTAAAGAATTATCTCTCAATTCGCTGAGGTAGAATGATTTTTCTTCCTTTACAGGAAGAGAACCAACAGCTTGAAGACAGCTCTAACCATGCTGTTAGCGCCTTGAATGCACATTTGGACGAGTGTGGCCCTAAGATCAAGCACTTCAAAGATGCCATCTACAATATCATTCGCGAATACAACATCGCTGATATCGTAAGCTTTTTGGTGTTTAATGTTTTTTTGGAGTTTTAACTTTTTATCTTTACGCTCTTTTTTTGTTACTCATCCGGGGGCGAACGACGTTAACAGGTGTCTTTTATCTGCAGGTGAATCAGAATGACACTTTGCCTGATCACGAACTTCTCAACCTCATGCGCATCGGTGTTTCGAAGTTGTTCAGTGAAAATAGCGCTGCAAAGGAGGTGAGTTCCCTTTTGACACAGTTCAAGCGATCGGTTTTATTAGGAGGGGGATTTCATCTCTAATTTTGCTTAGATGAACTCAGCTGAAGCACATGCTGCCGAGAAGAAACTGGATGAGTTGAATTCTGTGCAAGGGCAAGATGCAAACAAATTGAAGCAACTACTTGTGAAGGATCAAGCAGCGCGTGAGCTGAAACCGCTCTCGGATAGAGTCAATGTGGTCAGTCTATGCTGCCACCGGCGCCCTTGTGGATCTTGATAATTCATTAACATTTTTTATATTTATATATGTAATTTTTGATTTTTCTGCTTTTTAAATTTCTCTTGGTTGCAGCTCTTTTCTATCATTCAAACTTCCTTTTTTGTTCTTTGAAAAAAAATTTGCATTCACTGTCTCGTTGTTTTTTTAGGAGTTGGCCACTTTGAAGAACTTGAAGAAGGAGTTTGTCCGTATGATTCTGTCGCGATGCCAGGCTGGACTCGATGTTGAGGAAGACTGTCTTTCTGGCCCCGCACAGAAACAACGAATTCAGTTCCTCGAGAACAACCTGGACAAACTCACCAAGGTCCACAAGCAGGTAATTCTGACGTTTCCATACTTTTCATTTTGCTTTATAGATTTGGAGTTTTCTAGATTCAAGAGAAAACAGTTTATACACAATCAGCAATTTATAGAAAAACAAAAGCATTTTTGAAGAGTGATTCAGATTGTGAAGAATATATCAAAGGAAATGCGGCTGTTATCAAGCCTTTATTCGAACGTGTTCGATTTTTTATTCGCTTTCTAGTGCATTTATGCATTTACGTTGTAATTTTTAGCTTGTGCGTGACAACGCTGACCTTCGCGTCGAGCTACCAAAGATGGAGGCTCGGCTACGCGGACGAGAAGACCGCATCAAGCAGCTCGAAACGGCTCTACGGGAAACAAAGGAGCGCTCACAGCTCGAACGAAGAAAGTATCAGCAGGAGGTATCGTTTAGCTTTTTTGAGTTTATTTGGATTTTTGCTAACTATTAATTGTTCTTAGGTGGAGCGCATCAAGGATGCTGTTCGACAACGTAACATGCGTCGACAGAACACGCCACAAATTGTGAAGCCAATTCGACCCGGACAAATGTACACTCCTTCGCCGGCTGTGACGGCAGTGGCCCCATCACCTGCTGTACGGCCAGCAAATGCGACCCAAATGAATGGTGAGGAACATCCTGACGTTGTTCTATAGGGATACGCGGTCGGGGCTTCCAGCACCGACCACCCCGAAGATCGTTCGGTGATGGGCGTCAGTTTAAATCATAGCTTCTTCATAGAACAGTGTATCAAAAGAGAGAGAAGTGGTAGTGAACAAATGGATATTTCGCAGTTGATTGCTGACTTGTAGCATTGTAAGAGAAATTTAGGTACTTAGCTAGCATTTTTCATGTTTCAAAATTCGATTATTTGATTACTTACAAATCCTATCTACAATCATACCATTCATGTTTGATTGGAGTTATTTCATGTTGGCTGCACATTAGTTTTTTTGTGAGCTTTAGTTCTGAAGTTGAACTCATAGGAATTTTTAATTTTATAGTTTGTAGAGATTTTTAGTTTTAAAGTTTTTTTAGGCTTTTGTAATCACTGTTTCTCATTCATGCTCAAATCTGTAGATTGCGCAATTTCTAATTTTATGAGAAGACACCGGAATTAACTTTGAAGCGTTTTTTTTGAATTCTGTAGTTGCAGCACAACTTTTTATCTCGCTCATAGATTTCATCCTCTTTATCGAAAAATTGAAATTGAGCTTTTTTTCCAGTTTACGGAGTGATTCCCTTTGTGGTTTGCAAAATCTGAAGTTGAATTTTCCTAGAATGTTCCTACTGCATAACACTAACTTGTCATTACTGTGTGTACGTAACCAAAATTCTATTTCAGCGCAGTAAAAGACCGTGATGGACTAGCAACGCCTTCTGTGGTTTTTCTCTCCCCCAACATTTGGAATAATCAGGTCGATATGCGCTTTTCCCGTCAATGTGGAAAATCGTTGGATTGCCTAGTAACTTATTACAATTTTCTCTATGAATATGACCTATAATTGCCTGTTGCATAGTAAGAAAGTTCTCTGTGATGAAATACCAGTCCCAATTGTTTGCATCTAGTTTTCAATGTTGTTTGTTTCGAAAGTATGCGAATGCTAGTTGTTTCTAATTCGTCGTCGGTTAAGCGAAAATATATTGGGGTTATATTCTGGCATGCTTTTTGTTCTCGTTCTTGTTTTATTGGTCATTTGTCTTGTAGTAATGAGCTTGTCATGCAGTATGGATCGATCGGTTGTGCATGCGTAAAAGCGATTTGCGGCTCAGCTGTGTCTCTGGTCCGTGTTCGCGCTATTTTATCCCACCCCTATGTCTCTCTATAAAATAACCGTAACCTACGTCTGATACTAGCTTTCCTATCGCTTAACCCATCACCTTTCACTGTGTGAACAAAAAAAAATCCCTTGAAGCATGTCCTAACAATCCCGCAAGATTTGTGTCTGTTCCATTCAGCAGCCTAATAAAGTTTTACTGAAGAGTCTTTATGTGTGACACAAGGAATGCAGTTTGATGTCAATCACGGTTTGTTTTAACACAGATTCTTGCGAGTATAGCAAGAGCATGTAATGCTTTTTTACTTACGATTGACACTACAATCTAACCTAAAAAAATCGTGTTTTATAGATTACCGTTAAAATATATCGTTAGGTATGTGATTTTGTGAAAATTGTTACCCTGAACATCATCCATGCAGCCTTCAAATATTGAATGCAGTTTGTGATTTACGAATGCATTATGATTCGGTACCCTATATGCAACTTGTATAAATATTATCTCCGATGATTGTGTTTACTTAGTTTTTCTTTATTTTTGGGTGCTTGCCGTGGGTATTTTCTCTTTCATTTTGTTTTTTTTTTCAGTTTTACTTTGATTTTTTAAAGTCGAAGCCATGTTATCGGTTGCTAAGTGGTGTGATTGCACACTAATCAGTAGGAATTTTTGCTGGAGTTTCTAGTTCTACATGAATGTATGAAATGAGATGCTTGTATTGTTTGAGATTTTGTGAAGATATTGATTCTAGGTGATGGTGTGTGGATGGGAACAGTACTGGGTTGCATTTCTGTGTTGTCTTACCATCTCCCAAGGATCTATGGAAGGGATTTTAATCTCACCCAAGGGTTCAAAGACCCCGTATCTTTGAAGGACAGCTCGGAACCGCAGCGCAGCTTTTTGTGTTTTTCTGTGCTACGTTATAAGATACTTTCGATCTGGCAGATATCGATTATCGATTATCGATGTATGCAGGATAGCCCGAAGAGTTAGGGACCCGTCTACTTCGCCGAGAAAAGCCCAAAAGCGCACAAAAAGCTCGGAAAAGCCTGAACGCAGAAACGAACTTTTGGTAGAATTCTAACATTGTTTTGATGTGCAGACGACAGGAAGTGAAGCAAAAAGATTAGTTGTGAAATCAACACACATGCCTTAGCGTCAAAACCTAAGGGGCGTTATGGCCCTTTTGGGCTTTTCGCGCTTTTCTGGGTTTTTTCGGCGAAGCATGACGGGTTCTTTAGAAATTGGGGGAAAAGATAAAAGATCTGAACCCAGTCCAAGTCGAGATGATTATGTGAAGCAGAAGGGTAAAAAGGTGTGCAATTACACTATTTGGCACAGTAGGCTGGAAATATCTGAAAAGAATTTTGTTTACACAGATGGTTCTTTGGAGAGCTGTAGGTATCACTTATGTGCGTTACTCACAAATCGCTGCCGAAATCACCCATCGATGCTCGAAGGTGGGAAAAGAAATTCAAAATAATCGTGTACCTTCGAGACGTGACTTAGGCCGCTCAAGCTATGGAAAAACAGTGGCGTGGCAGGAGACACGGTCCTTCATTGCAGCTCTCACGGTGGGAAAATGGAAAAGAAGTCACTAACGGCACTGGACTCAAGAAATAAAGTCGAGGATGTTATAGACTCTCAAAGTAGTCGCTAATGCTTTACTAACGCTTTAGAAGACTGTTTCTTTCGAGAAATAAACCTTAGTCATGTAAAACGCTTAATTGGACCATATCGTTCGTATACAAAAATGTCTGCACGTAGCCTGCGAGGTGATACGTGAGTTGTTCCCCGGATTTTTTCGCTTCACAAGTTCCCTGTGTTACACATTTCTTTGCGGAGCCTAGCGCGTCCGATTTCGGTTGACCATCGCAGCTCACCCTAGATCTCCTCGGTAAACGGTATAGTAGCGTCAATGAGGGTGCAATTTTGTGGCGGTTCATCAAACCCGGGATCCAATACCCATCCGCCTGTACTAGCCGGGATTTACCGTCCTAAACTTCCAGTATCCCCTGTAGCTCAGACAATCGCATATGTCCTCCAGGGGAAACTGAACTTCTGAAACTTGCGGGGAGACGCTTCTATTGGGCCGTGTGGGTGAGCCCCGCCCTCGCCCTTCCTGGAGCTCCAATAGGAGTGTCCCCTGGAAGTTTCAAAGGTCAGTTTTCGCCGGAAGTCATTTGCGATTGTCTGAGAGATGGAGCCTCTAGCTAAGGTCATAATGCCTTGGTGGCCGTTGTCGTGGGCTACCTTTGCCCATTTTTGCAAGATGATCACATAACTTGAGATCTCACTAGAATTATCTATACCTATAATCTTTTCAGCCAAAAGAATAACTACTTCTACTAAACGCGAATTCAAGACGTGAACTGTTACAGCTCCATGTTATTGATTGCCCATTCTTGAACCTACATCTTATATATAAAGCTGAATGTCTGTCTGTCTGTATGTCTGTCTGTCTGTCTGTCTGTCTGTACGTATGTGCGGAATAGAAATTTTTATTTCTGAACCGATCGGGACCAAACTTGGCACACATATACTTCGGGGCAGGGAGCGTGTCATAGGCTACTTTTCGTTATCGATCGATATCGATTTTATTGATTTTTTGCAAAATTCGAGCTAGAGGGCTGGGATTTGACAGAGGGGGGTAATCGAGCATGCTGATCACCCCGAAGGGGGTGATCAGCATGCTCGATTACCCCCCTGTGCAAAATCCTAGCCCCCTAGCTCAAATTTTGCAAAAAATCGGTAAAATCGACATCGATCGATAACGAAAAGTGGGCTGTGACACGCTCCCTGTCCCGAAGTGTATGTGTGCAAAGTTCGGTCCCAATCGGTTCAGAAATAAAAAATTCTATTCGGAACATACGTACACGGGTCTAGCTGGCAGGCCCGGCGGAGCCGGGCAAGCCAGCTAGTATATAATAAATACACCACTGTTGCCAATGCTGTGCGACCTTTTCCGCCCTAGAATGGTCTACTAATTCAAAATTAAATTCAAATGCCGACAATCCGCGTCTCCAAATACTCATGTGACTCCAAAACCACTATGGAGCTGCTTAGCCTTTATATTCAAGACTTATATTGCGAAAGTTAAACCATGGCACATCAGGCAAGACCTTTACGGGGAAGCGGTAGAAATTTGCTTTGATCGTGAAAAGGGACTAGCGGTAGCGATCGGCAAATTCCTTGAAAAGCTCTTGTATTTGCGGAGTTTACAAGCGAAATTCCAAGAGGCAAACCAAAAGGCATGACCACCATAAAAAGACGGCGAAATGATGCAACGTCGCTATTTATACTCACCGAGTAAGCTCATGCCAGCACGAGTGGTCCCGCAGCGAATGTAACTTCGGTGGTGGGGGGGGGGAGCTGCATGTGCTGCTCATAAACTTGTTAACCTTGTGCGTGACTTCATCACTGATGCCTTACTTCAAATAGGAAGATGGTTTATAGTTTTAGAAGAGATGCTTAGCTGTCTAACTTCCCAATAATAGAATCATGAACATTGCTGAATCGTGTTGAGTAAAAATTGCTTTGCCATTCATTAATTATAAGCGTGGCATGGTCGCGAAAGTTACGCGGCGAATAAAAAGCTTATCACCGAATGTGAATTTTAGAAGAGGCCATTGATAATTTCAGTCTCAGGATCAATGGTGATGTCGAAGAAGCACGGGCGTGTCCCGAGTCCAGGCATCGTAGTGATCTCTCCGGAAAACGGAAAAATGAATCCGGCACCAATTGAGGCGCTCACATCTCGGATTGGCAGCGTGAAGTCTAAACATTCTTTTGTTACCGTTGTTTCGAAAATGGATGAGAAATACTTGTAGGTGCTCCTTTCTTTGTTGGATCATGGGAAAGAGATAACTGAGTCTTTGCCATGCATATTGGTAGATTTGAAAATCCTTGTTTCGTGTAGGTATCCAGCTTCTGAACACTTGCGGAATAATGTCCCACGCTTTACGTCTCAATCACGGGTATTGTAGGGAATTTTTTGATAGTTGGGAGGGGGGGGGGGGGGGGGAAAGAGGTAGAGGTTCATTCTGAGGCAGTGTTCATCAATCTTCCGATCTGTAATCGGGCCCAGTTTTACCGTCATAGAAGAGCTCCCGATCGGGCGATGAGAGCTCGTTTATAACGGTAGAAGCACGAATCAGATCGGGAGATTAGTAAATAGCAATGCTGATGTGAGAGGGGACATGACGGTAGCGGATTCAAAAAAGTTTTTTGAAGTTTCTTCTGCTTCTGCGGAATTCATACTCCTGAAATTCTGTAGCCTCCAGAAGTTCATGGAGCTGTCTAAGTTTTAGTTCCTAAGGATTTTCCTCATGGTTTTTTTTTACCAATCCTTGAGCAGCTCAGGCGGTTCAGAAAAGGAGGGGGAGGGGGAAAGTACTATATGTATTTAGTGGCGAATTTCCTTTTCTTTCTCACTTTTCTAGCTTGTTCCGAGAACTCCACTCCATTAGCTCCGTAGATTTCACGGGCGATAATGTTAATCTTCTCCTCAAGCGAAATGTTCAGCGGGTAGAGGAACCTAAAAACAGTAAATTTAAAATCCCGAAAATCTGTCCACTGTTTCCCCACTTGAAATTTCTTCCGTCCTCAGATGTTGCTTTGACGATGGCTTTAGCTAGTAGAAGAGCTCCAGCACCTCCTTTAGCCCAGTGATCGGAGATTACTGCGTCAAAGGCTCCGTGCTCTATTGCCTGAAAATTTGAAGAGATGTTCTGTAAACGTAGCTTGATTTATCAGTTACTCTGTTCACAACCAGCTCCAATTCCTTATCAGTGTCAGTAGCAAACTTGTTGACACAAACCACAACGGGTATACCGAATTTATTACAATTTTCAATCTGCAAAAAAGGAAGATCCGTAGTTGTAGAGAACCCTAATTTCGGACCTGTTTCCTCAAGTTCGAGTCACACCCGGCTTTGACGAGGTCTAGGTTTTCTTCTAGATATTCGTGCTTGAGCGGATTTCCTGGCACCACCGCCGGACCCCCTCCATGCATTTTTAGAGCTCTGACGGTAGCAACTAAGACAACTGCAGATGGCTGGAGACCTGAATATCTGAAAAAGCATTCTTTCCTTTCCCATAAATTTTTTTTCAAAAATCTTTATTGCGGGTTTGAAAAAAGGTAAGTACCAAAAATCAGTCGGATTTGGTCGGATATGACTAGGTTCACTTTTTCAGTTTGGGAATACTCCTTCGAAAACGTAGTTTGAAAAAATTCATAGAGACTAATCAGACCTGCACTTAATGTTGAAAAACTTCTCCATGCCAATATCGGCGCCAAAACCAGCCTCAGTTACCACGTATCCATGCTCTCCAACAAGCTTGAGAGCTATCTACATTGCAAAGACTTCGGGTTAAGGTTTGATGTCTTCAGGTCTACGGAATAAATACCTGATCCGCAATGATACTGCTAGATCCGTGAGCTATATTGGCAAATGGGCCAGCATGAACGAAGACGGGAGTGCCTTCCAGAGTTTGCATCAAAGTTGGTCGGACGGTATCACGCATTAGCACCTTTACAATAAAAAAGTTTTTTTTAGTGAAATGACAAGAATTAATTGACTTGAGAGTTGTGAATAAAAATTAACTTCAAACGTAGTTATCCCCATTTTTGGCCTTTGAATTTTGCTTCTACAGGCTTTTTCTTACCGTCATGGCATCGGTAACTCCGATGTCATCTGCTGTGACTGGATGGCCTTGGACATCCGAACCAATCACGATTCTGCTGATACGATCACGCATATCACCGAGTGATGTTGTCAGTGCAAGAATTGCCATCAACTAAATTAATAACCAATTAAACCGGAGTTGAATAAATTTGAAGAGCTTAGCTTTTGTTTTGTCTGATTAATCATAAACTTGCAATTTTTTACTCAGCAAGGTCTTTGCGGATCAAATAGTCTCATGAGTAAATTTTTCAGCATTTTTTTAGGATTTCGAAAGGTTACTCCGCGATTATTCACGAACTACAAAAATTGTTGGAAAATTTTGTATTTACAAAGCCTTATACCGATTTGAAAAAAAAATTGTGTCATTAGCTATATACATGGTTGTGTCTTCTTTGAATGGTTTCCGATTTAGTAAATTTTTTTTGAATTCTCATTTTCGTCAGCGTTTGTATGGATGTCATTTGTTAAAAATCCACACTTATGCAGAAAGCGCATCAACCGTTGCGCATTTCTGGAGGGTCTTTCAAAACAATGAATTTTAACATGACTTGGTGTCATGTTAGCTTATTTTTCGGTTTGTTTAAAAAAGTTAGACCACAATTTAGCCATAAAGGAGATTTTACTAAAAAAATATGGCGGAATCAACCTCACTAGCAACCGAAATGTCGAATTGTGTCCTTCTTGTGTGACCCTTTTCTGCTGGTCCCAAGCCGATCTCGATCCCTGCAAACTCATGAATTTCCAAGCTCCAGGTTCAAGTTATTTCACCTCTAAGAAATCTGTCATTCGTATCGATCACTCGGTTCCAGGTGATAGTCTTAGGATCAATGTTGAGACGACTGCACTGGACTTGCTGTTCTTTAGTCAAAGTATTTGCATCGTCAACTACTCCTAGTCCCATGCCAACTAGACGGCGCTTTTGCACTTCGGAAAGTGGGCGTTTACCTGAGAATTGTGACAGTTGCCGCTGCCTTGTTCAAAGGACAAAAAAGTATTACCTTCCCTGTTTTTTGGACAAAGCCTATTGAAAAGTGCTTCATCCTTTTGTGTAGATTCATGAAACATTCTTGCGTCTATAGCAGCTGCTAGGAGATTATTGGCAGCTGTGATAGCATGAATATCGCCAGTTAAGTGTAAATTGAACTCTTCCATGGGTATCACCTATAGAATTTTCTGGAATCGGGAGGGGGGGGGGGGAGGGGGGAAGCAAACCTCGTAAAATTCTAACCTGTGCGTATCCTCCTCCAGCGGCTCCTCCTTTGATTCCGAAAGTTGGGCCTTGTGATGGCTGACGAAGGCAAGTGAAGACATTTTTGTGTAAATGTGCACCAAGTGACTGGGACAGTCCCACAGTTGTTGTGGTTTTACCTTCACCAAATGGTGTAGGTGTGATTCCTGAGAAGAATTGGTCTTTGTTATAAATCTCATAATTTTTGAAACCTATTAAACCAATCCTGCTCTTGCATTTTCTCCACATTCAAGTCAAAATATGATTCCAGAAAATTTGAAAATGATGTTTCAAAAAAGTGAAAAATTTGAATCTTGAAAAAGTGCATTTTACATTGGCGAACTATTATTGTTCCCAGCATGAAACTTACATGTTTTCTCCCTGTTGGACTTTCCCTACCATTTTTAAAATGAAATTTGGGAACTTTCGAAATCGAAAAATTAAGATTTTATAATTAAGAAATTTGAGAATTCTAAGGATTCAGTATCAAAGCTCACCGACCACAACCACATATTTCCCATTTTTGTAGTGTCGCAGTCTCTTCAGCACATCCAATGATACCTTAGCTTTTTTCCTCCCGTAAGGATCGAGCTCTTGCGGCAAAATGCCAACTTCTTCAGCCACCTCGAAGGCATAATCTCGAATTACAAAAGCAATTCGATATGATACATACCTGTTCGATGTTCTTGGGTGGTTGCCCACGTGAGATAACGATATCGCTAGGAACAGGATCAACCAGATTTGGTTTGAAGTACTGAACATTCCAGGCGCCAACACCACTCTGAAATTGTAACTAGAATATGTACGTAAAAGTGATTAGAGCATAGTAATATAAAAAGATACTTTAGCATCTGATTTTAGGCTATAGAACGCTCTACTGAAAAGATGATCCTGTAAGCCGAAAAAAATAGATTTTTTCTAGTGCAAAATTTAAATGTGACTGCTTATCACATTATTTCTTACAAAAAAGCCGTTAAATATCTCAGTCGAGAAAGCTAATGAACTGGAGAGGAGCTTATGATATCAGAGCATTGAATATGTGTTCTTTACGAGCAATTAGTGTGATATTTTCGTTATTATAGTATTAAATAGTAACAATCAAGGTGAAAGTTGGGGCCAAGGTATTCGGGTACCGAATCAAGAACTACGTTAGGAAATCAAAGTTGGAGTGGCATGGTTTTATGTTTTGAAATTTTTAAAGCTTTACACGGTGTTCAATCAAAAATGAATAATGGTCTTAATTGTAGGATTTGTTTATAGTCGCCCTCACCCCACTAGTCGGTCGGTGGAGGAATTCAAATTTGAATTGGAGCAGGCCTGTCACGGTAGAGCGCGGCAGGAGACAACGCTCAGCAATTCCAAAAACTCAATATAGGTCAAAAACGTTGTAACAATACAAAAACCGCTAAGCAATGGCGAAGAAATACGCAAAGTGAACGTGTGAATTTGAACGGAGAGCTAAGGTGCCGTGCTCTGTCGTGACCTGCCTGCTCCAGTTCGATCTTTTTTCTTGAACTAAAGCAACAAAGGAAGGAATTTCAAATTTTGTACATACCCTGGAATTTGTTTTACAAGCAAATCTTCTAAGAATGATAGAGCTTGTACATTTACTCAAAAACAACATCGTTAAAAACTCGCCATTGTTGGCAGCTGCACGAGTTAGATGTAAACAAGAAACTGAACATTGGTTGGATGGTTCCTTATTTTGTTCACTGTTTATCAGTGATTATGTGATTGTGTGGACAAAACAATCACTTTCATCTTTATCTTTGCTAGGAGGAAGGTAAAATATTAGAGAGGTGGCAGCAAAACCTAGAAATTAGAAATGAAAGATGACAAAGAAAGGAACAAAAATGTTAATCTTTTTCAGAAAAAAAGTAACCAAAAGATGGCTTTAACTGCAAAGAAAAAGTCTTAGCTCCAAGTGTAGATAATAAAAAAATTTAATCATTCCAAATCAAATTCTGAGCAACCAAAAGGATCGTTGGACTTTACAGTTTTTTGAGTTTGCTTCCTTAGGTTGTTCCAAAAATCAATCGCAGCTATCATAGAAAAAAATTCCAGCAAAATTATTTTCAACGATCAAAATTTTTGCAATTTCTGCAGCATCTATACTTAGATGAAAAACAGTTTCCCGTTTGAAAGTGCATTTTAAGCAAAAGGTTCTCCTCTTACAGCGAAAAGTGCTAAACTTACGCATATGCTTGCTCTCTTCTCTTCTTACCCCTCCCCTTCCCCCTCCTGGACTGGCCATATTTGCCTTTATCAAAGAAGGTGCTTTTCTCTACGAATGCCTGTTGAGTCAACGTAACCATTTCATCGTCGTAGATGTACAGATGTGTACGTACCTGACATTCAAGTCTCACTCTGACTCATTGCCGCCCTTCGTTCGATGTTGAATTTTGACCATCGCTTGCTCTCTTCAATGGCCAGCAATAATTTTCTTTGTACTTCTTGCACTTTTGGACTAAACCTTACCTAACGGAGATATTTTTGTGGCCACTATCTTCCAGCATAGGAGGTTGATCTTCCAGTTCAGGCTGGTCTTGTTCGCTCTAAATGAAGAGTTCGAAGTCAGTCTTGGGTTTTTAAACGCTTCATTTATATTTTAAAAATGTTGTGCACTAACTATAGCAAAGCATTCCAAACTTTGCTTTGATATCTCAAACACCGTACTTTCCTATCCCTGAAAAATTGCTTGTATGGTTGACCCACACAAAGCCGAATGCTGTATGATGCCGATTTATCGGGAATTTATAATTTTAAAAATACGGTATAGTCCCTAAACTTTCTTCTCAAATGGAGAGAGTTCCGCATGTGTTCATACAGCAACGAAAAAAAAAACAGTTTTTTTTTTCGTGGAATAAAGTCCGTGCTTTCTAGCGTAGTACACAACGTTATTACACTTTTATACACCAAAGCAAAATATGGAGGAAAAGAGAATAGAAAATTCTCAATACAACTTCATGAATCTTGTATTAGGACGTACAGTAGCTGGTGTGTATGTTAAGAGGCGCGATTTTTATTGCCAGATTAGCTTGCTAGTCCGACTCCGACTCCGCTCGGCCCTGTCAAAACACTATGATAAAGCTTCCATCCCTATCCCTGTATAACTTTTCCCTGTGCCCACTACATGCCAATTCACTATTCCCACTGTTTTAGTAATCAGCATGCTCGGTTACCCCCTGTGCCAACTCCCAGTCCGTAGCTCAAACTTTGCGAAAAATCAATAAAGTCGATAAAAGTAATGGATATCAGAAACTAATAATGTATTCGTAATCAGGTGCTCACTTACTCTCCCCCCCCCCCCTGTGCCAGCTCCCATCCCTATAGCTCAAACTTTGCAAAAAAATCGATAAAATCGATAAAATCGATATCGACCGATAACGAAAAGTAGCCTATGACATGCTCCCTGCCCCGAAATGTATGTGTGCCAAGTTTGGTCCAAATCGGTTCAATAATAAAAATTTCTATTCCGCACATACAGACATACAGACACACATTCAGCTTTATACAGGGTGTTTGAAAAGTTCGTGACCTAAAATACTTCCAATTCGAATTTTGATGCGCTTTTTGTTTTATTGTGCTCATCAGACCTAAATACCACAATTCCAATGAAATCAAGTTTCTTGGAGGTATCTTTGATTTTTTATTAGATTGAAACACATTAGCTTTCCAAACCTCTTTCCTTAAAACACTTGTTACAAAAAAGGAAAGATAATTCACAGAAAACTTGGTATACCTTCTAAAAGCCCTTTCTTCAAGGTTTCTTAAATATGCTTTTACTTTCGTTAGATCATTTTCAAAATTTTTTCGTCAAAAAGTCCAGCACCAAATTTTTACATTTTATCTTCATAACCTTTGCAAGTGTGCAAAATTTTTGAAAACAAGTATGAGAGGGTCAGAGAGTTGTGCTACAAGTACATTTTTAAGTGAAAAAATTTCAACGCAAACGGGTGCCGCGACTGCCTCTGTGATTTAGCGCATAGAAAAATCTTCGTTAACCAGCTACTGAAGAACTTTTGTTATATTAGGTCGTTTCAAAAGTAATTTCGCTTTTTTCAAACGGGCACCACATTTGAAGGAACGAAGCTTTCGAAGACATCTTGGAGGCATTCGATGCAGAATTTTATTCTCTTTCTCATGGTTATGAAATTGTTGCAAAATAGTCAATGATCATTCAGAAAATATATAAAACCTGCGACTCATGCTTTTTGAGATGGTCAAGTTTCACGATTTTTCAAAACTTTAATATTAATGCTCAGAAGGAGTTCAAGTAACGCCTTTATAGAGCGAATCCTACAGAATACAAGACTACTTTTTTCTCCTTTCCATAGCTTGTCCTACATTTTTAACAGAATTTTAACTAATGCTACCGATTTCCATACTTGGGCAGCTAAATCCTCGTAGAACATCAAAAGAAGAGCAGCTCGCGCACCATTCGAAGCAGCATTTTCTCCTCTTTCTAAAAGGTGTTTTTTGTCTCCGATTCGTTTAGTTTCCGGGGAGAAATCATCATAACTCATTTTTTTAGCGAGCCCCAGGCTGTACCCGTAAAACTCGAAATTTGATATTTCGAATCCGTAAACTCTCATTTGCTTTATAAAATCAGTATTAAGTCATATATCATCTTGAAAGCTTGAAATTCCGAGTAATTACTGATGTTCGATGCGATTGTGGCTGAGGTGGGCCTGCTAAAATCCGATGGTTCTGTTAAAAAAATCTTTTAAATAATTACAACGAGCTAAGAGAAAGAGAAAAAAGTAGTACTTTATTCTGCAAGGTTTACTCTATCGAATCGTTACTTGAACTTCTTCTGAGGGTTGATATAAAAGTTTTGAAAAATCGTGAAACTTGACCATCTCAAAAAGCATGGGTTGCAAATTTTGGTTATTTTCTGAAAGCTCATTGACTGTTTTGCAACATTTTTACAGACTTTAGAAAGAGAATGAAATTCTGCATCGAATGCTTCCAAGATCTCTTGGAAACCTTTGTTCCATCACATGTGGTGCCCGTTCGAAAAAAGCGAAATTACTTTTGAAATGACCTAATATAAAGAAAGTGTAAATCTAGGACTATTTAAAGTTTAAAAATTGAAAGCTGTTTCCCTTACCTGGCGTTGAAATAAAAAGAACAAATCAGATAACGCACTCTCCAAGGAAACTGAAAAAATTGTTTGCTTCCAAATTTTTTAGGGTATCTTGAGGCAAAAAATATTTTTCTTTGTTGATTCGGTGATTTCTAGGTTTGGCAAACACACATAGTAAAAATTGAGTTAGCGTTCGCAGTTGAACTGCTTAAGGACACGAACTTTTCAAACACCCTGTATATAGGATAAACATTAGCGCATTTTTAGTATTTTATGATGTTCTAAAAGCAATTCAAATTCTTAACAAGATATATGTGATTGTCCCATGGGTTGCTCAATCTTATCATTCTAGAAGAGATTCAAAACATAATTGTTAAAGTTGAAAAACCCGTGAAAAAGTAAATAATGGTGTCTTCGTGAATATTTCAATCAAGTTTTCACCGAAAGCCGTGATATTAAGTTAGTGCGCTCTAAAATGGGCTGTTAAATTGGTGACCTCTATAAAAATCGCCTCTTCTGACCGTTTCCCCTAAAGCTGTCCTCACAACTCATGCAATTCGCTTTTTCAGCTATAGTAAGAATTGCCACCTCTGCTGGTTGGTAGTTCGCATAATTCTGAATTCAAAATCCCTTCGACAAAAAATTACTGAAATTGGCAGGAGATATTCTAGCTACCTATGAAACTTAAAAAAAACCAATGGTTGAGTAAGTTTAAGTAGCTAGGCCCACTGATTTCCTTATTTCGAGCAAATTCACAGTGTCATTACTCCTTTTCTTCAATTTCAAAGAGTTCTGCTATTTCATAAAAAAACACCCCAGGATTTGACAGTGATTCTTATGCTTCACCGCCTCGGCTCAAGCGCATTCAGAACTATCTTCCCACTCAAGAAATAAATCTCAATTTATGGGATATGTGCCGCTCAAAGAGAACGAAGATTCAATGTGATGATTTGTGATAACGTGAAAAAGGAAATTATTTCTATTGTTTGTTATCTCAAGTACTAATATTATCTCAATTTTCTATTTTCTTTATGGTGTTCTAATTTTGTCAGCAAAACCAGTCTCTTCGCATGGACTAGCCGTTTAAGGAGCTCTGAAGTTGGCGAGCCCCTTACCTTGAGGTCCCCCCTCCCAGCCCAGGGTCCCTAACGGATTCGTCCGCCTAGAGTTAAGTTGGTAAGCCAAGCCTTTGTAAATTTCGGTCAACATATGCGTCTGGGTAGAGAAAAGGATCTCGGTAGAGGAATTTGTCGCCTTCCGAAGATAACAAAACGACCTGGAGAATCCAGCAAGGGACCAATATCAACGGTTTTACTCGTTCTCGTTCTCTCTTTTTTTTCAATCGGTGCACTTTGTGTGTATATCAATAAATAAATAAATAAATTAAATACCTTGAAGTTGATTGTTAACCGTAAAGAGCCTTGTTTTATTAGGAGTTCTTCTTTAGCCGTAATAACTCTATTCATAAAGCACAACTCGTCAAATTGCTGCAACGATTCGGAAATTTGATTCCTGACAGGAATTAAAAGTCGTTTATTTGCTTAGGCACTGCAATTCCACTTACTTTTATGTGTCTCGAAGGACTGGTCAATCAATACGGAAATGTACAAAAATATATGGGTGGTCTGAAGTGTTCTAAAAGAGCTTTTGAGCATTTTTAGATGGTTCCCCTAGTAATTTGAGAGTTTGAGGATTTCCGGACTCCTATGTGGTTCAGTACTGGCTAGCTTTATGTGCAGAATTTTATATGCAGGATTTTCCTCTCGCTTGCTTTTGAGCAGTTCCTTTTCAGCCTTTGCTGAGTATCGGAAAATTTCTCAAACCCACCCAGTACGCATATCATTAATTCTGCGGAAAATCACGCCTCATACAATAGTGTCCCTATACCACATTACTTGACTCTGCTCGGGTAATATTCCCTAAATAGAAACTCTACAGAATTAGGAGCAATGTGTGTGCCTATGTATTTGCCCACATAGCATCGTGATCCTTCAAGTACCTCGGGTAACTCGTTTGTACGCGCCTCCCGAGTGACTTTTCCATTTTGTTGTGTGTAAATCTAGGTTCCCACGGGTGAAACGGTAGAAAAAGGGAGGAGTGGTACAGGAACAGATGTTTGATGTACCTCACTTCTTATGAACTCTACTTCTCGGTTCCTAGTAAACCTTCTGCTGTTTTTTGACTTTGATTGAAGTTTTAAAACTTATCCCTTTTTTCCCATACCATATCTCTTTTTCTAAAATTCAATGACTACTTTGATATTATTTTTGCGAGTTATGAGAATATCTTGGGCTATTTTGACATGCTGGTCCTCAAAAAATTTGAAGAAACGTTATTACTTTTTTAGATAAATTTGTCAAAATGCTGCTAGTTTCTATTGTTAAAGTACTTCGCCCACAGATAGCTAAGTTGTTAAGTGGGACGATTTTTTTCGTAACTCTTATGCTCGTAAATCTATCAACACTCTTATTTGACATAACTTTTGTTCTAAGGGTCCATAATTCTTCTTCGATGACTGCAGACATGGAATCCAAAACAAATCGCACTCTCACTCTCTTCTTTCAATCACGATATTTCAGCTTCCAATTTTCTTATTCTTTCATACCGCTGTACAAAATTACTTCAGTATCTATTTTGCTTGTGCCTCTTCAAATTTCTCACAAGGAAAGTCAATTAACTTAGGTCGGGCTTTCGAAATGAGACGCATATGCTTAGAATCAGCTCGGAACGCTGATTCCAAATATGTTATCCTTAGCTGCGAAGCCTTCTTCTGAAGCGAGTTATGAGCTTTTTCAGTATGTGTCATTGACATACAACTGAATATGGAAAGAAGGTCTTTGGATGAAAATCTGTCCAAAAAGTGGTGGAAAATCAAAATAACATCAAATTGAGTCATTTGGCTTTGATAGGGTATAATATGCATTTGAACCACTACCTAGATGATGATACCGTAGCATGCCTAAGTCGGTCAGCACGCAAAATTTGCTCAGGAAAAAGCTCATAACTCGCTTCAGAGGAACGCTTCGCAGCTAAGGAAAGCAGATTTGAAATCAGCGTTTCAAGCTGATTCCAACCATATGTGCCTCATTTCAAAAGCCCAACCTAAGTAAAGTGACTTCCCTTGTCAGTAAATCAGCTGTACCTTTCAAAGATAAAATCAGCGAAGTGCGGCAAAATTGTTCAATATGACAAAAATTTTCAGCGTAAACTGAGAACCACTCATTTTTACAAAGAATGCTTTAGTACAAAAAGATGCTATCAATATCATTGAATTCTTTAACAGATAGAATCATTCTTGTAGGGAAGTCCTCAAAATTTCACACTATCATAATTAATACTATCATAGAGGTTCATATTTGAATTTGTTGAATGAATTTGTTTTAATTGTCCCAAGCGCAGTACGTGCGCCACACTGAAAAGTTCGCGTTTAGGTTTTGCGAGACATTCAAAAATGATGCCCTAGAAATTCAAAAATCAAACTTGTAGATCTGAAAAACCGTATACGAATCATCGTATTGTTCAACATGCTTTAACAATTCATCTTAATATAACAAGAGGCATTTGATTTCGTGTCTCTACCTGGCACAAGATAAGTTTTATTGCCTTTACCACGATCTCAGTAACTATGTACCCTTTGATTCAACGGGCTTGGCGGCTGGAAGGCGGGGCTTCGTGACCTAATTAAGGCCAGATAATGATCAGAGAACAGGCGCGAGAGAGAGACGCAGACTGCGTCGCGGGCGCGAGCGGCCTTAATTAGGTCACAAAGCCCGCCCTCCAGCCGCCAAGCCAGTTGAATCAAAGGTTATTTTGGCTTGAAGCTAAAGACGGCCAAGAATTCTATACTTACTCATTTCTTTTCAGACGGTTGCACAGTATGCAAGTTTTGGGTTAACGCCATGTTTATGCAAGCCATGCCTAACCACTTAGCGAGACTTAAGTAGTCAAGAAATATTGTACAAAGTTGGCATTACCCTACCTACAAGTAGAATATCAAACTCATACTGTACAAGAATCCCAGTTGACCTGACCCTGACTTGTAAGTGGGCTGCAACGTTGATAATGTAACAAATCTTTCAAAAGTTTCATTTCCATTTCCAAGATCTTTTTAAAGATGTTTACCCATTGTTCTCAAGCCTTAGAAAAAGCATAAGAGTAGTCCTTACAAGTAATCAATGATAACAAGTATGAAATTTTCATTACAATCGTAATGTGTATTCTAGGAAAAAAAGAGTGTCATTTTCATGTATTTTATATTGTGCTAGAGAAATAAAGGTTATTAAACTGTGAAGAACAAGCCTCTCGCATAAATCGTGCTTTATCTTCGTTTTTTGCTTTTACAGACAGTTTTATTCATCTAATGCAAGGATCCAACGTTTTGTTTCTACATTGAAGTGCGTTTTGCATGTTTTGCACTCAAAATGACTTCCGGATTCCCAGATTGATTTTTGATAGATTGTCGTTTCAAATACAGGTCCTGTGGCTCTGTTTACCCAATTCGACTTGTTCGATTTTTCTTTCAGGCAGGGATGAGATCAGTCAAAGAAACGGTTTGTCTGTTCGTTGCTTCACTCATCACCATAATTGAAAGCTGTTCACCTGGTTATGGTTATGGTTACGGTTGCCCTGGCGGTGGTCTCCTCTCAAACGTTTTGGGAGGTGTAGGCGTTGGAGCATACGCTTACGCTGGAGGTGCAGCAGGTTTCAAGTAGGTTTAGGTTATACAAAGGTAATTTTGTTAGAATTTTACTTTTAGCTACGGCCGTTGCGGTACCCCAACTATCTTCTATCACTGGACCTGTTGTGACTATAATGTTTATGAATGCTGTATACAATTAGAGCCTTGGGTCATGTAAGTTCTACAAATCGATAATGTCAACCTACAGACAAAGCAAACAGATTTTTTTTAGAGTACTACTCGTTATATTTGGTATTGGCTTATTCCTCTGCTGTATTGGCTGCATAGCTGCCTGCATTTGGAGCTACAGTAGAAATCGCTAGACTCGATTCTGATTACGACCCTATCGCGACTGCCCCAAAGATGATCGACCTTACTAATACTTGTGTATGTAAATATGTTGGTATTTTCTCGCAAACTTTTTTTTCTCACCTTTGTTCAGCGTTTTAGCAAATGTGCTTTTAGTACTTGCGACGTTTTGTTTGTATGTTGTGTAAGATCATTGTATTGATTCGCTTGTTGGATCGCATCGTTTGAGATAAATGTCGATTTTCAAAACTGGCCACAGAGGCCATCTTTTCTTACGGCGATAACACCATTGCAGGATTTCTCAAAGAGGGCTCAATAATTGTGACCAATTTGCTCAAAAAGGGATTGTCAGAAGTCAATTTGGCCAATTCTTACAAGCTCCATACTGTCAAATTCTGATGGCATTGTGTTACATATCCACCTTCAGTATCTGCTGAATGGACTCCTACGCAGTTATGGGCTCCGTTGGACCCTGGTCCCGGTGCGCATCGAAGAATATAGCCGGCGAGCTTTTAAGCGGTGGTAGCATAGCGTGGCAATTGTGCGGGATGATACTTTAAAAGTCAGAGGTTTCGGTACCTTCGCTTTTCTTGATCCATTCTGAATAACTTAGTATTGGTGCGAAAAACACGAAGCACCTTACGACTACAACACCAACTGAACCTGCTGGAATTCCAAGAAATTACTCATTCCAAACCTTAGACACTTTGAAAATGTTAGACTAAGGCTGATGATACAAATGATGAAAAACCACCGTCAAGTTGGAAGCATCCTCCTCTCAATTTGGAGCCAGAAACGTCCTTCTGGTCAAAAGGCGTTGAGTAGCAAGCTGAAATAGGGGGCAGTTTTTGGAACCAAGTTGGCTTGGTCGCTATACTGCGCAATGTTTTCATCGAAGGTAGTTCTCTCGTACTTTGTGAGGAAGTTTGGATGCTGTGAGCAGCCCTAGGAGCCGTGTAGAAAAGAGACCAAAAGAATAGAATTTAATTTACAACTATCTTGAAAGAAGCTTTGCACGAGTCACCAGACTGAGACAGAAGAAGAGACCATCGAGAGAGTTCAAAATGATTACCTGTGATCATCAGTGGTTGGTAGCTGATGACGTGAAATTCAGTGAAGCAGGTGCAACCAAGTCAAAGACACGGAATTTCCGGAGGTAGTGCAAAAAACAACTTTCAACTCTTTCCGTAGCAAAAAAATTTGTGGTTCAAAAAGCAGTACGGTTATAAGTCAGATGACCAAGGTCATCGCTTACTTTCGAGCAGAGGAGCTTTTGCTTTATCAATTCCATCATTTGATAAGTTAAGACAGATCAAAAACAGCAAAGTACGACTTTCTGTGTCAGAATGCCTATTCTTGCGATTCATCAAGCAGTGTGCTTATGTGCTGGAACGCAGCACCCATTGCAGGACCCAGTCAAAGGAGATCAATGCGCGATGCGCCGCTATAGAAGGGGACCAGGAGTATCGATGGATCACTTCTATCGTCACGCGAGGCACTGAGCACTTTTCTTATTTAGTTCTTGCTCTCATCCTAGTGTTCTATTTTTCCATATTTGTTCTCTATCCTTTCATTCTGTTTTGTGTCTCTCTTTATTGCTCAGAAATATCCAGGATCTTCGTCATTCATCATTCCATGAATCACTTTTTGTATCTCACATTTCGTTGTTGTGTTTCGTCGTTTACTTGGTAAATAAAGTTTAATTATCCAAGTTTGAAGTGCGCACGAAACGGTCTAAGCCACGCTACTTTCCCTTTATGTTGGACAACAAGCTGAACCACCGAAACCAGAACCAGAAGCCAAAAGTCAGTTATCTAGGCCAATTTCATTCCAACACAGCTTGATCGCAGCACCTGATCAACGTAGGTCAACGCTCGATCCCCCGCTATAAAAGGGGACCGGGATCATCGAGGGATCAGTCTTATCATTTTGCCGGGCACTGAGCTCTTTGTTACCCTTTAGGTACTTTTTATCATATCTCAGGTTTCTTTGTTCTTATCCTAGGCTCTGTTTTTCATATCCCTATGTCAGTATGTTTGTCATGCCTAAGAATACTCATAGTCCTTCTCTCATGTTGTCATTACAAGGCTCTATATTCCTTCTTTTATGCTGTCATTCCAAGGTTCTATTTTGTATTTCACATGTATTCGTTGTTTGTTGTTCCGTTGCTGGTTGGTAACAAATGAAGTTTAATTACCCAAGTTTGAGGTTGCAAGCCGACGGTTCGAGGCCCCCATTATTTTTTTCTGTGTTGGGACAACAAGTCGTGAACCACCGAAATCACAGTGAAGCCGACATTCAGGTATATAAAGAGTTATTCCAATACAAGCAGGTCAGAGCAGAACAGCACGACCGCGGTCACTTGCAGAAAGACTAAGTGAAGTGATATTTTCAATACCAGTCGCATCTCCTTGCACGATTCGGGTATTCGACAGCTCTTGCAGCTCAGTCGGATAGTTTATTTGGGAATTTCATAGCCAGCTTATCGGAATCACCAAATTCAAAAGAAGCTGTGGGATCGTGTTGAAAAGAATTTCTATATTTACAATGAGAAAAGATTCTGATTACGCGAAAGCTAACACAACTAACATCACAAGGCTTGGTGTCGGAAATGAGAAGAGTGGATAATAAGACATAATGGAGCTGAAGAAATTGAATAGAAGAAATCAAAATAATCTCAACGTCGAAATGGACAATCGATTCCTAGCATCAACTTGCATGTGGACAAAGCGGGATGTCAAAGAATTGCACACTTTAGTTCTTGACTCCAAAAGGTCTGAAGAAAATTTAGCTGTGGTTCAATTAACATCATCGACTGAGCACTCCCTCACTAACATACCACTTATCTGAACCGATGGGTATCTTTGAAAAAACTATGAATACTTTCTTGAATTGTGCTTCAAGTCAATTTTTAAAGTGTGGAAAGTGTAAAAAAATATTTTGCCGAGAGCCTCATGGAGACTTCACGAGCCGAACATTTTTGCAAACATACACAATTTGGAAGTCCGATGTGATACTACACATAATGTGAACAGCCTTCTACTAAACTGGGTATCTGTGTGACCAACGAAGCTCATCCTATGGCACTACTCTCGTCGATTCAAAATCAGCGCTCAAGAACTACCGCGCTGTATGTTTTCCAAATAATAAAAAGAACAAAATAATGGACCCATTCCTGGTGCTCATCGTCCATCAACCTCTAAATGTATACTTCTTTCTATCTTTCGGTACAAACACATACTTCTTATGTACTGACAAAAAAATCACCTTTCTAGTTGATCACGCAATTCGATACTGGCATACTTTAACTTGCTTATTCACAGATTTTGCTCCCTTTTGGAAATTTTCCACTCGCGCTGTGCTGCTGGTCAACCGACACCGACAGGACCATTTTCAAATTTTTTCATACTTCGTGAATACGAAAATAGTGGTGAAGAGCATATCAGTTGTGCTTATCGCTGTCGTCGCCATAAAACCTTTTACTATAGCCTCTCATTTGCTCACAAAATTTTGGTCTATATTTTGATTTGATGACTGCAGAGGCGATGTTGATGATTTACTGTTGAGTTGTGTTCAAAACAATACACACAGATACTGTACATGGTCACTTTTCTGATTCAATCTCCTCTGAATTCTTCTCAAGCTCCTTGCGCAAATTTCGCTGCATCTCCCGTCTCTTCTTTGCTTTCATTTCTTTTTCGCGTTGTAGCTTTTTGTACTGCTCTTCATAACAGTTTTCTCCATTTATATGCCGATCCAAAACAAATTTCATTCGCTCGAATGCTATTTCTATGTTTTTCGGAAGAAGGCGTGATTCGTGGACCTGAAAATAAAGTTCGTTATACCTGTGCGAATGACCAATTATAATCATCTCCCAGATTTGCGTAGAGCCGGGTTGCGGACTTTCCCTATTTATAAGGATAAAGTTAATGAGAGAGTACGAAAACCAATGATGTAATGTGGAGGTTTAACAAGTTCATTCTCATAATTAGAGCACGCTGTTACACGAATCTGAGAGCCATTAATCCAAACCTTGACAACGAATCCTGTTGGGATATGTCGCAGCTGAACGGCATTTTGAGCAGTATTCACTTTCTGACCACCTGGACCCCATCCAGAGATGTATTTCTAAAAGCCCAACTACTATTACACTTGCCAATCGCAGACTGCTTCGAACCTGCTCGCAATCTTCCGTTTTCAGCTCAGGAAACTTGTAACCTTTAAGTTTTTCCTTTATAGATACCCGACAGACGCTCAACAAAAGTGCAGGTGGGACGCGGCAGATTACCATTTTCCAAGAGACATCGTACTGGGCACTCCTGCAGAATGAAAGTTTGTCAGTAACAGGCATAAGAAGGTCACAACACTGGGTCGATCTGAATGTTTGTGTATGATGCATATCCACCTGGCCATATTTATTTCGGATAAATGTGGGTAGCTCTAGCCACGCGCTCCGTAAATTTGTTTGGGATACTTCACAAAACAGATATGAACAAATAACTCGAACATTTCTTAAACTCAAGTTAGTAGTAGGGTGAACGGTAGAAAATGGGACACCTAAAGACTAAGTTAAGATTTCTCAAGAAAGAGAAGTGATTGAACTTTCCCACTTTTGATAGATATTAGAATATATCGTTCTCGTTCAGACTACGCCCATATAAGGTCATCAGCATACTCAAAAGTTTTTATACTTGCTGAAATGCAAAGTTAGTCTTGACAAATCATAAACTTTGAGCAGTATCTGCGCAGTGAAACATCTGAAACCATCCAAAATAACACTGCTATAATGGGTGAAGGTACAGTCACTGAACCCACGATGGCCTGTTGGCCGCAACGCTTGAAGTCATAAAATATGGTCATTGGCATTTTCCGGAACGAGGATGCGTGTTATTCATTCTTTTGCAAGTGAACGCATGTTATCTGGCTACCTTCCAATAAAAGTCTTTAGCTCTATCCATAAATATGCAGTTTACCTCAAATTTCATCTGCCCTCGAAAAATGTAGGTTGAAACATGATTTTTTGATTTTTATTGCGCCAAAAAATCGCGATTTTTCAAGTATTTTGCTTTTTTTACCCAGAAAAAAAATAAACTCTATATGTTCAATATATTGTTTGAAAGAGCATGAGGAGCTCTTTGAATGATATGTCAATTGCTTCATGACTCTACGGTTTAGCAGCGTAAGAATGAGAGATGTTTAAAAAACCCTGTTCGAGTTCTTCACGGCGCCACGCGCAGGGCTGTGCAAAAGGAGCGTTAACACGTTGCCAGAATAATAGGCGAAGTTCGCCTATGTAAGGTTGTTCAAGATGCAGCCCGTTTGTTGTTGATCGGAAACAAAAAAATCTCGAAATGTAATAAAAATCAAGCTGTCCCATTTTTTGCCGTTCACCCTAATAACTTCCAAAATTTGTTGGAAATAATGCAAAGCATATTGCGACTAAAAGTGACTTCAAGCCTATAAAAATAGATCCAAAGGAGGTGCGCGCCCCTATCGCCTCCGACAGCTCATAGCTTCTGACCCGTTGAACCGACAATGTTTCAGCCTTCAGCCGTCCCGCGCGTTGGTGGCCAGCTAGAAACGTGCTATTGGATTTCACATCAAGCGTTCTACAGTATTTTTCAATCCGGAGTAGGCGATCAAGAAAGTGATGGTATTGGCGCAATTTTTCAGGCGAAGATTAAAATCTTACCCTTAAGGGCAGCGTCCTTGCAAAATGATGGGTACCGGGATTTTACGGTGTTGCAATAGACCCTCCAACTAAACTATCAGTGAAGTCTGGAGCGCAAAAGCGCTTCTTGAAAGCCCAAAAATCGCTTCGAAAGTTTTCCGAACCCGCCCCATTTCCGGCCCCGCCCAGTTCTTACACGTAATTTGGAGAGAACGCGGACACGGAGCTTCAAAAAAAAAGCTCATTTTTGCCATTTTTAAGCGCTGAAATGCTCAGGTATGGCTTCAACATGACGAAAAGGCTCTGAAGAGGTGAAAAACCGAGCGAAATTTTGCTAGGACACTCCCTTTAAGAGAATGAATCAGGAACGATGCCGCAACCAGTAGAACAAGGTTAGTCAGACCAACCATGTGCTATACGACAATTTATGAATTTGAGATAAACGGAATGGACATCGAGGCGTCAGGTGCAGACGAAGATTGCCGCCATTCTGTTATTCTAGAAACCCGCGTTTTCATGCTGAAGAATTCAACATGGACAAATGTAGGCATCGCAAGTACCTTCTTAGAACGTCCCTTTTGGTGCAGGAGGTACAGGCTGTGCTGAACCGCACCCACTCAACGTAGATCAAGCCGTGATCCTTACGCTGTAAACAAGCACTAAGATTTCAACTCTCACTGGCACTGAGCCCTTGAGTTTTTTAATTCCTATTCTAAGCGCTGTCACTCTTTGGAATCATCCAATTTTATTGAACCCTCTCTTCAAGTAAACCATATAAATGCTCCATTTTGAGTTCTAATGTGAAAGAAAACACGAGAAAATTGACATAGGATGGGGAACTGTGAATGTGAACTACAACAGGACAACGGCAGAGTCGTAAACATTAAAGTCAGCCAATGAAAAGACAAATTTGGCGGTCAACCACTCTTGACATCGGAGAGCAGTCGATGAGCAGCGAAAGAACGCTTGACCAGAAGGACAGCACAGAGGTGTCCGCAATCGCACATTATTCACGCTAAGAATAGCCTAGTGATGGGCAACCTTGTGCTCTTGTGATTGATCACCCATTAAGTTTTTGCGTTCGCTTCTCAAAATAAACCAAGAGACCTTCAAAATGACAGCTAACAAAAACATTGAGGTTCTAACCAAATTAAGCGTACAAAACAATGGAACAGACTTTATAAACTTTATTCAAAGTGCTTATCGAGAAGGCACAGACCGACAGTCGGGAGACAAACCCTTCTATCAAACTGATTTCTCTCAATATTGCATTTAAAAATGCATATAATGAAGCTCAATTATTGATTGGAAGCTCCTATCTCAAAAAATAGAGCAAAATTTACCTCACAACACTACGTATACCTTGGGTTACCCTGCATAAACTATGTTATACTGCCTGGACGAAATTTTAGTAAATCGAGTGATTAGATAATACAGAATCTAATACCGGGTAAAATAGCAAGTATAGCATATAAAAGATCATGGAACGAGGATCATGAAGGGAAATGATAAACAGGAGGAGATGCTTATCTCATAACAACAAACCTAACTTCAACGAGTCCCTGAGTGAATGGGAGTTATTTAATTAATTGGTAAGCACTTTGACCATGAGGATTAACAGGAACAGTGACTATTCAATACCTGGAATGTATAAATTGCACGGAAGAACGGGCGGCTAGCCAATATTATCGCCATTGCCTTTATGAACTCCATTGACATACTTCTTCTTCTTGTTCTTCACCAAATCAATTTCAGCTCTCTCTCGAATTTCATCTAAAGTCCAGTCGACAAGTAGTTTACCGTTTTCAAAGACTGTTTGGAGAAGATCCTAGAACAAAGTACATATTTGTTGAAGCCACAAAGTGTACTGCATCAAACCCGCAATAAAGCACACCTCTCTCGGATCTCCATGTCCTTCCTGGACAGTTTCTATCAAACCAGAAGCATTCCGCACTAACGTAAGATAACCTTTCTTTGAACGTTTCTCCTTATCAGTAGCCGGATTCTTGTAAACGTCCCTCTAAAGATATCGAATTTTTTGTCAAGTGTTGAAAAACATCAGAATGCGAAGAAGAAGTTCAGAAACCCACGTGTTCGCCATTGACAATAACATGACTGCATTTGAACGCACATTTTTGTGTGTCACGATCAATCCTTTGGAGCAGAGCACCTCCTGCACCGAATACTACATTATCTGTGCTCCAGCCAGCTTGCTGTAAAGTGAAATTGGAATTTATACCTACTTCAACAAAAAATTCAAGTAATTCAGTATTCAATTTACCTTCAAAGCCTCAAGTATTTTTCCTGTAGATTCATAATTGATACCATCACCCTGTATAACTCGCAAATACGGAGGTAATATTTTGTATCCCTTCCTATTCTTAGTAACTGGGAACTTCTCCTCAAGCAATGTCAGCACCTAAACAAGCAAAACTTGAGAAAAGTGAAAGAAAAACGAGAAGAAAATAAACAAGCTGACTAACCTTGACTAAAACTGTGACTGGATCTCCTGAATCCGGTCGAATCACGAGACAACCACGTTCACCTCGTTTGATGACTTCGTCATGAAGCTGCTCACCCCATATGGCTGAGACAGCGTGAAAGACGTCATAAGAGTCAGAGACAACAGAAATGAGCCCTATAACCGAAACACAAACGTAACTATAAAAATGTTTCTTTGAAGTTCTGAAAAAACTCCAACTAACTTATCATACTTTTTTATATTTGTAAGAAGAAAAAAATTTTTTCATCAAACTGTAGTGAAGAAGGGATTTCAAATGGAATTACCTTTGGGATATTGCTGCAACATGTGTCGAAACGCCGCTAATTCTCCCGACTTCTTCCATGTTGTTATAGTGCTGCAAGTGATAATAAATTGACAAAGATTTACTACCAGAAAGCCACGTACCTGTGCTCTGTGGCTGGAATACTGAAACCAGCCATTTCGCATGAATAATACTTCCGACAAAGTCGTAGTCCAGCTATGGTATCGGTACCAACAAAGTTAACCATATGTGCGGCTCCACCAATGCCAGCACTCTAAACTGTGTTGGTGAAACGCTGGTAAGTACACAACGAATTGAATTTCATCAAGCATTCACTTCCACAGAGGAACAGCCTCGATAACCAAAATCATGCAGCTTGAACGGTAAACCATCTATGGAATCACTGGTAGCATCGAGATATTTAGCAATCAACTGCTTGAAAGCTCGTGAGCTAGTGCAAACTGTCATAGGATACCAGGTTTGTACGAGTAACGTCTGAATACAGCATTTTATGATTTGCAAGGGACGTAAATTCTCAAACCAAACCTCGAACCAGTTGGTAAGCCATGGTACTTTTGGATCTGTATTTTCAATTGTGAACAAAACATTTTTTGTCGGTACTACTGTCCCTTCTGGAACAGCTTTAATACGCAGAGGGAGACGCCCATGATGCTTCTATAAAATCTTCCTGTAGATACTAAAGTGATAATCAGAAAGTATGAACCCACATCAACAATATGCCTCCAACCGGCTTCATTGAAAACATCCATAGTAAAGTGAAGCTAAAGTACGAAAACTGTTTTTGCGATTGCCGATGGAGAAAGCAATAGAACAAATAGAGATTTCTTACCTTGTAGAACTCTATAGCATCATCAATCATTTCGTGCGTTACAACAACACCAACAAGCCATCGTTTTAAGATGTACTGTAATCCAAAGAAACACACCTGCAACATGGACACTTAAACTGACAAAATACGTCGAACTAAAGACTAAATTCAGCGGCTAAAATGGCAGGAAGAAAATTCTAGAAACTGACCTCCGGAAACTTTCCGCCTCTGCTTTCAAAGTATGAATAAACATTTGTAGTTCCCTCAGGATACTGGTTATGGTGAGTGAGCTACAAATTTCTGCGTTTCTCTGAGAAGGTAGCCAGATTCGATAAGAAAGGATCAATTACCTTGTAAGAATCAGCCAAATAAAGTACATTGTCCACAAAACATGATCCGCTCATCGTGTTCTGCCCAGATATGAGTAACCTACAAAAGCAGCTGCCTTCAAAAAGAGCAGCAAATTCCTAGAATAAAGAAAATATCACATAAGGAAGAAGTCCTGGAAAGAATCTTGAAGATACACGTTAGTGATCGACAGAGGCGGATGATAGCAACGTAACGTAAGAAGTAACGAATGCGAGAAACGTGACTTATTTTATGATCTGAAAACGACAGCAACTTTATTCAGACACAGAGAACGTTTAGTGCAAAGATAAAATCAAAAACAGACATAAGTCAAACAAGCAGGGGAAACAAGCGCATACTTGAAATGATGACACATAAGAGCTACATATTTTGCAAGGCTTTGCGGTCAGTGTATATTTACATCCAAGGCGTCCAACTCTCAAACAATGTGATCAAAAAGCGTGAACATGGAAGAATCATGATATCAGTAAGAAAAAAGAGAATGTAAGGGTAAGTCTGAAGTGCAAAAAAAAAACAAATGGAGAACATAGAGATATGAAAGGAATGTGCTTAGTAATCACAGTATCCAGATACCTAATGTTTGAAGTGGCATTTGTCCTTCATAGGGCACCCATCTGGATGATTTTCTGCCATCCAGCATGGAGTGACACCATTACGAGGAACCGTAACTTTGGCTTTTTTGGTCTTTCGCGTCACCTCTTCGCGAAAGTCACGCAGACGAGCCATTCCACCAGTGACCTACAAATTATTGATATAAAAGCAAACGTCTCGCACAATGGCCTCTTCCAAGATAGGAAGCAAACAATCTGCTCGGTAGTTTCATTAAAATTGCACTGGTGTAAAACAGAAACGGATAATGAGGGCATTAAATATCTTCAAGAGAGTAAGCGGTTGGATATTTGGTACATAAACAACATGAGTTCAAACACATATGCTACCAGAAGGCCTGAAGCAATGATTTGAACTCTGTAAACCTCGATCAGAATACCTGAAGAAGCTCATCGGAACAAAGAACAAATCAAGCAAAGACCATTTGCATGCTCAGAGATGGTCCTTATATAGCGCTGGTTTCGTAAGCACAAAGGCATCCAAACAGTCATTTGATTGCCAAATTGCATGAAAACAAATTTCAAACTAAACTTTTGGACCAAAATGAAAAACCAAAGTCTAGAAGAACATAAAAGCATCGGAGCAACTATTTGGCCGTTTGCTCGTTATTGTATGCAATTGATTTTTTCATAGATTGACTTCACCTGTCTTATTCGGAGACATTTATGAGTTCCGATGTACAAAGAGTTAAACATTCTTAACTGAGACAGAGACTCGACGAGACTATTTGCTGAGAATTTCGAATGCATAAAATCAAAGCTACCTAAATAATTCTCCCAAAAGGTTTCTTCAGAATTCATAGACGTTCATTTCTATATAATTCTCCAAAAAATTTGTTGCCTGCACAACAATTCAAAAAGGCGATTAATGATTGTTTACGAACAACATACAACTAAGGGCAAGGTATATTAGTGCTTTCGCTGTATTGTCCGGAACTTACGTGGCTCCCGTAGTAGGTTTATGAGGGACAAGCAATGATAGCTTAGACGTTTATTTGCTGTATCACGGAGGAAAGGCGAAGACGGGCATAAACTAGCTTCTTTTATACAGTAGAGAGAATCTTAAGTGAGCGTATCGTGTATTGTGATGATCTCAATCTATCTGTGGGCGCATTAGGGCACTTGACAATACATTGCTAATTCTCAAATCACTTAACGTTAGATAATGTGAGCATATGGATGAGTGACAGCGCGGCGATAGATTTCTAAAACATCGAGCACATCATTATCGATATTGCCAAATGTCAAGCTGATAGCCAGGCAGAAGCAGGATACTTAATTCAGAAATGTCCACAACCTGACGATGATACTTGGTAAATTATAAAAAACAGTCCATTGTTCATTAGGATACCCCCCCCCCCAGGGCACACATTCTATGAATCACCAGAAGATTAATGTCCATTAAGCATGAAAAATGCAAATTTAGAAACAAAAACAAAACCTAGGAGCATGTCTAATAGACATGTTTTTGTGAGTCTGGAGTACATATCTACCCGAACATACTGAGGTATGAAAAGCGTGCCAATGATAATACAGCAACCGCAAAAAAAGCAAGGATGTCAGAAGGAACCTTGTTAAGAGCCAAAATAAGAGCAATGAATCATTCTTAAAAAAGCAAAAACCAACTATTTTTTACCTTGAAGACTTGATGCTGATTCCTCAAAAAGGTTTGCAGTCCACCGCACTGTTGTTTCATCAACTGTTTTTCTTCATTAATCAGCAGTGCCGCCAATTTCACAAGCTCCACAGCACCACCACACCGCCAACCACTGTAAACAGCAAAGTAACATGTCGACATCAAAAGCCACTAGAAAAATCTCAACTCACTCCTTTCGCTCATCACTCCTACGCAGAATCTCGTCAAAAAACCGTTTCGTTAGATTTGATCTTATCTCTGCTGGTACACTCAGACAATTTCTAATCTAAAAGTCAGCGAGAAATGCGTCTGTGTAAATAAGCTGCAAAACAATGTCGACAAGAACATACCCGCTCAACCTTTGGTCTAGCTACAAATGTTTTGGTTGCGGAGCCTGTGAGTTCCTCTATAACATTCTCAACATCTTGCACTAATCCTTGGGGAGGTATAGAGCATACGAAGCAAAGCTGAAACGATGAACACAACTCTAGGTATCAGAAAACCTTCAGGCATTCTTCGTGACTTGAAAAACTCGGTGCAAAGTAAAGCAGAAGCTTCTGGGGAACGATGAGCTTGACTATGGAACATAGAAATATTCAATGAGCAAAACTGCCGTCTTATCAGCTAATCTGACTGAGGAATGTTTCCTAACAACAAGTACAGGCTATGTGTCGCTCTTCGTTAGTAAACAACACCGCTTTGATGCGCAAAGTGACAAGAGTTCACAGAAGAGCGTCAATGAAATGCGATCTCCGAAAAACAAGTGAACAGATGATGAATTTGAAAATATGCAAAACATACTCTTTTTGTACTGGGAATACTCAATCGATCCTCTTCTACAGTATAACCTAGACGAGCACATATCTAAATCGACATTCATACTATCAGTTAGAAGAACGATAAAATACCGCACCTCCTTGATAAATCTCAGAAAAGAATCATACTGGCTACCTGTATCACCAGGCCTGGCCACATATTTTCCATGAAAGGTAAATGGGCAGCACGGCAGCACAAAAAATTCGATGTTCCTTCTGTAATGGAAAGGGGTCTCAGTAAATGTGTAAGATTTCGCATGAGAACTACCTTGCAGCCATAATGGGCATCCATGGCGTCAATTCGTCAGTATGATTACCGATAAGATAATCCACGTCGGATGGAATAGAATTATCTTTCTGGAAAATAACACTACTTTCGAGAGAAAGTGATCAGTAGAACGTTTACCTGGGAAGGGTCAACAATCTGCTCAATCAACGATGTTTCAGAGAGCTGTTCCGACCAAATCTTCCGTTTCCGAATATCGATGCCAACACCATCTACCTGAGAATTATAAATTTCTCTCGAGATTTAGAAAATCCTGTTATTACATGTGTGTATGTGTCAATACAAAGATTTAAGGTTGTAAAACGCTCTCAAAAAGTCCCAACTTACTCCCTCCTTGTTCAATAGATGTACAAGCAACCCATTTCCACATCCTAGATCTGCAAACTTCTTTGGAACATGTCCCCTTTTTCTCCATAATTCCTGCAAAACTTTGTGGAAATTTGAAAAGTTATCATCGAAGCGTGAAAACAAACCAAAAGATAAGTTGCTATTCCACAGTCCTCATAAACAAACTTCTTTGGGTCAGTCTTTTCCGTCCAGTTCTGAATTAAGGAAAATGCAATTAAATGCAAGAAGCAGTAATATTTGACTCACCTCAACCAGACTTCGACCGTATTGCTCTTTGATTCGCTTATAGCGATGGCTATACTCTTCAAGATCCAGCAGATTGTTAGTTTTTCGCACCGCCTTGTGAGGGTCAATGAAACGAAGCCATTTGTGCAACGCAGGAAAGACAGTATTGAGGAGCCATCGACAATCGCTATCCGTGGCACTTGTGGGGACAGATATAATCAATCGAAGACTGAAAAATGTAGTGTAATAAAATGGAATGCGTGTGAAGTCTTAGCAAGATGATGTATAGAAAACATATTTCCTCCAACCATCTTCCATCAGCTAAAATGCAGCAAGCAGATCGATGCACTAGCTGGACAATATTGAATTCAAATTACTTTGATAATTTCAGACATATATCTGTTGAAATGCATATCATTTCAAATTCTTGCATTGAAAAACGTTTCGAAGTTGCTTGAATGAATAAAGATCATAATGCGGAATATGGAAAGTACACAAACCTTTGCTCAGAAGACAACTGGCAGCTTATTTTATACGGGAAAGGAATATGAGCAGTTTTCTTATTGTTGCATAGATCCAGTTGAACAGGTATGAATATGACAGTAAGCTCGTCTGAAAGCAGCAGAAGTAGAAAAAGTAATGGAAAACTTTGTGTTCGGATCACTGAACACTGAACCAGGAAAGTCCATACCTTCATGATAAGAAACTTCAAAACATTTCTGTGAGAACAAGGTATCCTTCGGAATCAGTTTTCGAACTTCGCATACGGAGTGGTCGAGTTCTAGAAAGAGCTAATAAAGAAACAGGCTTATACAAGCAAAAGGTGTTCCGAATTTTCATTGCTCAGAGACAATAAGACAAGACATACCTACAATAAGCGTTAGCAAAAACATTTTGAAGAAATGCTCACCAGCACTGAGGACTTCAGAAGCACTGTGTAAAACAGTACTGTAAAGCTCATTATCCGGTTGTACGGCTACACTACCAAAAATACGTCGATTAACGGATTGGCACTGAGTCCGCCAGATCAAAATCAGCTGTAACAAACAGTTAAAACATATCCAAGGCTATTTGAGGTCAAAAGTATAAACAGTAAGTTTCTATCACCTTATCAAAGTAATCAGAAGCTTCGATGGAAGCCTCGTACGTAACCGGCTCATCGCGAAGTGTCCTCCAAAGCATATGCTCAAAATAGTCCAGGTACAGTATAAGAGCAGGACGTAGGCCATGCAGACAAAATTAGGGTTCAAACCCAGCTCTAAAGCATTCACAAAGTGGAGAAGGCCTTTATAAAGTATGAGATCAATGTACTAACCATGAAAAACAACTGCTAAAACAGAATATCACAATACAAGATCACCACTTCAGCGATTTGGTGGACCATAGTACCCATAATTTTGCATTCGCTCCGTAACTTCTGCACTATTCGAACTAGAGGCCTCAGCGGAAGGATCTTGAAAGAAAACAAACATATAAAGCAAAACACACAGCGTGTAGACAGATTTAAAGTCCTTTTAACGCACAATTTCGATAGTGAAAGACAAATAGTATGCGTGATGAAAAGGTTACACAAATGACTTCAGAGTGGTTTCACTTCAGAATGTTTCAAAAACATCCTGAAGCCGTTTGTATAGCCTTTTTTAATCAAAAATATGCTGCAAAAATGATTTCAGGATGGTTTCAAAACATTCTCCATCTAAATATTTTGAAAACACAAAAACATTTTGATAGAGAATGTTTTAAAACCATCCTGAAGTCATTTGCGCAGCCTATGTTTGATAAACAAAAAGGCTGTACAAACGGCTTCAGGATGGTTTTGAAACATTTAGATGTAGGAAAATGCTCGACACACCTCGATTTTCCGAGTAATTGTAAGCTTTCTGAAACGCTGCTTGGTCCAAGGCTGTTTTATACTGCTTTTGCATTTGATATTGCTGAACATCACTTTGATACTTGTTCAACTTAGCATGGTATTCCGCCAGCTGAAATGTGTCCTCTAACATCGAAAAAATGGTAGACTAGGTTAGAAGGTGAAACAGCATGTTGGATGAATAGAGATCGCCAACCTGTTTCTGATATTCCACCATTTGTTGCTGGTAAAGTTCGTACTCTCGCAGATACTGCTGCTGAGCTGCATCGTTTGCACCACTCTGAGATGCAAGATAAGGAGCGTAAGCAGCAGAGGAGACTCCATTCTGAAGAGTAAACATGAGAAACATACGACAGTAGCCGGTCAAAAGCGTACCGTGCTAGGTGCACTAGGCATGGTGGGAACTGGCACCGTTACGGTAGGAACTGGCACCGTTACATAAACTTTATTGTATCCAGCGTAGCCATGCTTCTGCTAAACATACTGACTTCAGCAAGAATGTTCAGGCGAATTCAGAAGTCTTAATGAATTACTAAAATTGCTCACGTGTTCTTCCCGGTGCGCACGTTCACGCTCAGACTGCTCTGCCAATTTGACCTGTTCTTTCCGCACAGCTTTTCGGACAGTCACTGACCTGAATCAAACCCTAATAAAAACAGAAGAGATGAAGTGAACAACAAGATAAGTAAAGTACGGATAGTTCAAGAAAAACTGAGATTCTGGTATTAGTCATGAATGTTGGACTGCCAACAAAACAAGGACACCACTTGTCCACTCCGTAGAAACAATTTTACTCCAAATCAAAGTTAAAAGAGAAGTTGTCTGATAACTTCAGTTAATCTTCTTTGCCGTACAGGTTTTTAACAATGATACACTTTACTGCCTGATGTTTCGGTTACACACCGTCTTCAGAGGCCTGGAAAGGTGTCATTCACTTTGCACTCTACTTGCTGCCAAGCCCTTCTCCCATCTGCGTACTCGATTCATCTAGGATGAAGATCGAGAGGCTGGTAAAATATATATATATATAGTGTATAGTGTATACTAGTGTATCACTGGTAAACACTGCTATCAGTGATACACTCGGTGGGTCGATTTCTACGCCCAGCCTCTCGATCTTCATCCTAGATGAATCGAGTACGCAGATGGGAGAAGGGCTTGGCAGCAAGTAGAGTGGTATCAAAGTGAATGACACCTTTCCAGGCCTCTGAAGACGGTGTGTAACCGAAACGTCAGGCAATAAAGTGTATCATTGTTAAAAACCTGTACGGCAAAGAAGATTAACTGAAGTTATACTAGAATGCCCAGGTTACAAGAATGGAGGACTTTCAACATAGTTGTCTGATATATATCTCAACAGCAAATCGTGGAAACAGAAATGGAACGATCAGAAGTGAAGCGGTAGTGATCTCAAATACATAAAATCACAAACCTCCCATTGATACAGTGGTTGCATTGCATACACAAATCAACGGCCTCCTCTGTCTCGAAAGTGATAAATGCGTAGTACAGCAGGTTTTCGTCATCGTCCTGGAAAGATAGCTGTAGGCAACGACGTAAATCGAAGTGAAGAAGCGCACATTTGTAGCTTATGATATGCGAATAAATTCCGTTTTTACCATGGATATGGATCAATCACGTAGATTAGACCAAAGCTGGCGCAGAACTCAACGAGTAATCTTCAGTTTTGACGGGGTGTGCAGAAGTGTGCAAAACCCAACGGGAATCGTCAATCTTTGGAAAAAAATCGGAGTGTAACGATGGTGATGACAAGCGCACATGCGTAACAGCATGGATTATCAATAGATCGATCCCTGACACACCAACACATTAGCTGAGATAAAGATCAATTTCTCAAAATCAATTCAGATGATACTTTCGAAAGTGTGCAGGTGATTCTGACTCTTCGATTTCGCAAAAGGAAAAAAAAACAGACGATGGAAGGACGAGATATATAGCTATAAAGGCTGTTATGTACAGTAGCCACGTCGTCAGGATTAATGGCAAAACCAACCAAATTTCACATAGTTAAAACGGAATATTGTCAAGTTATAGAGGTCACGAGGAGTAAATTAGGCTGAGATTCTATTCCGCCTGTAGGGTGCTGGTACGCATAACATCAAGGGAACAGTTTGACGTACCGCATTAGGCCAAAGTGCAATCCATACGAAATGCCGCTACACCGTTTGCTCGACGGCTTATCAAAAGCAAAGAGATTAGACGCAAACTGACGCAGGCCCCGTAATAACTTTTGCACCGGTTCAGAACGTTCTGAGACACCGTATACCCAGATTCAAGACTTCTATGTTTTGGCCTTCCGGGGCCTTCTCATGTCCTTAATTGCCAATATGAAGTCGAGAATCCCCGATCCGACAATTCCAGTTCCAAAGAATCCGCAGGAAAATTTTCCCGAACGGCGACTGGATGGACGAGCACATATAGTATGGGCGGGAATTACTGGAGGGGTGTTGCAGCCTATGGGCCCCCTGCTCTCTTCGTTCAGAAGCGATTTTCTCATTCCGGAGCAACATTGCGCCGCGACTTGGGCACTGGCTTGACATGGGGCCCTACTCTCGTAAGCTGCCAAAAGCCCAAGACCCCTAACTTAGAGTGGACGGTGCCATTAAAGTGAAATTCAAAGCTTGAAATGCATCCCAAGTCTGCTCTGGAAATGATCTTGAGGGTACCTTTCAACAATGTAGCAAGATAACATTTAGAGAGTGGATGATAAGCGATTCTGGTGAAGGTACAAATGCCATTTGGAAAAAACAACAACAAAAAAACAGCAAAAAAAAAGAGTGGAACTAACCCGAGCAAAGGTTACGGAGGAGATAGCACCAAAAGAACAGAAAGCTTTCCTGAGCGCATCTTCGGTCATTCCATCGATTCCAAGGAAACTGACAAAAAGCTTTTTCGATTTCAGCGCCGGCATTCTCGTTATAGTACCCTAAAACTACAAGATCGAGGCAAAAAGTACTACAAAAGCGTCCTTACCTCATCCTCTAGGCTGGTGACCGTGATTTCTCGTCCCTTGAGCTTATGCGTGCTTTCATCTAGGCATTTGGAAGTGGAATGTTGATCCGAATAAGTGATATAGGCAAAACCTCTATTCATACCTACAACTTGGGTAACTGAATTTGAGCTATAAAGATGAAGAACAACAACATACCCGTTTCCTTTTCCTTCGGAACCACAAGTTCCGAAATGTAACCAAATCTTGAGAAATACATGCGAATGGCATCTTCCTTGACATTATTGGCGATCCCACTGACAAACAGACGACGACTGGTCATTCTTGAGGGGGAATCAGGAATTGCATCAGTTGCTGGGCGGAACCAAGTGGACCACTTTTGTCCGGACCGAGGTTTTCCCGGCGAGCACTGAGTTGTGGCGAACGCGCAGCGACGCGCGTCACGGCTCGTATTTTCCGGCGCATGCGGGCGCTTCTCCTCTCGTGTTCATCGTCGCCAAGTTGGTCTATGAGGGTTTATTAGGTTCTTGGGCAAAATTCATGCTAAAAGTTAGAGCATAGGTTTCATAGAAGTCTTAGCTTGCTTCAGATCTCAGGATTTTGCGAATTAGTGCTTGAATTCCCGTAGATCTCGCGCCAGGAGAAGAAATCAAATTTTCTCATTTCTTACCTATGAGTCTTGTTTATTTCACGTATCTTAGCGTTCTACAGATGCATTTAGTTCTTAAGAAGCGCTAATGTATCAATTCTCTTCAGTTCAGCCTTGCTGCGGATCCTTTTGAAAATAAACATTCTTTTCTGCCATTTTGTGAATCCGTTGTTTTCCTTTTCCTTGAATCACTGTATTTTTCAATGTTTTTCATTATCCCTATGCTTCATTTTTTATAGCTGTTCCAATTAATAACATGGTGCGTTTAGAAACAGTTAGCACAGAGAAATTGAAGTGAGCAAAATCTGAGGAAGGAACCAGTACAGCAAAAAAACACCAAGCGGAGATTTTTTTCATTGCTGATCTCAATTAAATGAGGTTTGTTGATGTGCGTGCACGTCATTCACATCATAATATTTCTATCCAAACGGATTTTCCAGAGCTTATTGAAAAATCAAAATTTTAACATTGCAGGTGATGTCTAAGCGATCTTTGTCGGATAACAGCGATGGGTCGGATCAAGACGATGCCCAGTCGACCGCCGACGACCAAGAGATCGCTGCAAAGAAGCGACGACTAGTTGCTTTCGAGACTGTTCGCCTTCTTTCAGTCACTGGAGTGGTAAGCTATGCTTTTTCAGTAGAATGAAAAACTTGAGGAAAACACGTTCGACTAACATAAGAGGAATTAGGTTATATTATGTTTCAGAATGACATCGATGACAAGAAGGCGAAAGTACAAGCCTATAAGCTGTCGGAGGCACTACGACATAAGAATAAGCAACTAAAGATCAAGGAACGAGAGATAGAAAGGTTGCGGCAGCGACAAATGACCGATGAGAATACGAGTTGTACGATCAACAGGCATTGGAATAATGTAAGCTCTTTTTTGATTAAGCGGCACCGTCCACTCCAAATGAGGGTGGTTGGACTCCAATACTATATGGTTTTGGCCTCTGACTAAGTCATTCAACTCTCGCTGCAGAAGACGAATTCCGAAGCGAGAAAATTGCTTTAGAAGACACTTGCGGACAGTCCGTCCCGCCCATCAACGTGGGTGGTCCAAAAGTAAGGTGCGCTAAAATGAGCTCTAGCTACATATGGGAAATCTTGTGTTAATCATAAGAAATGATAATTTCGACAATCCCAGCTACTTGAAGCTCAATTTAGCACACATTATTTTCGGACCACCCACGTTGATAAGCGGGATGGACTTTCCGTAGATACATTCTGGACCGATATTCTCTTTTCATCATCTTCTGCAGTGAGACTTGGGGTATACTCGATCTGCTATCATACTGCATTGAAACTTCTACCGTCAGTTTGGATGAACGCCTTTGATACAAAGAACTGAGAATACTCAACATAATTGTCTTATAGATATAAACAGTATTTTTTGTTCGATAATTTGAAATATGATATTTAAGGGAAATCGTATCCTACTATGTCGCTCTATACTTTAGCTTGACGAGCAGATGCGACTAATCGCTCTGAGAGGCGCCTCTTCCGAAGAAGTTGAAGAACTATTGGAAGGCAATGATGGGGCTCCTTCTGGCGACTTTCTGGATGAAATTGTTCAAATGGAAGGCGTACAAGGAGAACATGTTTACGACAAGCGTGTACAGCAAAGGTATCATCTTTACAAATCAAGAACGATGGCAGCTGAACTCTGTAGGATCGTAAATCTCAAAGAAGGGTTTAACTTTGCATAATATACAAAAAAGGTACTTCGCTTGATAACTGTTGTCGTAGAATGGTTTTGACTCGATACTTGTTAATATTGATATTTCCTGTAGATTTTTAGAACTTCTTTTGCCTGCAAAATGTACTCTAAGTAGTATGGATATTGAGATATTTTTTGCTTTATGAGAAGGCGCCAATTATTGGTTCAAAAGCGTCACTTGTAAATCAGCCTTCCTTTCATTGAGCTTGCTTTAGTTAAGCAAGAGCTGTGTTTGGGATCGTTCTTTCAGTATCTTCTTGTTGGTTCCTTTTTTCATGTAGGTGATGACGGTTGTTATAAATGAGCTTTTTTATGAATTTAGAAGATTCCAAGCAATCTGGTAGGCTATCAGCGAGATGGAGTTTGTATGCCATTTCTTGTGGAGTGGACACTTGTTGGGATCAGTCCTCATAGAACTCGCAAACGACTAACGTAGAAGATCACTTTCTATACCACGAAGATTTCCATGCCATTTTATCTGGGTCGCATTTTCAAAGATATATAAAACTACGGCGAGGTCTTTCAATAACTACGAAGCTTGTGGGAACCGCGAATGCGGGCGCATAGTCTACTTCGCTTATCTTTATCTTGATTTTTGGCCATTTTTAGAGGAAGAGATGCCTACCCTGTCGAGCATGAGTATTCCCTCTTGCTTATAGGCCTTTGGTACCAATTATGATCATTATTCGTGTTTCTGCCGAAGTTTTGGCTATAGTGTTCTGTTCATTTCTCCAATCAAAGATCTCATTCAGTGTCCGTCTGCTCGACAAGATCATGCTGCAGCTTGCCAAAAAGTCTGATCATCACCGCGCGTTCAGCAAGAAGCTCTTAGCATTATTTGAAGGTAAGTCAATATAATTTCCAGTTTTGGATTGATGTGTGCGGCTGAGACATTCTCTGATTTCTCCTCTGTGGCTTTAGCGTCACCGTTGGCGTCGGAAACAAGAGATGAAGCTTTCCAAGCCGTACTGGCTGAAAATGAACGCCTTACGGAGGAAAATAGTCGCTTACAAAGGGAAACAAATCGAGCGCAGCAGAAGTACTCCAAATCTAGTCTAAAGGTATCTTTCCCAGAAAATGTCATTAGTTTTTCCTAAATGAGCATCATTACAGTTGAAAGAGTGTGAGGATCAAATAACAATGCTGACCACCCGCAACGAGGAGCTTGAAAGAGAGCTGGAAGAGGCAAAGTTTGATCTGGATAAAGCTCAGCGTCAAGCGAATAAGCTCGATTACAAGCTGTACACTCTTGCAAAGGTAGAAAACTTTGTTATCACAATTTACAACTACTCTATGGGCATTGATGCTCACAGAAGTCGGTATTGTTAGTGAGAGTCTCTGCTTTGATGGGCTTTTGTAGCATTGTTACTTTGCATATTCCAAAAGTGCGAATGAATGCAACACAATGCAGCAGGGTAAATGTGGCTTGTCCGTAGGTGAACTTTGTTTCTGATGTATTATTTTTGGTCAAATTCCTATACAAGAGAATCATTCTGTTTTTAATTCAGGTCACATAGATTTCTTTCAGTTTCCTGATCAGGTTTTTGATATAATTTTTCTTAATAAGGAATATCGTACATGTGAGCCAAGTGCATTCTTTGGGTAGTCGGGAAATTTTTTCTACTCGATTGATTTCTTGATGTCTTAATTGGACATAAAGCTCACAATATTATATGTGAACTGCTTTGCTCATCGGGAATCACCTTCCCCTTACATCGTGCTCCATAATAACCGCTTTGATGTGGTGGTTCCAAGTCTGTCTTTTTAATTTTTGGAAATTCACTCAAAGGAGTTATTGCGCTTGTTTGGAATTTATGCTTTACATCACCTGTATAGTCAAGTAGCCAATTGCTTATAGTCGTTCTCGCTTCCATATGTGCTGGACATTTTCCAAGTGCGAAGCTTAACGGGTAATTGATCAGTGTTAGCGTGAACAACGCTCATAACTTTGCGTGAATTCCTTTTAGCGGGTGTGACAATAGTTCAATATCTCAAAGCGGTCATTATATCTAAATTTTCTACTTTTATTGAAATTAAAGGCAGTGTCCGGGCAAAAACTCGATTTTGAGCTTTTATGCTTACTTGAGCCTATTCGCTACGCTAAATCCGAAAATGCACATTGTAGAGCGCGAAAATGGCGAGAAATGGCTGTAACACGGGGGGAAATGAGGAGGTGGGCGGGGTCCTCTCCACTGCGAATTCACGCTCCCGGCTTCCGAAGCCACCTTCTCGCTTCCGGTTTCAAGTCAGTCATTCGCAATTGGCCCGTAGCGATGTTAGGATGGCTAGCGGGATCGAGAAAATCGCTCCGGGAGCTGGGAGCGTGAAATCGCACTGGGGAAAGCCCCGCCCATTTGCTGATTTCCCTCGTGTGTTAGAGCCCTTTTTCGCCGTTTTCGCTCTTTCCAATGTGGATTTTCGGATTAGCATGGCGAATAGGCCCTTATAAGCACAAAATCTCAAAATCGAGTTTTTGCCCGGACACTGTCTTTAAGAACTAGAAATGGTTAATTCTCGATTTCCATAGCAAATTCATATCCTGAAACTAGTTTCGTTTGATTATCATGAAAAATTGTGCTGGTATGAATCCGCGTCTTGGATGGGCTCGTATAAAACTCTTACATTTATGCCACTTCTTCAGGATAACTCAGCTCATTGTGAAGTACGACCGACGGTGAAAATGTTAAATGGTGTCACTAATGGTGGCGGACTAAGTGAAACACAGGTAGACAGATTTCCACATTTTGCAAGTCTTGTTAGCAAAGTTTTTTTTTGAAGCTTGACGAGTTGCGCGCGGAAAGCGAGCTCAATTCTGATCTTGCTAACAAACGTTTGCAAGAAATACATGAGCTGAATGAACGAATACAGAAGTTTGTGGAAGACACCGTACGCATGGAATGTGATTTGAAAGTAGGTTTTAGATCTAACTAAAGCTTGCATTATCGTGAAAGTTCGTGTTTTAGTCTGCATATAGTTCATCCGCTCAAATCATTCAAAGCACGGAGTACCAAAATCTAGTTGCTTTCTATTCTGTCGTTATTGATGAGTGCCGAAGGCTGAGGTAGGTTTAAGCCTCTAAATCCTTTCACTTATCTGAACCAGTTTCATTGTAGGAGTGACTTCGAAGCAGTAACTGAGGAACGTGATCTTTTGCGACAAGAAATGCTGCAGAAGGTTGAAGAGATGAAGGTATGTACTAGTCATATCCTATTTTTCTTTCAAATAATGCGGCCCACGATTCGAGGTACATAATTTTCTTTTTGCAGGCCGACGAGCATCAATCAATGCGCAAAATGCGATCTTTATGCGAGCAAATCACCCGAGATTTGAACCAAGTTGGTTGCTTTGAGATTCAACTTTACTGAGCGTTGCTAATTCATAATTCTTGCTGGTATCTTTCTTTCAAAGTCCTAACTCTCTTTGATAACAGCAAGTAGGTAGCAAGAGTAATTGAGATGTTGATGACTGCGCTGTTGATTAATGTTACATCCATTTTCGATTCAGATGCGGACTGAATCAGATATGCTGCGAATGGAGTTCGAACAATCTCTGGCAGCTCACAGCAAACAGGTGAGTTATGAGTGGAGTCACGAAATAGCGAACATCTTCCTGATATGTAGAGTGGAGTGATGTTCCATCAAATTCACCTTGTATCAAACTGCCTGTGGAGTTACTGTGATTTAGGATGCAAAGCAGCAAGACATAAAAGTTTTATTTGGTACGCTGAAAACGCAGAACTATCAGCTGAACTCTGATGTTGCAAAATATAGGAAGAAGTGGAAAGAAGGTGTGAACACGAATTACAAGGTGAGTTTTCTTTTGTGGATTGAACCTCAAATCAGTTTCCGACGGTTTTTGTATTGCTACGATTCAGATCCAAACGGAACTGGATACAGAAAGGCGTCGGCTAGAAAGATGTCTTGTGATAGAACTTGACGATGAAGACTCGAATGAGTTAGCGAGCCCAGATCAATCGCGAGACGACTTAGACATCGGCGATGACGCGAATGGAGAAAGGTATGAGTGTATCTTGTACTCCTCCAGGCTTTTAAATCTTATAAAAGCTTCAAAGAAATTTTCTTCACTTAATGCAATCATTAGTTGGGTGCAATAGCATTGAGCATTTTGCATATGCTGTCACAATTGTTTGAACTCTTGCGAGTTGGTTTTTGAAAGCGCCTTTAGCAAACCGTTGTCTTCAAAGCCACCTCCACATCTAGACAAATTTGATTGAAGAGTTGTAGTTATTCGAAGCTTTTCTGGTATTTCAAGAGCATTTGGTCAAAACCCATTCTGGGGGTTATTCACGCATTCAACACCTCAGGTTCAGAATCACAGCGAGCCTTCAATCATGAAAGCTTATTTAGATCTCGTTAAAGTTATACGTATTAGTATTACGCCAGTGCCAGATTGTACGATAGTTTTATTGGCCGTACGTTTCAACAAGATCATCTTCTCGAGGCCTTTATCCACCGTAATCTTAGTGAGAGTCAATAGAGTCATTAGCCGCACCGAAGAGACAGATTATATAGTCTATCTTTTCTTTGCGGCTGAGTACTGACTTTTCTGCCTCTCACTAACAAACGATGGATAAATTTGCGACAAAGACTATTCTGTCGGCACTAAGGCCAATATTAACCGTACAAACCTGGCACTGTCATATCGTATAACAACATCACCAACATCATTCCGAATGCCCAGGCTCAATTCAGTGAGAACAGTCAACTTACTGACCAGAATTAATTTACTTTCTTAGCCTTTTATGTAGCCCTTTATGTCATTAGGCACTCATTCACTTTTTTTTTTCTCAAATTTCCTTTTATTGTTAACGAAAAACCACTAATATAGTACTTTCTGTCAGATGCCTAGCATGATGTTTCCTCTGTCAGTGGTACCAATAAGGTAGCACATAGAGTGTTCCGGGACTCCTGCTCTCGGCAAGCAAATCCGGCAATAGCATTCAAAAGCGACTTGTAGTTTGTTATATTACTGTTGAAATAACTTCTACTCCACTTTCGTGTCATCCGCTGGCTCACTGTGGAGTACTGTTCGCAGTAAATTCAACCGCTTGATTTTTCTTTAGTACCGCACTGAGATCGCGCACCCCAACTTCTCGTTTGCCTTTAATCGAAAATTGGTTCGAGAATAGTTGAAGCATGAACTATTAGGAGGATAAGGAATGTGCTACATGCTGTTGCGTGCTTCCAAACTTGCTGTAATTATTGATTCGAAAATAAGTCAGCAAAATCGTTATTTTCCCACCAGTTTTGCAATGCCGGTATCTCAGCATCGGTGGTTGTGCTGCAAATTTTTTTGTACTAAAATCTATTTTTTGTTTGGGATCATGAGTAGTACGTGTGTTTAGTGTTAGCGCTTTGCAAGCGAAGATCCTGGAATTGAAGCTTAAGTTGGAAGTTTACGCTGATGTCGGAGCAGATGTCAGAGATAAAGCTGAGGTAGATTTCGTGGCAAACCTTCTTCGTCCTATGTGTACTGCGTTTTCGTTACAGCTGTTAGTACGGGAGCGACGTTTGAAGAGGGAGAATGAAAGGCTCATACATCAGATCAAGAGGTTAGGCAATATCGAAAGGAAAGAACGAATGCGTTATTTCGAGGTTTGTTATCTTTCATTTGCCCTAGTAATCATGGTTTGATGTGTTTGGGTTTATCGTTACATAATCTCCATCCATCCATTTCTTTTCTTAGCATTTCGATCATATTCACATTTTCTCTTTTACCTTCCAACATCACATGCATATAGATGGATGCGAACAGGCTCTTTGCGCAGAAAGATAGTGAAATAGAGAGATTGAAACGCGAAGTAGCTATGCTGAAAGATACTGAAGCGTCTCTCATGTTGGATCTTGACAACACTGGTTCTGTAAGTGTTTTTGCCCAAAGGCATCTCCAAAATATCATTTTTTATTTGAGGCTTTGGAAGAGCTGCAGGAGCAAAACGCCAAGCTCATTTCTTTACAAAAGGAAAATGATGAGGGTCATATAAAGATGATGAATGATCGTATCATAGCCACTCAGCTGCAGGTCAAGATCAAGGAGGAGATGGTAAATGCTGTTGTAGCTTCTCTATTTCGATTACTTTTGATCTGTTCCTTTTTCTGTTCAGGCGCATCTAGAGTCCCAAGTCAACAACTTGACCAGACAGATAGCTGCATTGCAATGTGAAAAGGAATCACAGAATGAAGCATTGAGGCTGGCACTGGAGACAATAGGTGTCAAGACAAAGGAGAATGTGTAAGCTTGATATTTTTGTATCCTCACAAAGATGTTCTTGTGTAAGCCCAAACTGGTTTTGGTTTTCTGTAAAATGTGTTGGTTTTTCAGACGACAAAATCGCATGATCGAAGCGCTACGAAAGCAAGTGACTGAGCAGTCCTTGAATACGACTGATCTTGGAACGAGAAGTGAAAAGATGGCCGCACAACTGAGAGACATCCAGGAGGTTTGCTATTAGAGCTATTAGTTGGTTGGAATGCGACTGATGTTTTTATAATAGAATGCTAACTCATCATTTTATGGTTATGTTGTGCAAATCACTGATGTGTCGCTCATTTGACTTTTGATTTATCGAACCATATATTTCGAGTTTCATGTGCATATTTGTTATTTAGGTTGTTGCGTCTAAAACGCTGCAGCTGGAAGTGGTCGATCAGCGAAAACGTCGCTTGGAAGAGGAAAATTCAACTCTTCGAAAACGTTTAGAACGAGCAAAGAAGAGTGAGAAACTTGGAAGCACTGATGCTGTTTTGATGGAAGAGATACGAGAGCTAAAGGTGCGTAAAATGTTATTTTGTTTCGCTTAACGCATCGATTAAATAACGATTTAGCATTGTTGGGCCATAGATGTGTAAGTTTTGTTCCAGCCCTAATCGTAGCTAGATCCGTTTATTTCTTCTTGTCACGTTTCTTACAAGCTTTTTTTTACTGTCTTGACATGGCAGCCTAATCTTACCATACCTACCCATTCGAACTCCCAGTTCAGTGAATATCTTTCTTGATTATACCTAATTCGAAATTATTTGAGGTTTGAGTTTTCGGCTGAATTTTGTTGTAGCAGAATTAGATTGAAATTTTTCGTTTTTTTGTATCGGTTCGGGTTATTGAGATTTTTTTTTGAAATGGCTCGGAAATTCATTTTAGCTTATCGTGAATTCAAAGAGTTATATATGTCAATTAGAACTTGCTTCACACTTATGGTATCATCAGAAGCATATGAAAATAGATAGAAAATATCATCTTTGATCAATGCATAATAAAGCTGCTCCAAAATAAACTCAGATCATAACAGTTTTATACTTTATCTTATAGAGAATGTTCATTTGGCATCAATAATGAAATACTTTTTAGTCGGTACAATGATTTTTTGGTTTTCTTTGTTACATAGATTTTCTCATGTATATCCATTCAAGGATGTTCTCACATGTCCATCATGTAAAGTCAATCGAAAGGATGCGATCTTAACGAAGTGCTTCCATGTATTTTGCATGAAGTGCTTGAAAACAAGGTAAGCGTCGTTTTGTGCTCGGATGCTTTGGAATTCTCATCATTGTAAATTTCAGGTACGACACTCGGCAGCGAAAATGTCCGAAGTGTAATGCTGGTTTTGGTGCAAATGATTTCCATAGGGTCTACATAGGATGAATGAGGACTGCACAGAAGAAAGGATGTAAAGAACTTGTGAGTATCTTTGTATTTCATATCTAAGAAGATGTTATTTTCGTATCCAACAGTGTCTTATTAAGCTAGCTGCTCTACCTCATCAAGTAGTACGGTATGTCTCTGCCTTCGTCCATACTCGATCGTACTTTGTTCCCAGCTGATCTGTGCTAGCACTCGTCCTGAAACTTTCCGGTACTTCGCATCGAAATCGGATGTGCTAAACTTTCACGAGAGTTTCTTACTTTCTCCATCTATTACGGTCATTAGGCACTCGTTATTCTTTGTGACTGCATGGTGTTGATACTTCATGGTACAGGTTTCTTCTCTCTTCGTTTCGTTCTTATCTTGTCCAGTCGTGCTCTTTGCAAATTTTACTTCGAAAAAATTTATTTGGTTAACTGTTTAGCTGCTGTGGAATCAGAAAATATCCATCACCACAGAAGTTTTCAATGATTTGTATAGATTTCACTCAGGAAAGTACACAGTCACAGTAGCTATGAGTAACCAACTGTGGGTACTTCATTGTTTTCAAATCCTGTATAACAACAACTCACTCATTTGATCTTTTCGCACATTTCCTTCGTTCGTTTGTGTTATTGCTAATCCACTGTTAAATCGTTATGGCGATGTTTTAAAAGTCTCTATAGTTTGAACCACTGCAAAAGAGAATTGTTTGTAATGTAGGTTAATAGATGGGAACTTAAATACTGATGTTACGGTACGCTACGAGTCCCTGTCCTTTTTGTAAGATCCATAGAAATATGCATGAGCCGACTGTTGTCTTCATGATTGTAAGTCTCATGTAGTTCTTATAAAGTATCTTGCTTGACTTTGTGGTCGGTTTAATAGTAGAGAAACATTGCCTATATTATTAATTTATAAGACTAAATGTGATCAAATAAAATTTATTGCTAAAATTCAGTGATTTGTGGAGCTTTTGCTTTGGGTTTTTTAGGAAATTCTAAACCTAGAAATCTTAAAATTTCAAAAACAATTTGAGCACACCGTAGTCTTTACACCACTTTGTATGTCATGAGTGCATTCTTACAAGGGAATGGTCAGAAGTCGAAGTGGCCAGTCCAAGCAAGCTGGCTACAGTTCGATGCAGCATTCAAAGTTGATTTCGAATCTGTATTCCATATCTGCTTAGCGCCTTTATGGACGAAGTTGTGATCAGTTTTAGTGCGAGAAAGTCTTACATAGAAATTGCGAAGTTGAGCACATTGTTGCACTTTCAGATAACCGCTTAGGCTCTAAGAGTATAAAATAACCTAGCTGCATGTTTTGGCACACCATGAAGGCGAGCGTGGCTCTGTACTGCCAAATTTGCGCTTTCCATGCACAATTTCTTAGCAAAATAACGGTTTTTAACTTCTCATAACTTTGCCCACATAGGCGCTAAACAGATATGAAATAAAGATTCGAAGTCAGCAATGCTGCATCTAATGGTATGCAGCTTGTTTGGAGTGGTCACTTCGATGACCATTCCACTGTTAGCTAACTTGAAAATTTAGCAAAATCGTAGTCATCCAGATGAACAATATTATTGACTGTGCATATGTGTGAAATATGTTTAGGTTATAGAATATGCACGCACGCACACTTGATACACTTGTAATTCATGAACGGAATGTGAGGGATTTGAGAAGTAGGATTACATAAAGCTTAGGATCAGTTAAATTTTCACCAGAATGAGTATTTTGAAGGGTAAAACCTGTCCATTTCATGGATAGGTTTTTCTCTTCAAAATAGCCTGACTTTCGCAAATTCAGCTGCGTTTAGTTAACCCCGGTTTAGGAGAGCCTTACGGCAGTGCGTGCAAAACTCGGGGCGAGGTGGCACAGTGAATTTTGAAAGCGAAGCCCGTCGACTGGAAAAATGAAATACCCTTGCAAACTTTTGCGAAGCAGATGTGACGCGCTGGTTGCTGTGAGAAGATTTTGCACATACTTTGGTTTTTGATAACGAAGGGGAAAAACAGATGCACGCATTTTCGGGGACTAGTGAAATTTGTAGTGTACGACTTCACAGCAAGAAAGCGTGTACAAACTAGACCAAGCCAGCAAACTGAAGTTGTCGAAGTGCTTGCTGGAGGTAGGTTAGCTACAGAAAGAAGAAAAGATTAGGATCAGGATCAAGCGTGGGATGTGGCATGCCACATCTGGGGGGTCGTATTGAGGGGTTAGGGCAAGAAGGGGGGGGGGGGCGGTCGTTCAAGGTGATACTGATGTTAGCGATGACGTCATAACGATGTCAGATAGGCCTATCATGCAAAATACTAGCACATTGATGTTTTAGCCCACCATCATATATGTCAGTAAGCATAATAAAAGATCTATAAAAACATAAGAGCATCCTTTTTGTAATTACTTTGGGTCAAGTTTCAGCGAATTCTAAGGTTACCATATATTGAGTCGCCAAGTGAGATGGTCATTTTCGAGCATGTTAACTTTGTTGAAGTTAAATACTTATTTCTGCACTCAATACAAAGAACTACCACTTCAAGGGACAAACTAGATACAGTTCGATAGCCAAAATCTCGTATTTTTGGTGAAGAGATTGGAGCTGTATTCGTCTTTTTTCTTTTGAGCATTAGCTGGAAGCACTACCACTGGGGGCAGGAAATGGTACAAACAAGATTTTGGCTGGCTCCTAATCTCCAACAGTTTGATGGTTATTCGAAGCAGGCTCTATGGAGTAGTGCTTTGTATTGAGAACAAAAGAGTAGCTAACTCACTCTTGAAATATAGTCAACCATGTTCGAAAATGGCCACTTCACATGGGTGGCTCATTATTGGGAGCCTTAAAATTCGCTAAAACTTGGCCCTCAGGGGTTACATGACATGATAATTACGAATATATTGCTGGTTATGCTTGGTAGAGCCTCTATGCCATGTTTACGGTAGGCAGACAAAAATGTTAGAGGGGGTATCTAGACGAAACTAGGGAGGGAAGGGGTAGGATCGTATCCGGCGGTTATGTGTCACACTTCTTGCTCGACCCTGATTAAGATGATGACTCAAGCAGCGCTTTAGAGAAATCGAGCGAGTTGTTTTCGTCAAAGGAGTGCACAGATTCTATCAATATTGAGCGGCCAGAATCTTGGAATTCGTCGAGGCTTTGCACAATAGGGCAGGTCTATGTGCTAAACGCGATTACCATATTCGTGAGAATTTTGTTTACAGCCTCACACCAATGCTTTTCCATGCGGAATGAGTATCTCATATCTAGCATTCCGAAAAACCCTAATACTAGGATTGTAATTCTGTGATCCATTTCCCCTAAGGCCCCGGGCAGACTTCACGCGACTTGATCGTCGCGACTCATTCGCCAAGATTTCCATTCATTTTCATTTCACATTCAAAAATTTCGGGCTGGAAAAGTATCACAACCGAATGCAAGTTGATCGGCATGGAATGATGTTGTAACAGTTGTCTCGTCGCGATTCAGTCGCGACGATCAAATCGCGTGAAGTCTGTCCGGGGCATAACATTTATCCATCGTAATTTCACTCTTTAAGTTCTGGCAGCATCTGCCAGAACGGAGTTAGGGGACTATATGTCGTCGTCTTGCCGCACATCTGCATCAAATACACGTTCCAATACATGCACCGGCTGAGTATCTGCTGCATTATCCTCGCGAGTGCATCATATTCAAGAAAAGTTACGTTAAAAAATTACTGAGTTGCCACTAGTGTCTAATATCTTGGGAGTATAACCAAGCGAAGAGGAAGGAGTTGAGGCGGTTTAGAAATTGATACATATATGGGATTTGTGGCGTAGGTCAAAGTCATGCTTATTTAGACAGGAGTTACATGAGGGCAAGGCAAAATTATGACATTTTTTAAGCCATCTCATGTTGCTCAACAGATGGCACTGGGTCACCTAATCTGGAACTTGTGATTGCTATAATATATTTATCTGTGCGTTGCAAACTATTAGGGTGAACGGCAAAAAATGGGACAGTTGATTTTACTACAATTTGGTATTTCTTGTTTCGATCAACAACAAGCAGGCTGCAACTCAAACGTCGCTTACATAGGCCTTTCGCCGATGATTCTGGTAACGCGTTAACGCTCCTCACAACCCTGCGCATGGCGCCATAAAGAACTCGAACAGGGTTTTTTGAACATCCCTCATTCTTGCGCTGCTATACCGTAAAGTCATGAAGCAGTTGGCATACCTTTCAAAAGAGCTTTGCATGCTCTTTCAAACAATATATTGAACATATAGGATTTATTCTCATTTCTGGATAAAAAAGCAAAATACTTGAAAAATCGCGATTTTTTGGCGCAACAAAACCAAAAAATCATGTTTGAACACATAATGTGCAAAGATAGATGAGATTTGAGGCAAACTGCATATGGATGGGTAGAGCGTAAAGAGCTTTATCAGATGGTAGTCAGATAACATGTGTTCACTTGCAGAAGAATGAATAACACGCATCCTCGTTCCAGAAAATGCTAATGACCACATCTCCTGGCTTCAGCCGCTGCGGCCAGCAAGCTATCGTGGGTTTGGTGTGGCTTGGCCCTGAAGGCGGCGCTTTGTGACCATATTAAGGCCGCTTGCGCCTGCAACGTAGTCTGCGTTTCACTCGTTCGCGTGCTCTTTGATCATTATTAAGCCTCAGAGGCAGGAGCTCGCAGAACCGAACATCCCGAAATTTTGACATACAGAGTTGCTTGCACCCCAAATATGAGAACAGAGCAGTTCCGAGCGCACAGCATGCTGCCCTTGCTTAGAAAATCCCGTTACGCGCAAGTCATTCTGATACGTGCGGACGAGCTTGCGATTTTCCCTGACCCATCAGAAAAGGCATGCCCGCAATGTTATATCGTTGCGGGAAGGTCCCGCAAAATCGAGGGTCCCGCAAGAGGCAGAACGGTTGCGGGAGGGTTCGATTCAACGATTCTGCCTCTCTAACCATGGCGGGACGTGCTCCACTCGTCCAAATTCAAAATTGAAGCCCTTGGAAAATGGTGGTTTTTGCTATTTTCGGGCTCTTCAAGCTGAATCTCCGAAATCAGCGCCTCACATTACCCCGGGTAAGCAAAAAACTTGAGGTCAAAAATCTGCCGGGCCGCTGCCTTCAATTAGGTCACGAAGCCCCGCTTTTCAGCCGTCAAGCCAGTTGAATCAAAGGATATAACAGAGATTCAAAACAAGAATGGAGCTGAATTGTAGAGATCAAACCTCTCATAGCTTCACTGAGCGTTCATGACTTTTTCCTGGAATGGTTCAGCAGGTAGAAGGTAGATTTGGACAGCTCACTGAGACGCAAGTGATGTATCTATGTTTCCTCCTCAGCGGAAGTTGGGAACGCTTTGCTGTATTTGGTGAGCGGTATGCCGTCAAAATGTCTGATCAAGAAAATCCATGCTATATCTTGCACAGATGGTTTTCTGCAAAGCTGAGTTCTTAGATGAATGCTTACCTTTAAGAGTTATAATGTAGATAACTAGAAAATTGTATCAATTCACTTCTTGGCATACTCGTTTGGCTACATCTTCGCTGATGCTGTAATCATTATTGTGGCTGATAGTAACTGCAGTCGTCGGCAAAAAAATTGTGATGTTTTTGAAGACTTTCTTGATAGCCATAGATCCTCTCGCCTGTGTCTGTACAAATAATATGGATAGTAAAAAAGTTTTACTCGAGAGAATATCAAAGCTGAGGAGAGATGGTTGGGAGTGGAGTCAGTACTTCTACTGCATTGCATACTCAAACAGATGTTTTTGAACTATAGTCGGTTTCTTCAACGTATAAAAAATACGATACGAACGAATGATATTAACGGTCGAATCCCAACATCTATAATGAACAACAAACACTGATGCAGATAAGTTTTTATTTGCAAACTGATCTTTGAGAAATGGGAACAAAGGCACAAATGAAATAAAGGAAATATAGATGACAAGATGACTGGAAAAGAAAGGCAAGAGCAAATAAACACACTTGGTCAAGGCAAATATCACACTACCTATTCTAGGCTCAAATTGTAGGCGTGGATCACATTAGTTAGGGCTTCGCCCCTCTCTATCTCTCAGACTCCGATCTCTCATCGGCGTCTGTTCCCTGGGTATATATGGCCACACCCACTCCACTGGATCCAAATCAATCCCTAGAGAGCCTTTGGGCCACGCCTCTCTCACCGTCGAAATCTACGGATCTCTCACCTGTGTGTCCGTGGGGTATGACAGTCGCGCTTCACTAATCAGCATTGGTTATTGACTGCCAATAACTCATGATAGAAAATAAACTGCCAAAAGAAGCACTAATACAACAAACTGAGCTCGCAAAGAATGTATTCAGCCTCTATTTGGAATCAAACCTCATCGTTTTCGGTGTTACGATATTGACTAATTTCTTATATTGAAAGAATGTGGGAGCACAACTTGTGCTGCACAAGGAACTCCCCATCCTGGCTGATTTTCTATTTTCCACTACTACCTGCATACTAAGTCATGTTTTGTGCAAATTTGATTTTCTCACTTGCAGGATTCATCCGTCCAAGCGGGTGATCAAGTGTCTAATTCAGAGCTTCATTCTGTTTTCGTTGTAGAAAGACGTAATTTTGGACTTTTTATTAATTTTCTATTAGTTATGCTCGTAATGACTGCGTTTGCTTCGAGACATCGTCAATAAATGTGTATGTGCATGTTGGAATGTGCGGTACACATCTTGCATTGATAAAAAACTCAATTTCGTTCTTGAGCTCCTGAAACAACCTTTTGTAGTATGAGATTGTCATTACACATCAAGGTTGTGAACAAACCTGTAAATGCATATCGGTTTCAAGAAAACGCTCTTTTATTAAGGAGAGCATATTTGAATCTTTAATGAGTGTAGCATGTTCAGGGTAAAATGGTAGAAGACTACGTAATGCGTGCATAGTTCGTTCAGTCAGACGGAAATCCGATGTTGCTAGAAGGGCCGGAAATAGGAAGAAAACTCCTGCAATATTTTGGTCATAGTCGATTGAAACATAGGCATGGCAATCACAAGCTAGAAATATATTACAGATTTGGAAGTGGTACAGAAGTTTTAAAAGATGCAAGTAATTGTTTTTTTTACATGTAGATTATCAGAATAAACTCAATCCTTAAGTATCCAAATAAGCCCTGTAAAAATCTTTTTTGAAGGCTTACAAGCCTCATGTTGACAGTTTTGGAAGCTCAAGATATCTGGAGGGCTCAACTATCTTAACTAATGCCAACTCCCTATCGTTGCCCCTCTCCCCCACTCCTCTCCCCTTAAAAATTGTTAGGCGCTGGGCATCACATATTAGGCATTCCAAAAAGAGTATGGTAGTTATAACGATCGAGTATAATGCTGGAACTCCAGGTAATTTGTGTGCTGTAAGGTGATTCCTAAGGCGAAAGGATAGATCTCCGGTTCAAGCGCGATCGTTCCATACCCTAAAATATGCTTCATTCGTATCAAGTTCCGATATTCCCAGAAACTTTTTGGGCTTTTTTTGAAAATAAACTTCAGCTGAGATTTTCTCAGTGCAACAAATCGGCTTAGGCGACACAATGGATTGAGAGTTTTGATCGACTCTCTGGCTGCAGTTTCAAACATACCACACGCAACCATAAAGCGTATTTTCACTTCGTTAGCTCCAGTTAGTAAGTTAACAATTGTCCACATGCATTCCTGAAGCGATATCATCAGATGACTGAGTTCAATCTACAGTTCGCAGGCTTTATCGAAACCTTCTTCAATTTCCTCTCAGCTGTTCTGACACCCTCCAAGAGCATCTCAAAAATGTTCCAATCCAGAAATAGCAGCTGAAAAGGGCACCATATTTTACTATTCAAATATATGAACTCACATCCATGTGCTCCTGATTGCTTGCTGCTATATTAGAACACATCCAAGCGGCTTCTCTTCGCACTTCAGGCACAGATTGATACGACATCGAGCGCGACTATAATATGTTTCTATGTTCTTATTAAAAAGTTTCTTAGCTCCGACTTACCAAAACGTCGTAAAATCGCGGATGATTCACTACTGCTGCTGTTTGCACATCATTCCCAGTGATTATGTTTCCAAGAATGCGCAGAGCGCCATGATGAAGTTCGATAAAATCCTAAAAGTTTGAGCTCGTTGAAATTTAAAAGACCGAGACGAAGATTTCAAGCGAAAAGATTGAGTTGATAATAAGCGATATGTTGCCTCAGTAGCGTTAAAAGTATGATTTTGTCGAATAGCAGTTTGCTACCAAGTATTATTCACTAAGCTTTAACTACAAGGCATGCTTTACCGAGTCTAGAATTTCAAATGTCAAGTCGATAAGGCCTTCTTCGCTAAGTACGACATCGATCTGTAAGTACTGATCTTTGTCATCTACTTGCGCATCCTTGGTGAGCCACAATATGCAACGGATTCACCTGTGTCCCTTGGTGCATATCGTCGGCTATCGAAGCTAGTGTCCAAAGACAGTCTTTGGCCAGTTCCGTCCATACCGCGTACTTCTTCAAGAGACCAAACAGAGACTTCACTAGCATTTGTACAGTCTGTTTCATACATCATGACATACACTCCTCAGACGATACACACTGTTATTCGCACGTACCGTCACGGATATGCTGCCGTTCCGTACTCCACCGCGCAATAAGTTCATCACGCACCACACAACATTTTTTAGATCACCGTGTTCAGTATGGACATTTTGGGAAAGTAGCCTGGCGAGCACCTGGAATTGTGTTAGTTAAACTTTGATACGAACAAGGGAAGTCACTCAAATTAGGTCGGGCTTTTGAAATGAGACACATATATTTAGAATCAGCTCGGAACGCTGATTCCAAATATGCTATTCCTAGCTGCGAAGCGTTCTTCTGAAGCGAGTTATGAGCTTTTCTAGTATGTGTCATTGACATACAACTGAATATGGAAAAAAGGTTTTTAGATGAAAATCTGCCCAAAAAGTGGTGGAAAATCAAAATAACATCAAATTGAGTCATTTGGCTTTGATAGGATATAATATGCATTTGAACCACTACCTAGATGATGATACCGTAGCATGCCTAAGTCGGTCAACACACAAAATTTGCTCAGGAAAAAGCTCATAACTCGCTTCAGAGGAACGCATCGCAGCTGAGGAAGGCAGATTTGAAATCAGCGTTTCAAGCTGATTCCAACCATATGTGTCTCATTTCAAAAGCCTGACCTAAGTTAAGTGACTTCCCTTGTAAGGTGTATGATTGGATACCGTAATAAGGCTCGTATTGCGGCATTTTTCCTTACACCTAGCACAATCGGCAGCTATATTACCCAAAGCCCAAATGCACTGGATCCGGAATTCACCTGTACCAGAAATGACTCCACTCAAAAGGGCATCGATGCCTCCCTAAAAACCCCAACTTTTCTCCAAATTTATCGAAGCACAATCACACATACGCTGTCAACAATCAGGTGATTTACTTTATCAGACATACAAGCCATATTTGTTATAGCCCATGCCGCATTTACGCGGGTATCTGCTGGATGGTTATCATTACAAACGATGCGAAGCAGAAGTTCGACCTGAAATAAGAGCGGTCAGAGTAAGCGCATTGCCTCTAGCATTGTTCTGACGCTACATGTCTGTTTTGATTCGAAACACTCTACGTCCGGCATTTTAATCAGTGATAGCTTTTGAAACAAACTTTTTATAAGACGATTCTATTGTCAATGGTTATACCCTTCAACTCAACGAGATTGGCGGCTGGAAGGCGACAGCTTGCACCGCGAAGTCTGCGCTAGTCTCGCGAGCGTGCTCTCTGTTCATTCCCTAGCCTTGATTAGCCCTTGAAGCCCCTGCTGTATCAACATTACATTTTGATACATGTGTGACAACCAAACTCTGGAGGACCCATTTTTCTTTATTACCCCAGGAAACCTTCTAGCGACATGCAGTGTTCAGAGCATGCTTACTCTTGTATGAATACCATGTATGTCGTAAATTTAACATTGTTTAGTCGCAGTGGCTTTTTTATGGGGTGTACAAGGTGTACGAAAAGTTCGTGTTCTTAAGCAGCTCAACTGCGGGCGCTAACTCGATTTTTACTATGTGTGTTCGCCAAACCTAGAAACCACTAATTCAACAAAGAAAATTATTTTTTGCTCTAAGATACCCTAAAAAATTTGGATGTAGACAATTTTTTCAGCTTCCTTGGAGGGGCGGAAGAGTGCGTTATCTGATTTGTTCTCTTTTTTTCCAACGTCGGAAAAGGTAGACAGCTTTTGGTTCTTTTACTATAAATAGTCCTAGATTTACACTTTCTTAGTATAACAAAAGCTCTTCAGTAGCTTGCTAACGATGATTTTTCATGTGCTGAATCACAGCAGACAGTCGCGGCACAGTTTGCGTTGAAATTTTTCAGTTTGAAAAAAATTTGGAAGTCTTATTTCAAAATGTATTTGTAGCACAACTCGCTGAGCTTCGTCGTATTTGTTTTCAAAAATTTTGCACGCTTGCAATTTTGAAGATAGAATATAAAAAATTTCGGTGCTGGACTTTTCGGAGAAAAAAATCTTGAAAGTGGATTTCTTGGATTTTGAAGCACGATATCTCAAACGAACTTATTTTAACGGAAGTAGAAGGACAAGAAACCTCGAAGAAAGAGGTTTCAGAAGGTACAGGATGCGGAAAAAGTACTGTCCCTCAAAATAAAGTTCAAAAAAATTGGCGTGATTCACAGGTTTTTCTGGCAAATTTGGCATAGTTCCCAAGATGTGAATATGTTCTAGCATCTCACAAAAACTGGCTTCAAAATTCTACAATTTTATCTGGCGGTGGATCCCTTTTCGCAACGCATCCCATATCAAATCTTGCAACTACCTTTTAACACGTTGACGACGAGCTGTTTTTTCGACGTCTGTCCCTGTGGACGAACCGTTTCCGGGCATTTTCACGGCCGCTGTGTGTATGTATGCATGCATTTATGCGTGAGGTACAAAAATGCAGGTGGACGGGGTAGCTCCGCCCACTTTTGGCAAGCCCCGCCCACTTTTTAAAAATGCTGGAAATTGCTCAATATCAGTGAATTTGTGCAAATCCCGGCATTTTTGAAAAGTGGGCAAAGTTTGCCACTCAGGGGTGGGGCCTGCACAATGGGGCGGGGTCAAAATTAAGATAATTTAAGGTTCCCCAGTTATCTACGAGCTTTTCTATGCGATATGAGAACAAAAAAAAGTTTTTTGTAGAGGGTAACGGAGTGGGCGGAGTTTGCCAAAAGAGGGCCGGGGCCAACACGAAAAACTTCTGAGCCCAAATTGATTATGTGTACACAAATTGGAACCATTGTGCACATTAGAAGTGGTGTTTAGTGTGTCGCGCACCATTGCGCGACACTGTCCTCAACCTGTTAAAAATGTGAAGGAAGTGTGATTTTTTTTTGTGAAATTCTTTTGTTTCCGACGTGGATTTGAAAAACCTTCTACTGTTTGAAAAGCGTTGTAGTGCCTTCGAATTACGCTGGAAGTATCCGGATCGCAGTTGCAATAAGGGAAAATTTGGGAAATTTTTTAACGAAGTAGCGTCTGCCACGCAACAGGGTTCGATCAGAAAACGTGGCACGGGAACTAAGTATCATCTTTAATTGACTCAAAATTATAATGTCTACAAAGCCCGATGTTCTTTTCATTATTCCTATTACTTTTTGTCGGTATCTGGAATTTTAAATCATAGTTTGAATCCAATTCATTGAGCAAGCGCAGTCCTGACTCGCCTCTTTTTCGAGAATTTTTGCGATTTGCGTGCGATATAATCTTCCTTATTTGGCTAAAACAAGAGTCAACAACCTAAAATTCATCTATAATGGGTATAGAATATTGTAGAAGAGGTCATACACTACATACTAGCCTTATTTGAACCTTATATCAATGCTGTTGTTATAATTACGGTCCAAAATCGCTCTCGTATGCTATCGGCGCATCGTCAATGTTCTTGCGCGCTGTTATCGCTCGTTCAAACGGACAGAAGGAAACAGCTTCAAATCAGACTTATCTTTATCTAATTTCAGGGATCTCGCCTACGTGTGGGAATCAAAAAACTACAGATTTACTTTATGTTTGAGGTATTTCAGATGCAAAGTTGGAGAAACAGTACTTTTTCCGCACCCTATATACCAAGTTTTCTGTGAATTATCTTTCCTTTTTGTAACAAGTGTTTTAAGGAAGGAGGTTTGAAAAGCTACACTGATGTGTTTAAGTCTAATAAAAAAATCAAAGAAACCGCAAAGAAACCTGAATTTCACTGAAATAATGGTATTAGGTTGAACCGAAAGTTCTTTCGCACCAAATTCAAAAATTCATAACTTCTGAATTTTGCAACCGATTGGACCGCTTTTATTTTTATATGAAAGAGCAATTCATTCTCTTTATAGGGGTACCTTAGCGGCTTTCTGTTAAGCATACATTGCTTAGATAGAAGCTGTAGAAGAAAATTAGTCAAATTCCGCATTTTCTGTGTAGGGTCATAAAAAATCGGAAACTTGCAACAAAAATCGTCTCTATGAAAAGTTATGATTTTCGAGCAAGCAATACAAAAGGGCTAATTTGATTTATCTTATCATTTTTCAGAAAAATCGTAACTTATCGTAGACGCTCAATTGGCGCAAACTTTGCACTGTTAGAAAGAGCTGGTGAAAGAACCTACATTACCGGTTGCTCCGATTTTTGTTGCAAGTTTCAGATTTGACCCTACACAGAAAATTCAAAATTTGAGATTTTCTTCTACCGCTTCTATCTAAGCAATGTATGCTTAACAGAAAGCCGCTAAGGTACCCCTATAAAGAGAATGAATTGCTCCTTCATATAAAAATAAAAGCGGTCTAAGCGGTTGCAAAATTCAGAAGTTATGAATTTTTGAATTTGGTGCGAAAGAACTTTCGGTTCAACCTAATATATAGTTCTGATGAGCACAATAAAACAAAAAGCGCGTCAAAATCCGAATTGGAAGTACTTTAAACAATGAACTTGTCAAGCACCCTGTACACCGTATTGGAGAGCATAAAATGCTGATTTCAAATCTGCCTTCCTTGCCTGCGAAACATTCATGGATGAGGAAAATGAGCTTTTAATTGAGCAAAAAATTAAACTTGCAAAAGACAAAATTGTAGTATTTTTTAGCGCTTTAATATAGCAATATGCCTTTTTCATAAACATTCCTATATAAAAAGTTTATCACATTGGTTGCTTTCTTTGAAGGATAGTAAGATTTTAAAAACTCATTCTAAATCAAATGCGCTTTCAACCTTTTGCTTCAATAAACGTTCACTATTCTCGCCCACAAATGTTCGGCGGATAAAAAAGGCAGATTTGGGCTCAGAGGTCTATGCT